GCAGATGGCAATACACAATTAAAAACGCGCAACTATCTTATAAAAAGTGTCACTAATTTAGGCATCATCATAAGTTGCACCGCAAAAGCACAGCCGATTATAAATTAAATTAAAAATGTATGTACATGCATAGAACATTTACTCGTATTCGCAAATGTATTAAAATATGTTTAAACAACGGGCAAACACAAAAGGTTCATATGCAGGTTCTCAAAGTCCCAAACTGCAATGCCATTTGAATGTAAACTATTACCAAAGCCATCGTCTTGTAAGGTAGAAATGTGTAACCTGATTCTCAACCGAATGTGTCTTCTTAGGCACATATGCCACTTGGTCGGGGCTATTGAGGACCATCGTCAACCTCTGCGCACATGATTCCTGCTATTAAATATGTAAATTACTCACAAACGTACAGCTTTCTCTTGTAAGTAGAATATCTCGACAGTAGAGTCTTGATAAGGATGGGCCTCGAAAGTCCTTCATGAATAACTTTGTGAATTAATGAGAAACCTCCAAGTTCCATTTGAGTTGTACTTGTAATAGAAAAAGTGCAGGGTCTCGTTAATACACAATGGGTCACGATGCCATGATTTATAGCTAGCTAAGCATAGTCTGTTGTACTGTCTAAGCTTCAATATAATATTAATTGAAGGCATTTATTTAAACCGTAACTACTTCAAATTATAAATCAAGTTCATGGAATGTGCAATGTGTGGTGGGGTTAGAGGCCGCTTGTAAGCCCTACGAGTATCAAAAGCACATAAAACCAAATAGATGCGCTCAGCGTCAACAACTTTGTCTGTCAACAGAAATTAATGACTTCATAAATCACAGCAACCACCAAGAAGGCACTGCAGCCCTGAAGCCTGCATCTGCATGTAACTGAGTAACTCCGAGATACACTGCCTCCGTTGGAAATATGAAAATGTCTAGCAGAAGACAGCAGTTCTGCCGGCAACTAACGCTCGGGACTGTTCGATCCCCGTCTCCGTGCCCGTGCTCGATCCACATGTGAAGGGGGCGCGCCCAAAGACATGCCGCGGTAACTTCAATTACGCGTACCAAGAATGCTGACAATGCGTGCGTATATTCAAAATAGAAACAAAGTCGAAGATCCGACCAATCATTGCCAATGTACTAGAACCAAATACACACAACATGCGCCCGATTCGGCAGCCGTGGATCGGCAGTATCTGAACAATGCGCGACAGGGAACGCCCGCCGTTGACAGGCGATAGCACCATACATTTTGACACAAATTCAGGACCAGACGAACATTTCGGAGAGGCGCCTTGGGACTTCAACCCCAATATCATAACTCGACCTCTTGGCCGCCGCACTTTGGCTTTTGACATCGTCTCCGTACGGAACTGCAGTTCCGGTGGCATTTGCGCCCCAGGGATTTAAACTTAACATTAAAGGGGTTAGTTCTGAGAGCATACTTGTGTCCAGATGCTGACTACATACCAATGCGGTTACATTAATTACCACTGAGCTGGGCCCAAGCCTGGAACGTGCACGTGCTCAGGCACACAGAAAGCGCGCAGCGATTAGAAACTCATTAAATTTATGTTAATGAGCTCAGCATTCAGGCTGTTGCTGTTGCTAGAAAGTCCTCATGTATAACTAGCTCTAGTCAATATCGGGGAGTCACTAGGGAGCTACGAAATGACTGATGCTATGATTATATGTTGAAAAGAAATCATTCGTCGATTTCTTCCAAGTTACGCACTAATACTCAGAAGGTTTCATTGAAACACTATTAAGATCTTCACGTATTCGAAATCGAAGCGAAGACACATCTTAAACAAAGGCTTAGTGAGTTCTAAAACTGAAGTACATTTTAGCCTATGACTTATAATTATATAATTAATTTGGCCAACGAAATAACAGTATATGATGTACTTGTACATCTTCTATCTGATACGAGTATGCAACATTATTTCAATGCAAATCAAAACCTTAAAAATATTAAACGGTTTCCGAACAATGTGTTAGTACGGACAATGCCCCAATTCGTTGGAAAATTTAGTTAATATGAGCTATTTCCTATTCCGAATATAGGCCTTTTCCCAAGTTCCAACTGTTAACGAAAACGAAGAATGTACTTCACTTATATGAATGCAAAATGTATCTCATAACGATATACAAAATGGTGATATTTTCAAAAACTTTTCGAAACCATTTCTTAATCTACTACCAGCGACCAAAGCGTTAATGCTAATAATAAGAGAAACTGATTTTGTAAAACAGTCCGTATATTTACGAAACTTCCTGACGTCTTTGCAACGACTATCGGACACGTGTTTTCATTAAAGAAATCGGGGTGGTCTGGCGGCGCCGTCGTATAATCAAGTCAACCAAGCGTTACCCCAAACTTGAAGCAATCAAGAATATCAGACGTCCAGGTTTTTACGATACTCAGGGCTTAATGCTAATTTTCATTTATACTTGTACATACATATACAACGTTTGTTAGTATTGGGCTCCTGCAACAAACGGATTCCTGTATGGGTGAGTGTGAATGTAAGGCACTGTATACTCTTCCATTAAGGCGTGTACACATTGACGCGACTTTTTAGTCTCTCAAGTGTTTGCCAGCATTTGTGGATGTGGACGTCTCGATCTTCGTCTCCATCTCCGCCTCTGTCGTCTTTGTTGGCTTTTGTTTTACCGTCCATCTGTGTGGTTTTTAGCATTGCGCTCTGGTCTCTTGTCGCGTTGTCGCCTGGTCGTTGTGGGTTTTTATGTTCAGCTACCGAAGTAGATGGCTACCGGTAGCCGTTAGTCACGCATTTCTGCATTTTCATAGCCACGAAACTGAACATGTCCCTTGTCCCGAGTCCGGCAATGGCCTATGCGGCACATGCGGGCAAGCAAACAAATGCAAACGTACAAACAAAATGTCAAAACATCGAAAGCAAGTCATTAATGGACCGAAGTGAGCTCCCTGCGCATTTCGAAGTAAATGCACATACTTGTATGTACATACCTTCTTACATGTGTAAGTACGAGTACATACATATACATATGTGTACTCGTACTGCACAGGACATACATATGAACATAGCTACACTGTCAAAAGCAAATAAAAATCGTAATTGCATCGCGAATAGTTATGCTTTTTATGGTTTCACATTTGTTGGTGCAGACAATATTTTATTTTTTGGGTTAGGATTGGGTCTTCCAAAAAACTTGTTGGCTAATTACTAACCCGTCTAGCTATAGTGAAATGGGCTAAAAGTCTTGAGTGGTATCGCAACGGGCCAAATTAATATTTTTGACGCCAACAGCCACTCTAGTCTGTAAAGAAATCCGATGTCTTAAAGAACTCGTATATACTATACATGTACTATGTATTATTCTATGTATTACAGTTTCGTATAAAAGACTTTTGCCATTTAGTTACTTAAAGAATTCTCGATTTCAAGGAAAAGGTAAGCTTACTTGTATTTAGTTTAAGGTGCAGTTTTGTAAATAATATTCATACGTTAGACCAACTGGAGTCCCCTTTGATAAGTTCCAAAAGGAATACCTAAAGTAGCGACACCAGTCTTATATTGAACGCTTTGTTCAGATTATTTCATACCTGTGAATATGATCTTAGCTCTTTTAATCCAAAGCTAAACGTGGCCATTCGCTTCGCTGTGTACAAGCCAGCGCATGCCAAATTATCAAAACAGCATTAAAATTGCGTAGATTGTTGATTGAATATCAATAAGTCAACAAGTCCGTCGAAAAGAAAACAAAACTGAGCATTTTTCGGCCAATAAGGCGACTCTTTTTTGGCCCAAAGCACATCCACAAACAGAGACACGCACACTTTGCGCCAAGAGTGAAGACCGCACGACAAAACGCAGGTACGAGTGGGTACCACAAACATTACAACGATCATTAGTTAAATTATAAGCCATGGCATCACCACCACCTCAGCCACTACCGATATCATGTCCCATCTACAACCTCGGCCGCGACATCGACGTCGCCACCATAACCATTTATATGAATATTAACGGCAAACAATAAACGTTGTTGCTTCTGCTGACACAGCCACCAAGGCAAGAGGCTGGCGATCATGCGCAAACGGAGGCGGCTCTGGCCAGTGGTCGCCTTTGAAATGAAAATTTTAAGCAAACATTTTACAGCCCGAAAAATACAACACTGCGTTTTGACAGCAAAGTGCCTACGATGTAGTTCTGTTGTTGTTGCTGTTATTATTGTTTGTTTTTTGTGTGTTTTAGCACACTGGGCTGGCCAGTCTTGCCACGATCGCTGAGACGGATGTTGTTCAGGATGGGGTATGGGGATCAAGAGATCAACTGATAGAAAAAGAAGAGAATTGGGATTTCCAATTCAAGTTGTTGCGGTCGGCTTAATGTGTTGGCAAAACACTTCAACTCGGGATTTGTCACAGCGACTAAAATTGAACAATGGGGTTCCAATGCCGACGGCATACCAACATGTACCCTCAAATGAATATTTTGCGTGAAAACTAAAAATACATTTGATAGCTGCTACCTTTTTTTAAACACTTTTCTATCCTATCGAAGTGTTAAAAAAATGATGTATGTATGTAGAATTGAAAATCATCTGAAAGAAAACGCCACAACAACATTTCCTATTTTAAAAGAATGTTCAATTTGGTTTCAATAAAATCTGAACACAGTTAATATATGTATGTGCTTGGATATAAAGCGAAATTTTATAATGACTTTTGATTTTGATTGATTACGAAAAAATGTATCATTTAAATTGAAAAGGTAAATAAACCATTTTTTTTAAATAAAGCATATAGTTTGCTGTGGGAAACTTTAAATTGTGTGCCCTTTTCATATGAAGACTTAGTCATTAAACTAAAATATCCATCAAAATGCATTATCTTTGCTTCGGTTTTATGCACAAAAAAGTGCAGACAAAACATAATTTGAATATATGTAGTATAATCGTAGAATATCTGTAGCATAAAGAATTTATCTTTTATATAGGTATTTCTTACATACCGGGGTCCATATCGGCCGGAGTTAGTTGGGGATTAAAAAACTCCACAATTGACGCCACTCGCTGGTTTTCCAGCCGGTCCAAACAGAAATTTTTCTCCCGGCCGCCGTTGTTGCAGCTGCGGTGGTGTTCCAAATTAATAAATAAAAAAAACCCAGCTATTTCGTTAATTTTTCGCACTTGTGAATATTGTTTGTTTCAATTAAGGGATATAATTTTTACAAATTGACGCTATTTGTAACCCCGACGCAATGCCAGTTGGGCGACTTGATTGGATTTCTGTGCGTTTGGCTTGGTAGTTTTCAGTTGTTGAACCAAAACCAAAACTGAAATTTGATTAGCACATTGAGGCAATCTATCTTTGGGCTTTGTTCGAAAATTATCACGCACTTATCACACCTTATTTGTATGTGTACTTTGCTACACTTCTGCACATCAACCGCCGACGCTGTTGCCGCTGTAGACACTGAAAAAGCCAAATTTATTTATTTTCTGGCATTGGGCGGTCTGCTTGTCCCGCTTTTTGTTATTCATTAGCAGCCCCTGATGGGGATTTTCAGAGCCAGATATCTCTCGCTTATTAATGTTGGCCACTTCCCCAAGCACTCGCGTTTTTTCTGATACTTATTTTGCAAATATCTTTCGAATTCGAATCAGACGTTATTTTAACGGGACCGTGGTGAAAAAGACAGCGCGCGTTCGACATGCACTCGATTATGCACACCCAGCTCCAACTTGTTGTTGTTCGTCACCCGTATGTGTTGCGACTGATGCTGCCGCCGACTTCCGAATATCACGCTGATCAGCAATCTACAAAGAAACCACTGCGACCAACGGCAGAACGAACGTCCACAAAGTAGCTGCACAGTAGCAGCAACATCCCAAGATCTCGGGCTCTCTCTCTTTCCCTATCTCTCTCGTACCTTGTGGCTAACTCTCCTCTGAATTGCATCTCTCTGCATTCGTGTGCATGTATATGTGGTGGCCTTTACACATCGAGGCACGAGATCGCTTGTATGTATTTTTTGGTTTCAATGGCGTTGCTGTGTGTGTATTTTATATGTGTACATGAATATATGTATGTTTGTGTTAGTTGACTGAGAAAATAATAAAAATGAAGTATGTCTTTCATCGACCAGGAGCAGACGCGGCACAATGAGGCCCGCTCCACGTATTTAATGAGCTTATAATATTGGTTTTATTTTGAATGTGTGCAAAGACCAGAATATGTGGTTATACTAAATTTAAAGCAATTTCCACAGAAAAAATATTCATACTTATACTATAGATATGTTAATAATTTAGATAAAATTGAAGGTATGTTTTCACTTAAGCGAGTTTGGGGTTTTAAAGTATAATTGTAAAATTTTAATTTAAATGCCTAGTTTAGTAGATCATTCTCCGTAATGAGCTTATAATATTGGTTTTATTTTGGATGTGTGCAAAGACCAGAATATGTGGTTATACTAAACTTAAACCGATCCACAAAAAAACATATACATACTTATACTATACATATGTTAATAATTTAGATAAAATTGAAGGCATGTTTTCACTTAACCGAGTTTGGGGTTTTAAAGTATAGTTGTAAAATTTTAATTTAAATGCCTAGTTTAGTAGATCATTCTCCGTAATGAATTGGCGCTTTGGGGCCAATTAGCCGCGCACGCGTAGTTCTGCTTTTATATCATACCTTGAACAGGCATTTGTATTTTTGAATTAAAATGGATTGAAATATTTGCATATCTAAATTTAATGAACAATTTTAAATTTTTTTAATACCTACAACAATCAATTAAAAATTTAGTTGGTTAAGATTGTTTTTTACTAATATATATTAGTAAAAAACATAAGAAGTCAGCAAATCTGAAGTAATTAAATATGAAATAAAGTTAGATAGCCTCTTCAGTTTGAAGAAATTTTTTCTTTAATTATTACATCCAAATCGAAGAGTGTGAAAGCCAGAAGACATAAATCTTGCAACGTGCCCAACGAAGGGCCCAATCCTATTTGCCCGTAATGCGCTCTTGTGCTCTCAGCTCACTCTTTGAAAACAAAACCCAACCAACGTCTACATATGTACGTCAACTTCTTCGTGTCCGTGCGCTCTTCTTTTGTACGCGTGTGCTCGTGTGTGTGTGTGCGTGTGTGTGTTTCTTGTAGGTTCATATCATAGCTGCGCACGAGTAGTCTGCGCTTATTACTCTGGCTAACCATACGCAGCCGGGCGGAGTTAATTTTTGAATGCTTGAATGGCCAATCTGAAGCAAGTAAGCGTGTCCGTAGCGTTCCGCAGTGTGCGCGAGCGATGTCATGACTTTTTAGTGTCACATACATGCTGAGGGCGGGGCTGAGGCCGTCACAGTCGCAGTTGTAGTCGTAGTGGCCAGCGCCGACAGCGCTGATCGCGTGCATCTATTTTTGGTTCATTAACAAAATCGTATCATTAGAACGATCGTTGCTGCTAATAAAGTGATGCAGGGGTTACCATTCGGATGAATACATACTTGTATGTATGAGCCAACCGACTGTGGGCCAGCCTGCCTGCTCATTGGCAATCGTGTACAACGCTGCGTATGCGTGATGGTTCTCTCCCCAGCTGCTCTACACTGGTGTGCATTAATTTTAGATTCTGCTTCCCATCGATGCATTCAGTTTTGCTTGGTTAGACTTAATTATAAGAAAAGTTGTCTCTATATGATTGTCGCTAATTTCAAATTTCGTTGTTTAATGGTTTGCTGCCAATTTTTGTTGTCATTCGCTCATTAGAATGGCGCTGTCATAGGCCGCACCATTTCATTTACGTTTGCGAGTGTGTGCGTATGTTGTGAATGTGCTTGTGTGTGCGGACGGGTTGGCCAGTTCGTGAGTATGCAACTATGTATGTGCGTGTCTGTGTATGTGTGCGAGCGCCCTGCCAAACATTGCAATTGTATTCGTGACATGCTCACTCACATAGACACACACACACACACTTACTAACCAGTTGGACACACCTCCTTGATTTCGCTTACCTGCTCATACCTTCATACCTTTTGTTGCAAATTCAATTCACTGCTCTCTTTGCTTTCTTGACGATCGCCATAACTGCAAATGTTTCCTTTTTGAACATTTGGTCGGCCTACCTACTTCTGTTATCACCATTGTTACTGCTCTATTATACAAATATGCCCATATAAAATAAATATGTACATATGTATAGAGCTAAAAAAAACATACCTACATATACCCGTTTTTTTATTTTTTTTCTCTATAATTATACTGTTATATTTATAACTTAACTTAAATTTATAGTTAAATACAAAGAAAAATTAAACTAGTTGTTTAGTCTTAATTACAATTTAACATTTGTAATTTATATAAATCTATTGGCAAGGTCAATAGGGAGTAACCTCTTCAGCCTCCTTCCTTTTCTTCGACGTTTCAACAGGCGCCTTGCTAATTCATTTGCGTGGCGCTCCATGTACTAAGCAGCCTGCTTATTAAGCACGTCACCAACTTTCTGCAGATCCTTTCCTAGATCCTAGATTCTAGACATATTCCTGCACAAAATTAAAATATTTCTAAAGATCGAAACACATTTTCTGCAAAGCACAAACGTTTTCTTTGCACTTTTTTAGTTTTGAGTTCTGAGTTTAAATTGAATATTTTATTGAACCCCGATTTCCTACAAGTGTGATAATGTTTTTCTAACGAAGAATAGCTTTATTAAAACCCATGTACCCACAATTTCTTTCTTGGTATACGTTGGACGTAAGTAAAACACAAAACAAATTAAGTATGTAGCATCATTTATAATACTATAATTCGTATTGGCTGAAAACGTACATTATATATAATTCTAGGATAATAGCTTTTGGGTTTCATCAAGAAATAACACATTTCTTATAAGTAGTTTTAGTTTTACAAAATATATAAATCCAATTTAGCGAATTGGTCGCCCCCATTTAAGGAAAACTTCTTAATTTCAATGTTAATTCATCCACTAACCCAAATACTAGACATTATGTTTTCTAAACCAACATGTAGTTTTTTTGTAAGCGAGTGGTAAATCTTAATTGGCATAGATTTGACTCAGGATTATTAAGAACTAAGCAGAAAAGTAATAAAGCTTAAGAACGTATTTTGAAAAGGCAAACTTGCTAAATTAATGAAAAACAATGAATAAATTTTCGTTGAGAGGAAAAACATAATCAAAACAGAGCTTCGTAACCTAAAATAAGGTGGATATCGAAGTCAGTCCCACCAAGATTATATAATATAAGCAATAAAGTTGTTCATACAAATACTCTTTTTGAAACGTATTGGCGAGGCGGCTATTTTTAGATTTTGTTTTTCGATCATAGAAAATGTTCACTTTCATTGTTTATGACTTGCAAATAAATGCAAACATTTGGAATTAGTATGTACATATATCATCGAGCTCCAGGAAACTCATAATATCTCATTCGAGACAATGTGCAATTTCCATAATCAAAATCAAATTCACAAGTGGACACAAGATTTAAACTGATGCTCTTTTTAAATAAGGTATCTTCCTAATATTAAAGAAGCTGAAATTAATTTTACTAGTAACTCAGCTTGCATAACTCGTATCATACAAAATTTGGTGATGATGTTTATGAATGCTAATTTTCGGTTCCATTTTCTCAAAAATCCTTTTAGTAACTACATACTCATATTTTGGCAAACTTTGGGTACCTCATGTTAGTTCGTAATGTGGTTTTATTTGTTTTACAAAATAATTGGCCATATGGGCATATCGTGGAGGCAAGTCGGAGACGAAATCGGCTGCGTTTAACAAATTGGGTGACAGACTTTGAAGTTGCCGCCACATGCGACAAATGACAAGCATAACAAATGAATATTATGCGTTTTTCTCTTTCTCATCTTTGTGTAATAATACAAACAACAACAAAAATAACAAAACGAGCAACGCCAGACCAGAAGTGCGGATGATAGAGTCCAAAAAATATGTGCGACACTTGAGAAAACAAAAGGCGGCGGGAAAGGCCGAGGCAAGAAAATGTCATAAAGTGGGAAATGTGCTATAAAATTGACACATTCCCAGCGAGTACGGAGTGAGCTGGCGGTCCATCTTACATAACATTTCGGCAAAGGGTGTGGACACTGCAGCATATCTGGGACGGAAGCGTCAAATTGTCTACGCAAGCGCAGCCAGCACTTGAAAGGGAATAAGTCCAGCTACTTGGGATCAACACGTGATTATGTTGTAACCTTTGTATGGGTGCCACTTGAGTGTTGCGTCCTTAAAGTTGACATAAAACGGGTCGGCGCAACTGCAGTTGACGATGAATTATTGATGTAAACTTACGCCGCCTCACTTAAGAGCCAACACACCGCAACCGTCACCTGATCCTAGAGGTTCGCACCCGCGCATCGTTCTTCTGCTCCCTCTTACTGTTACCTACCAGCCTGGCCTGCCTGTGGAGGCTGGACAAGTCAACGGCTCTGTGGATGAGCGCCTAATCGGCGTTAACTAGGACACATGTTTCTACTCATCGTCGGTTTCAATTTCAATATATGAGTGTAGTCATATATTTTTCGGTGGAGGCTGCAGTGGCGGGAATGGGAAGCGCTTCTTTTACGCTGAATTGGCGTGGAGCGTTATGGTTTATAAATTTTAAATGTGCTCTTTGGCATACTCATGAATTAAATTTCTAACTTTTCCTGGCAACCGTGCCGCCTGTTTTTGTTTGTTATGAAAACACAATCTTCAAACTCAATCATGGATGTCTCTATAAAAATAAAACACTAAAAACAACATTTTGTAAGGGAAAAAACTTATGTTTAATTGAGTTTGGAGCAGTCCCCACAAGAAAGCACACATAATACGAAATATACCTCTCTTGGTAATGTTATATGTAATATATTATATGTAATATAATAAGATCAAAAAATGAAATGAAATCGTATGAGAATGCAAAGTTGAAAGTTAAGCAGCGAACACAAGCCCTTTTAATTAATGAGATCTTAAATCTTTTAAGAATTAAAATATGAATATACGATCTCGGTAATCGTAACTAAAGGAAACCAGCATCATTTTACTATTTCATTTGTTGCACCTAACGACGAAAAGCTTATAGCTTGAATAATGATAATGAAAGCCCTTTGACGACGCGGTAAACTTCATTTTCATTGGAAGACGTATTTGTGTTTTCATATCTGTTATTTTTGAGCGCTTATTTTTCTTATTGCGGCATTTAATAACCATTCTCACGAAGCTTTCTGAGAAATTGATCCTTTTATTTTAAAAGGTGCTGCTGTGGATTATTTCAGTTGAAATTGGCACATACTGAAGACTTTGCTTCAAGAACCATTGGTAGAGTGCCTCTTTCATTTTTGAGTATTCAGAAGATTTTAGCGTTTGCCTGAATTAAATGAATTAATTTTCGTATGAAAGTCAATTCTTGTACCACAATTAAGTTGCAAAATTGAAATGGAGGCGCAGTTTTTCTAATGCGAGTGCTACTTGAAATGCATCCCCAAAATGTTTGCACTCAGTGTGTATAAAATCACTTAAATTTCCATTAAAACACATGTTTGATATTTTTTATAAATTATATTGTTGGTGTTAATTAAAAACCTTCTTCGATGCCGATATTAGCCCCTTCCAGCCACACTTCATGGAGGCCCGGTCTCGTAAAGTGCCGCCGCAGTTGCCAAATGTGTCAGTGTCAGTTTGACGTTTCGACTCGCCCTCTAACCTGTGCCATGGCTTTGTGGTTTCTAACAATAATTAAAAACAAATAACAAAACAGATTTGTTCAATGGCTAATTGAAGCTCAAATAAATCAAAATTTAACTGATAGCATCACTCAAGACCACCCAGCATGTCCGAGTACCGACTAAGGCCAGCAGTTGAGCTGTAATCGAAGTGTTAATAAGCCAAACTGGTTTTAGACACGGTAGCCAAGTAGGTGCGCAAACACACGAAAATCGCCTGAAGGTTTACTTCAATGGCTTCGTCGGCAATCTGTGGATAACTCCTAGGTTGCCGCGCAGACGACAATCTGACGAAACGTTGACGATGCTCACTCAACGGTTGCTCATCCCAAAGTTGCCCAGATTTGCCGCAACACATTGCGTCGTTGCAGCTACGGACGCATTTATCTCTGGCACGTCTACGTACAGTGGTCATCAAATTAACCGAACCTAAACCAAAACTAGGAGCCCAGACTCGTAACTCTTGCGCGGAAAAACCAAAGAAAAAGCAAATTTAATATACTTGTACTCTGTCTGAGAAGTAAATAAAGCCATAAAATAAATGCTACAGAACAAAATAAGTACATATTGCGTTAGATTTGAGATAGATTTTCTCGAACATCTGATTGCAGATGTTTCATACGAATCCTGCAGTGAGATCAAATAATCTTTGAAAATATCGATCACTCGAAGGCTTAATAAAAACTTGTAATGCTTTCTTTCCGTATTCTGTTTTATTTTTCACATTTTAAACGTTTGTTTCCCTAACTGACTTACATTATATTATTAAAAACCAAATGTACAGCAAAGATTTAAAAATGGCTCCAGGTATCGGAATTCTCCCACTGTTCGGCAGCGAAATGAACGCTAGTGAGTTCGCTTCACGCCCGTTGCACTTGAACGCTTCAACGGCATTCTGATTTGTGGTTGCGGCTGCACAGCTTCGTGAGCGCTGGCGGTGTTTCGTGGAGGCGCGCGCGCCTTCTGCTTGGCCATATTTCACGTGAAAACAAAAAAGAAAACTATAAAATAAAAATTTAATAAAACAAATGAAAACAAATGCTCTGGCAAAGGTGAAAGTTGCTCCCGAGCTCTGCCTTCCATTTCCTCCATTGCCACCCCTTTGCAGTGCACCACCACAAACAACAACAACCACTGTCAATTTCAACATGGCGTCGGCGTCGTTTCCGCATGGCGATGCTGACGCTGCGTTGATAGACGCGCTTTAAATGCATAAAATTGCGGACTATAAATAAAATTTAATGAAACACATTTTTCGATTTCTGATTCTACATGCGTCGGCACTGCCACTGCCCCAGAGCGACACAGTCAGCACACATCTCGAATTCGTTATTTTGTTCTTCATATTAACTGCATATTGTTTTGGCCCAAGGGTTTTTGGGCCGTTGCACGAATACATTTACATAGTTGCGCATCTTCTATGCTGTTTGAGTTATTATTGTAATTTGGCTGATGGCAGTCGAGTGGAACCGTACGTATACGTATTTATGTATGCATGTATGTTTAACATACATATATTAATAGTGCATAACTACATATATACAGGAGGATGACGATGCACTAGGGATGTTGATTTGTCGGGCGACAAATCTGGTTCGCTATTGCAGGTATTTTGTCATTTTTATTTGCTGAAATTTTTCACAGTCTATGAAATGTAATAAGTTTGCGACATGTGCTGTGCAGCTCCATTTTTTGATAAAGAGAGCTATCCGTGTCTAGGTGTATGTAAATATGTACGTAACACGTAAATATAATATTTCTCCCAATAATAAGAGTGAGCTCATAAACTGAGAATCTTTGGCGAATTCACAGAAACAGTTGCTACGAGTAGCGCTTCCGTTAACTGCCGCCCTCAGCAACTCCATAGATCAGCGTCAGCCACCTACGCAAAAACGGGAAAATGTGTTAACGGTAAACGTAAACTCAAGTCCATTTTATGCGTTTCGAGCGCACAGTCCAACATTTAAATGTACCGTGACGTTGTAATTGCGAAATTGTTGTTCGCCCTATATGTACACACATATGTATGTATGTATGCATGCATACATATGTATGTACATACATATGTGCGAATATCCCCTCGGCTAACTACAAAAGCAAGTTGAAGAACTTAAGTGTGTGCAAATAGCAAGGAAAATTCATAAAACGGCGGATGTTTTCCTAATTTTAATGTTTTTGTTTTATTTAAGTGTTTATGGAGAAATAACTAATGAAAAAATGTCTGAAATTGCTTATTTTTCTGCGCTTGTCTTTCTTCTTTTTTCGTTATTAATAAACAGCCGTATGTGCATAGCCACATATACATATACACATATGTATATATATGTATGTATATACATGTGTGTTAAAGCGCAGCATGATTTGCTCGATTTAAAATACTTTTCCATGCAAAAACGCAACGCGCCGAGCTGCCGCCCTTTGATTTATAAAATGAATCTGCTCCGACCGACCGACGCACATAGCAGTCGATGGCATCAGTGACTTGAGCAATGGTTGTCGGCGTTTGTTTATTTAATGTCAATGCAATTAAATTAATGCTTGCACGCACTGAAACAAAAAGCAAGCCAAATAATCGGCAAGATTTAAAGAAAACTGATTTGAGTAATGACAGGTCACATGTCTGAGCAAAAATCTGTTTGCAAAAATTGTTCCAGGCCGTGTCTTCACACTTATTATAATTTAAAATCGTAAAACCCTTTCATTCTCCATAATCCATATATACGAGTACATACATACATATGTACAATGAATCAACCACTCAATACTACCGCTACAGCAAAGGTATTATATTTCAATGTTTTAAATGCTGTTCAAATGATTTCGTTACACTTTAAACTTAGTTTTAAACAGGATCTACATTTAGAACGTGAAATATCGGGAGTTCCCTAGTGCTCTGAAATGTAAAAGTTATGAATTGGTAGTAGGGCTTTAAATTTACATTAAATTTCAAACTTACATTATCAAAACACTAAAATATAAGCCGACTACGCTGCAACAAATGGGAAAGGGCTTAGCTTAATTTTAGAATATAAAGCATGCACCTTATTCCTTCTTGGGTACGCTCAGGTCGTAGAACAGCTTGGTCATGCCACCTACGCCAACAAGAGCGAGTGCCACGGTAATACGGTACAGCACACTGTCGAAGACAGAGCCCTTCAGGAAAACGGGCTTGCCGTCCTTCTTCTGGAAGTGTTCCTGCACCTTTTTGATCTCAAAATATCCCTTGTCAATCTGGTCCTTGCCCACGGCGGTGGCACGGCGATTGCTGGTGGTAGCGAAACTACGCACGACGGCCTAAGGAAATAAAATGTGGGAGCTTGTGGTTAGTTAGCGCTCCAGCACTTACGTAATTCCAAATTATCGAATTTGCCCGTGAGGCTTATTATGGAGAATTAATAAAGGCAAATCATGAAAAGCACTTTCATTTCTTAATTGATACTCACTCTGGACAAGTTCATCATTTTGATTCAAATATTTTTAGGTAGTGTCCAAAAATGCAATCCAAGTGCTTCTGCTAAACGCGAAAATTTCAGGGGCCTCGATTATGACAGCTGTTTTGACGTCTATGGAGAATCGCGAGTTGCCACACATTCGAATTTTGCCATTCACACAGCAGTCACAATATAGTTTTTGTTTTTAATTCTGAATTAACAGCAGCACATCTGAATACATTTTATTAAATTTTCAGAAATAGCAATAGAACAGAACATTAACTCAAAATGGGGTTTCTAACAGTATTAAAAAAAATGCGCCGGAAGGAAAAGGAGATGCGCATATTGCTCCTGTAAGTGGATAATGATTTGAGTGACTCACAATTCGGTACAATCTGTTTCTTAGTGGCTTGGACAATGCCGGAAAGACAACAATATTAAAGCGGTTCAATGGCGAGCCCATCGACAAAATTTCACCCACACTGGGCTTCAACATAAAGACTCTGGAACATAATGGTTACACATTAAACATGTGGGACGTGGGTGGACAGAAATCCCTGCGTTCCTATTGGCGGAACTACTTTGAATGCACAGATGGCCTTGTATGGGTAGTGGACAGTGCCGATCGCATGCGTCTAGAGATGTGCAAAAAGGAGCTGGAGGTACTTCTACAGGAAGAACGCCTAGCCGGTGCAACTTTGCTTGTACTCTGCAACAAGCAAGACTTACCGGGCGCGCTAAGCTCTAATGAGATCAAAGAGGTGAGTTGAATCTATTATGTTTTTGCAACAGGTTATTAACATTTATTTGCTTCACAGTTGCTGCAACTAGATGACATTACAACCCATCACTGGCTAGTCGTAGGTGTCAGCGCAGTGACGGGAGAAAAGCTTTTAAGTTCCATGGACTGGCTGATTGGCGACATAGCCAAAAGAATATTTACATTAGATTAGGTAATACATAAGTTCTACTTTTCAAGCAAATACATCTTATATAATCTCATATCCTTGTCGCTTGCAAATTTCGGTACAAAGTTAATTTTATAAATCTTTGAGAAACCCTCCTCCAAGGTAGGTGTTTTGTACTTTTTCTTCATCATATTGAAAACCATGTCGTTGATCTTCGAGTGCGAAGTGTCAGAGAGCTCTCGAAAAACAATATTATGCTTTGCCTGGGACACCGTAAGATTCATGACGAAACAACGACACTCGATTTTCATTTCAGCAGCCAACTGAAGAAATTTCTGACGTGATGCTGCATCTACATTTGTGTTGTCAACAACACATGACTGACCAGCTTCCAGAAAACGTCGGCAAGCTTTGAGGCAAGCCTGCGTGCTGCCCAAAGTGTCTGCGTTTGCGATTTTATAACCCCGACTGACCAAGAACGTCTCGCAGAAATGGCTTTTGCCCGAACCGGGCAAGCCCACCATTATTATCATTTCGCATTTGTCTGTGGTAAATTCTACATCATCTGGTTCGAATTGTGGCACTTGATCATGTACGCTGCTCGGATCAAAATCAGGCTTATCCCACTGTTCGATACGCTTGCCCAGGAAATGCACTTCTGGCGTATAAAACGTAATTCCAATATTATGAGCAAACAATCTATCGGCCAAGGAGTGGTCTTTGCGTTGTTTTGTTGCACCTTTGCCCGTCTCCGGTCTGCCAGCCGCATCGCCGACAAAAAAGCTGCGTTCAAGTTTAATGGGCACGCCATCATTCATTTCTTCGACTAGGTGCTCCCACATACCTGGCAAGGGTTTGCGATAGTAACCATCGCCTACAGCTATAAAAACCTGCACAGGCACACCTAATTTTTTCGCAATTAGCTTAATCTTTACTTTAAAATCGTCTAATTTGATTTTGCCGCGCGCTATTCCTCCTTGATTAGTAAAAAAGCAAATCTTGAAGCCATCCCGATAAAGACGTTGCAGTTTCTGTGGAACTTCTGGGAAAATTATTTGCCAGTCATCCGTGTTTTTGGGAAATACATTGCCTGATAGAGTCTTAATTATTGTGCCGTCCATGTCGTAGCCAGCAATCTTGTCAGAAGGCGCCACTCCAGCGCTAGTGTAGATAACCAATTTTCCACTTGCAGCAGAATCCCACTTTTCTACGTCACTGCACCCTCTTACATTGGCGGCTTGATCTACGCCGGTTGCTTCTATATTCACTGGCGGTGGATTAAACACGACCTCATATGGATGTCGGTTATAAACTATCTCCAAAATATCGCCGTGCTGCAGCTCGCATTCTGTGTGCTGCATTACCATAAGTCCATTGACGCTGCTAGGATTTAAACCCAGCACCTTCATTGAAATGGTGCTGCTGGCGAAATCTACCTTCAGTTGTAGTTGCTGCTTAGAACAGCGAGCATCTCGTATTCCCGTGTCCTTACTGCGTCCAATTACGTTCAACCCGTCATTTAAACGTATGGTACAGTGTTCAGCCTCGATCGGCTTTAGTGTGCAGACTCTGCCTACAACTTTTTTGCTGGTTTCACCCACGGAGCGGTTTAAATATTTGACTAAAGACATTTCACATGTACAAATGTATATTGAGTATTAAATGTTGAATGTAAACGATAGAGCCAAACAGAAGAAGAAGCGTTCGCCATTCAGAGAGAATATGCAATCCTCTAACCCATGTATGCATTTTGAATTTAGTTTGAATTAAACCGTTTTTTAACCGCCAAATGAAATAGCCAAATCAGGAGAACATAGAAGGCTATGAAATTTTTGTATTTGTCTGACCTCTTAGCTAAAATTATTCATTCATCTTAGTTGTACTATTAAAAATACATTTTGAACATCCGAATCTATAAAAATGCAAAGGAACTTGTTCATTACCTTGCGCGTAAGTAAATGGACAATGTATTCTAATAATTACATTTAAATGTGACTTTGTTATAGCCACTAATGGGCAACATCAATAAATTAATGATGGTGCCCCAGCGCACATTTCTGCGCTCTGCTGCTCTTATGCAGGGGCCAGCCAAATGTGGAGTAGCCAAGGTTCCTCCAAAGTTGGCGAAGCTGCAGAAGCAATTTCAGCAAAATGACGGGAAACCTGTGTTCCTCAAGGGTGGCGGCACTGATGCCATCCTTTATAAGCTAACTCTAGTGTTATGCCTTCTAGGCACATTAGGATCGGCCTGGCTATGGTTTGGCTACATACTGGCCTAGTTAAAACACACTCATTTATGTTGGCTGCAGGCAACAGGCATCGACAGCCAACCCTTTCAGGAATTTAATACAAGTTTCAAACGCCAAACATGTTACAAACGAATGTTAATTTAACAAACAACTATACAATTACACAACTGTTCCGCCTCATATATACATATATTTATATATCCATACATAACTCAGGTATTTCATTCATAAATATATTAATTCTAACCCAATTCAACATAATTCAACACAAAATTATGTTAACACGGTATTTCATTTATACTCTCAAATGTATATTAATATATTATTCAATATTCCAAATTCAAATTGTTTTGAAAACGACATTTTATTCAAGATCCTTCAAATATTTGCGTCATACAATTGATTTGCTTTCCTTCTCGTCCATTTTATCTATGACTTGTTTCAAACAGTCCTTTGTTGACACCACATCCAAGTTGCACATTTGCGTCAGATCCATAGTAGCAATTTGTTCGATCATCTCTTTTATTTTCTCTTGCTTAATAATGGACTTGACCGATTGCCGCATGCTAGTGCGTCCTCCAGGGACACTTGTCTTTTGCCCCTGCTGCTCTTTGGAGTCGTTCTCGATGTGCCGTCCTTTGCCACGATAATGCTGCTCAATGATCCTACGTATTTTAGATTTCGTCGCAGCCCGCGTTTTTTGCGTCGCCTTACCCAATGCCAGGTTGCGCAGCTCCTGAAAATTAATCTCCTTAGTTGGGGAATCCAAGCCAAGCTCAATCGAAGCTTCATCAACATTGGCAACAACGCCATCGTCATCGTCATCATCAGTTTGGACAGAGTTCTTGTCATTTATTTCTCTATCTCTTTGTTCTATAACTGACCTCAATTCAACAAATTCTGTGTTGAATACTGCCTGATCTCCCGCTTCTTTCTTTTCTATTTCCGCTGGCTTTACGATTTCTGTATCTTTTGCTAAAGGTGTTTCTAAAGTTAGCAGCGAATCTGTAGTCTCGACCGTTGCATCAACATCACCTATCTCATGTGATTTCACCTTAGCTTCCGCCTTTTTTTCTTTTCGTAACTTGGTTCCAGCTTTCTTAGCTTTCGCTTTTACGGACACCTTGGCCGACATCCGTTTTTTCAGAATGCCAATGCAAGGCTTGGTCTTTATGCGGACTGGCATCAATGAATTATATTGTATACCTATGCTATTAAAACAATCTATAAATTCCAGGGTATCGAAGTCCTCCTGCAGCGCATTCCACAGTTCGGTATTATGCTTGTTTTTAGCCTCTACCAAGAGGTGGGTGAATCTATCAAGCTCGGACGTCGTATAATTCATTGTCTCATCTTTGCTATAAGTCCAACTGTCACGGATTTCCATAAAACGCGATACCCCGCTTTGTGCTGACAAGTTATCAATATGCACCGAAACATTTGAAGTTTCCAGCTCTAGTCGATGGAGACGGGACAGCGCAGCCCCTCCAGGATAGTTTGTACCCGAAATTAAAAGCAGAAATATAGTCACACCCACATTAAGTAGCAAATGTCCACCCGCGCAAAGTGCCAGAAAACCATGCCATGCCGACTTGGCACTGTTAAGCCAACTGAAATGAAAAAACAACAAAAAGTTCCTGCTTTAAGTATTTAAAACATTCGTATCGTTTGCGCTAAAATCACATATGTATATATATTGAGCTGATGAAGATGTTATTTTCTTTTATGATAAAATCAGAGACTCTATACCTTAATGAAAATTTGATCACACTTACATGCGATGACATGCGCAGGCAGCTACAATATTGAGTACGGGAAGAACGTAGATGATGAAGCGCAGCTCTTTGTGCGGTAGCACCGAATACAGAAGAACAAACACAAGCGCTGACAATGCCAGCGGACGCACACGGGACTCCAAATAAATGCCGATTGGTACAAAAAGCAATGAGGCCGCCATAGCCCGTGGCAGCGCGGAATAAAAGTACCAGAGAAATGGCGATGTGCCCCAATTGGAGCTTTTGTTAAGTATGGTATTGTACCATAACACTTCACCCTCGGGCCATAGAAAACGGCGCCAAAAAAACGAATCTACCAGCACAGTAGCGGCTAAAATGGATACTCCTGCAGGTAAGGCGATTTTGAGCATTCTGCGAATAAATTACGAACTATAGAAACCGTAATGTTTACGCCTTTAAATACAGACCCATCAATAGACAGTTTTTGTTGCAGTAAATTCAATGCCAGCAGTAAGCCCAAGAACAGAGCTAGCTCGAAACGAAAGACGAGTATAGCAATACCTGAGCATATGATGAAAGGCTTGTTCTGGCCACGTAGCCAGTAAGAAATAGCAAAAAGCACTAAAAAACAATTACTCATACTTGTGGCATTACTAATATTTTTCGCAAGTGAATTTCCAACTAACTTACCTATAGGAAGCGCAAACACATTTGGGAGTGGGCGCGTCATGTAGAACATAAAGTGAAATTGGCTAATGGTTATTATAGTGTACCACAAACGCACCTCGACTCCATAGATCTTTGTAACGGCCTGGCGCAGGTTATTCCAAGCCACCGAAATACCTCCGGCCAAGACTATACGTACTGCCAAACAAATATGGAATTCGAGAACAAATAATATTATATATGGAGCAACGCACTTAAAATGCATCTTACATACCTACCTACATATTGCGCCCAAAATTTATTTATGCTGAGGGCCTCGAAGAGCAGCACAAATGGCGCAGAGAGCATTGAAACAACAAGTGGCCCAATAAACGTTCGCGGCACTACGCCTGGATATTCGTGATGGTCGTACTAAAATGACAAGAGAAGTTTTATCAAACAATGATGTATGACTATAACAACTCACCTGCGTGAAGTTGTTGCGCAGATATAATATGTCATGCATTGCCTGCAAGTTAAAACTCTCCTCCACTTTCGTGAACGGCGTATAAACTAGATGCGCCGTAGCTGTTAAAAACACCAGCATATCCATGGCGGCGAGCACTCCTTAAAAAACTGTAGTTTTCAAACGAAACACTATATTTGCAGATTACATAATTGTCATCGTTGTTGTCGTTGTGAGTCGGCCGTTTTTGAGTATTCCAATATCTATATGGATAACTTTTCCAGACCTACAGATTGTTGCCGGCCGGTATAAATAATCAGATGCCTTGCTACATATACAACTTTAGAAAACTATTCTGTCTTCGCAGCCTATTCGTCGATGGTTTGGAAGGAAGCATACGTGCTTTATAAAAAATAATTTACAGTTCCAAAATAAAACTAATAGGCTTAAAAATAGAACAGTCCTCCTCCACGTAGATGGTCACAAAGGCAAGCAACAACAAAAACAATCACAAATCCAAAACAGCTGTAAGCTTGTGCATCTTCTTTCCAGTAGGCATTCACTTAATAGCCAACTGTCAAAAGTTGAGAGTTGTCATCTGCTATTTCGTTAATAAATTTCAAAGTCATTCCTTTTTCCTTTCTCGTAGAAGCTCAGAGTCGTAGAAAACATGGAAATTGATCAGAAATTCTCAAAGTCCGATGGTCTGGACAAAAATGATCTGTACGTTATTTATAAGAAACTACTCATGGAGCTGGAGTTGTTAAAGGTACAGGAAGATTATATCAAGGAGGAGCAGCGCAATCTAAAAAAGGAGTTCATTCATGCTCAAGAAGAGGTGAAGAGAATCAAAGCAGTCCCACTTGTTATTGGGCAGTTCTTGGAAGCAGTTGACCAAAACACTGGCATAGTTGCCTCAACGACCGGCTCCAATTATTATGTACGAGTACTGTCGACAATTGATCGGGAACAGCTTAAACCCTCTGCTTCAGTGGCCCTTCACAAGCAAAGCAACTGTTTGGTGGATCTAGTCCCACCCGAAGCAGATAGCACCATATCCATGTTGCAGCCAGACGAAAAACCCGATGTAAAGTATTCGGACATTGGAGGCCTCGATATACAAAAACAAGAGATTCGTGAAGCTGTTGAGCTTCCGCTAACACATTCTCAGCTCTACAAGCAAATTGGTAAGCGATATCTTAATCACATATAAATGTAGTATATATTTTTAATAATCCAGTATTTATTTTTTTAAGGAATTGATCCCCCACGAGGAGTTCTTCTTTATGGTCCTCCAGGATGCGGCAAGACAATGCTTGCTAAGGCTGTTGCCCACCACACCACGGCTGCTTTTATACGTGTTGTGGGGTCGGAGTTTGTGCAAAAGTACTTAGGTGAGGGACCCCGTATGGTACGTGACCTTTTCCGTCTGGCCAAACAGAATGCTCCATCGGTCATCTTTATTGATGAAATTGATGCCATTGCCACGAAACGTTTTGATGCCCAGACAGGGGCTGATCGCGAGGTGCAGCGCATCTTGTTGGAGCTGCTAAATCAAATGGACGGTTTTGATGAGACTACTAATATCAAGGTGATTATGGCTACTAACCGCGCCGATACCTTGGATCCAGCTCTTCTGCGCCCTGGTCGTTTGGATCGTAAGATCGAATTCCCACTGCCAGATCGTCGTCAAAAACGTTTGGTCTTCACCACAATAACTTCAAAAATGAATCTCAGCGATGAGGTCGATTTGGAGGATATAATAGCACGTCCAGACAAGATTTCCAATGCTGATATAAATGCCATTTGTCAAGAAGCTGGTATGCATGCTGTTCGCGAAAACCGTTATGTGGTGGGGCCTAAGGACTTCGAGAAGGGCTACAAGGCTAGCGTTCGCAAAGACGAGGCCCAACTTGAATTTTACAATTAAAATTTTAAATTACTTGTATCGCACATCAAAATTATAAATCACCATTTCATTCCATTTTTATACACTGCGATATTTGTTGTAGCCTTTTCAACATATAAATCCGATTCCAATAAAATCACTGCAGAAATTTCAGTTTTCATAGCTAACGGCAGCCGTGTCAACGTCCACGCGTGAATACTACTTGGGTATAAGAAGAAGAGGCAAACATAGCTGGTTTGCATATGTTGTTTGTTTATATTGCATGTTGGATACTTTATATCCGAAGGAATCCATAGTAAACATGTCTTCTGTGGAGACCTATTTGACGCAAATTAAGCCCGCCATTGATAATTTTATAAAACAGCCAACCAAACAGACTCTCGCACAAGTAGAAGAAGTGGTGAAGGATTTTGAATTTGGGCGAATGCCTATTTTCCATACGCAGGTTTTAGTGCCCTTGGTAATAAAGTTAGATGAGCTGACCGGGTAAGTTTATTTTTTTGTATGGATTACTGTAGCTGTTGTTGTATATTGTCCTTCATTCGGAACAGAGAGAGCCAGGAACTGCGAACTATTCTATTAGACTGCCTGCGCCACATTATTTCCAAACTTCTTCTGTCAAATGAGAAGGGCTTACGCTCCATATTGGTGGTAGCGCTACAGCAGATTCGGGATCCAAAAAGTGGCATAACACGTCCCAATCTTTCAGAGGAGATTAAACTGGCAGCTGTCCTTTGCATCATGGCAGCCTTGCGGAATTCTTCAAGCGATGTGCAGGATGCATTTTATACAAAAGCCACAGAGGTAATAATTGGTCAGATATTGCGTACGCTGTTGGAATTCATCGCCTATGAAAAGTATCGGAAGCTAGTGTAAGTTTAAGAAAAGTCGGAAAATTTTTTAGCATGTATCCAATTTATTTTGTTCAACCCACAGCAACGAATCTTTGCAATGTCTTATGGTAGTGTTCTATGTGGACGACAAAGCCAACTCGGGCGATGTTGTTCTGCGCAATCAAGTAGCCAATATCGCGTTCATATTTCTACCAAAAGTAGTCACAGTACTATTCAAAACATGCATGGCTGATGATAAAGTGGGTGAGAACATAAAGACGGTGAGTAGCCACATACATACATATGTATGTATATTTATTAAAATATGTACTTACATATGTATGTCGCCGATGCTTTATTTCTACAGACAGCTGTGAAAGCTTTGGGTCGGATTATTTGCATAATGTTTGAGGAAACTACGGATGATTTTCAAAAGTCACGCTACGACCTTCAGTCTTTCAAAATGATCTTCGACTCCATCAGCCGTTATGAAGAATCTCCCATTTTTGGGAACAGCAAACCAACGGGTGCACAATTAGAAGAGCGTCTGAAACAACACCATGCCGAGCTCCGCTCTGCCAAATGGATTTCGGAAACTTCACAGCGTATGCGACCTATCTTCGTTGGGACAAGCATTTTGCGTGCCCACAATTCGGTAAAAGTGCGAAAAGAGTATGCAGAAATGTGTTGTCTGTTGCTCAGGCACTGCGCACATAATTTGAAGCACAACTTTATACATCTACTGGAGGTTGTGGTTGCTCTGTCCGAAGATGAAGAGCCGTCCATTGCGGAAATTTGCCAAAGCACCCTGTCTGCATTGCAGCAGCTTCCCAGCCGTGCTGGAGTGTTCGACGAAAATGCCGAAATTTTGCTGGATACACATTTGAATAAGTTGCCACGAATTCTGCACCGTTGGGATGATAATGAACAATTTGCAGAGCTGTTATTCTTTAAAGGCTTTGTGCGCAATATCAACTCAGATAAACTACAGTTGTTCTTGTTAGTGCCCAAGAATTTAGATTTGTTCGTGATGTGTGTACTAACTGCACTGGATTTGCAAACCACACGTGATTTGCTCAATGAAGAGTACTCCCTACGTAGCATACAGGAAAGCAGTGACAATAAATTGCTACAAAAGCTGCATTGGCGCCAATTCAAATACCTGAGAGCGAAGCGGAACGTGGATATACTATATGACATAGTCATGTTATTGGGTTGTAAGGAAGCTTTAAATCATCTTATATTTGATTACTGTATAGACAGAATTCAGCAGCGAAGTTCAGTTATGAACGAGGCAATTTTATTATTGACCCTCTTGGTGCCTTCACGTGAAAATCGCCTGAGCAATAATCATCAGATATTGGCAGAACAATTGTTAGAGCAGGTACTCAATGAAGAGCACTGGAACTTAGCCCTCAAACCTGATTCTCTGTGGCACCTCAAGACAGATAAGGTAAGTGTCCGATACATTAATGATAAATTCATAAATAATAACTAAGGCACTTAATAGCCATCAGCTTGGTCTGAAGACCGCACGCCAGGTCTTTATGAGGCTGCGATCGAAGTGCGTACACAGGACTACGATTCGGATGATGATAGCGAACAAATCAGCAATAGAGTGAGCATATTGGATGCCCAGTATAATGTCTTACATACTTGTATCGTCCTAGACGCTTTGGGACATTGTGCGCAATTTATGGGCAATTCATTTGACCGTTATGTATTTCGTAGTTTGCACCAAGTGCTGCTGAAGCTGGGTAGGCTCCAAACCTTGAAATGGTTAACTATATAAAGACAGAACTAAGCTACCTTTTAAACAAGGAAGCAATATGTTTAGCTGTTTTTAATATTTACCTTTTTGAATCATTAAAATATATTTTCTGATATATCTCAAATTCCAGCTAGCAGCAATTGCATCATACATGAGGCTGCAACATTTGCGTTCAAGTCTATGCAGCTTGCGCTAAGTTACACAGAACCATCACAATTTATAGAGCGTTCCACAGACTATATAACATATCATCTATATGCAATGCTCAGGAGGGTAAGACTGTTTTTAACTTACCTGGTCGTTTCATCACAAATCCTCAATTCTCCGCAGGCGCCTGAGAGCAGCGCCGCCGTAGAAATCCTGGCCGTGGTACTACAATACAGCACGAGTGCAAATGTGTCCCACCTGGACAGTATCTTTGATACGATACGTGAGGAGTGTGCCAAGTCTTATCAAAGCAACAATTTGCATTCGTACCTGCGTGTATTTCATGCTTTTTTGAAACATGTTGCAAAGTGGCAGAGTCTGAGTGCTGCGGAAATAAAGGAGTATCCCATGCAAGTGGATATAGTTGAACAGGACTTCCTCAACACTTGGCTAGATATACTCAAGAAGCCGCCTATTCTGGACGCTTCAATTAATGCTCAAAATGAGGCTACCACTGATTTCGACATAACTGAGCCAGTAGAAAAGGAAAACGAACCGGAACCGGAGGACTCCCTTTCAACAGCGCCTACTCTACCGCGACACATTCAAATGACTAAGGATATATTGCACCAAATCGTCAAACTCGTTTCATGCACGGAGCAAACTCAACAAATTCTGGCGCTGGAATGTCTCGCTACCGGCATTCCACTACTTGTTGACTACGAGGACGAGCTACTCCCGTTGGTCCATCTCATGTGGCAGCCGCTAATTGAGAAATGTAGACAAAAGGATGCTCTAGTGTTGAATCGCTGCTTCGACCTTCTTCAAATCCTAGGTGTCTATGCTAAAGATTTCATATTAAAACGCAGTGTTAGGTGAGTCATAACTTATGCATACAGACAATGCTTCATTTCATTAGGTAAAGATGTTCATACTCGTATATCAAAGATCACAGTAATCAATGGATCTTTAAATTTAATTTTGTTTGGGAAGCATACTGTTGTAATCAATCTACACTTAGACTCAAATTGCCAATTGGACACCGATGCATACTAATTATTATCTTATCGTAGAATTATTTTTAATCTAATCAACATCAAAACTAAAATTAGTTGTGCTTTGATAGTTAAGTTTACCATTTAAAAAGCCACATGGAAAAAAAAAATATTTTTCAAATGAATGTCCGTACTTAACTATTATATTATGTTTACCACCAGTTTATGTTGTAATATTCGACATCATTTTTATTTTTCAGCGATGTGATACCACAGCTGAAGCTGTTCCTCAAAACTGCGGGTGCGCACAGCAGAGTTGAGTCCTCCCTCGCACTGACTCAGGAGTACAAACTGCAACTAAAGTTACTGAAGCATTTACCGAGCTTCATTCAAAGTGTACAGCTTGATGGCAAGCATTTACATGAGCTGCTCGGTATTGTAGCGTTGTATTTGTCGCAGACACAACCCAAAGAACTACAAACACTCGCCGTACAATTCTATCAAGGGCTAATGCCCTATAATGCTCCATTTGTGTATGTAACGCTGCTCCCACGCGCACATCTGCAGGACTACAAGGCAAATGTGTCGGAGCTGGTATCTGGCATGGGTTTTGAATTATGGAAGTTATAAAGTAGAATGTCTTATATAATAAAATTCCATTTTATTGTTTCACAACTGCTCTATGCCGTTCACACTCTTTAACATTACAAATTTTAACTCTAAATTGTCTTTTATGAATCAATGGAGCAAATACAAAGGCGTTTCTGTATGGAAAGCATGTTATAGTTTTGCGTGCGTACAAGGGCAAGCACACATAAACCAAATACGCGAATATATTTGAGGTATTTGTCCCTAGCATGCGTATATACTAAAAGTAAAATATATTTGTATGGATTTTTATTGAATAATCAAGGCAAAGATCAAACAATTATAATTACGAAACAAGTGAAGCATTTGGAAAACATAATTTAAATTAAATTTTAGCAGCTCATACGCTGTGGCCCAATAACTAAATGCTATGCATGAAAGTTTTACTCTTTATAGAAAGAGCCTTACAACAAAAATTAAACACAAACGCATACACACAAATACAGAGTCGAAAGGTACAGTAGAAACTCAGATGCTTAGCACCGTTGAAACTTAGCATCCGACTCATATACAGATTTTAAGCAATGTTTTTGTATCAAATATAGCTGAATATTATATAAAATGATTGCAATTTTGTGTTTGTTATACTGCCGCTTGCTCAGCTTTTGGGTCATTTTCGTTGATGATTGAATTGTATGCCAATTGGCATGCGAAATACTTAACTGCAGGCTGTAGAGTAGGGCAATGTGCATATAGTCTATTGAGCGTCTCGAAGTACCTTCTATTCTACATAAGTGGTATGTGATAGTGGTAGTTCGTACCATTTTGTTCGTTACAAGGTTTTGCTGGTTCTCAAGCGTGGACATCTGTATGAGAGTTTAGGGTATGTTTTTAGCTAATATAATGCGCCGGACAGAGGCAACTATGACTTTGCCAGCCAGTTCATTAGACTATTGGCATATGCCATGGGCTTGACATCAGGATGCGACTGTTAAATATGATACAAGAAAAAATACGAGTAAGTTAAAAAAGGCAATATATTATAATAAAATACTTACCACAGCCTCAAAGGATTTGTAATTTGGTTTTAGGTTATTACCCGTTATAGTTATAAACGCGCCCATGTTGCCCATGGTATCACTGAAAATTAAAGTTCTAACTTGTTTCGTTCCAAACATTGCCAATCATTTGCACTTACCAATAATTTGGCGCTGAGAAAACGGTGATGCACTGTCCGTTGTGAGCAACCTCATAGCCCATATCTTTGACTTCATGACTGCGTATGATATAATCCAAATTATTAAGCTTACAAAATGCCTCCGTTACGTCCGGCCCAAATTGTATTCCCACACCACGTTTGGATGGGCCCCGACCGAGCCATTGCTGTGGATCAGACCACAGCAATTCGCACATTAGTCCCTCCTCGGGCGGCTGACAGTTGCGTTCAATGCGGCGAATGTTATCTAATGTGACATTGTCCGACGAAAATAGACCGCCGTGCATGACTAGGATCTTCTGATTAATGCAATGACACAATGGCAGCCAGTTGAATACTTGCGTAAACATATCTGCCATTGTGCTTGTATATTTTGCTGTAACTTCACCAGTAAAACCGTACATTTGGTTCATGTTGATGCTCTCATGATTGCCTGCAACAGAAATCATTTAATTTATCATTCCACAAATTCCACAAGTTTGCTAATGTTACCTTACCTCGTGATAAATAAAAATGATTTGGATAAAGCAATTTGAAACCGAATAGCGTGAATATACATTCCACTGAGAAGGAGCCTCTATCCACAAAATCACCATTGAACAAATATGGATTCTTTTCCGATGGCAGTCCATTTATTTCAAATATGTTCATCAGATCATAAAATTGACCATGAATGTCGCCACAAATTGTGAACTTCTGCTCGTCTGGCACTGTAATGTCTACCAATGATGGCTGAGCGCGCATATACATATCAATTTCGCAGAGGATCTGTTTGGTATATAAGTTATGTATTTAATTGCCAATAAGCGGAACTATTGATTTTCCTACCTTATAAGCGAATTTACGATGCAGTTTCTTTTGTGCCTTATAGTGCTCCATTAGGTCTATCATAAACTGCAGGGTAACCTTGCCATCCTCGAGCTGAGGTCCTTTGTAGTCATCTTCGATAGCTGGTAGATGTATGGATAAATATTTAAGAACATTTTTTCTTTGGGTAACACTTAAATATCTTACCTATGTTCTCCAAGTCCCTGTTCATCTCAGAAAGCGTCTTTTCTGGCTTATCGACAGCAATAGCGCGTTCAAAGGCGCGCATCTTTACAATTTTACTGCATTCGGTAAACTTTAATTTTGCGTCTTTATCATTGGGCCGGCATTTAGCCACCTTAAAGGGAAACAGAAATGAGCTACGTCACATTTTCAGCCGCGATGAGGTACTTACATATTCGAAATCAGAGAGCGCTTGCTTGAATTTTCCTAAAGACATATGAGCTGCAGCACGTCGGTAATAGCCCTTTAAGTAGCTCGGATCTGCTTTTACTGCTGAAATGCCGTCCTGCAGTGCGAATCCAAAGCTTTCCTGACGTAGATGCGCCAACGAACGATTGGCATAGTATATTGCACTACTTGGATACAGTTCTATGGCTTTGGAGTACATGTCGATGGCTTTCGTAAATTCTTTAGCTGCAATGTTGATAAATGTGATGATTCATACTTGTGATGATTGCAGATTATTATAGTTTATTTTGGAAAGATCGGCTCGTAGGCAATAACTAGGCCTAATCACCTGCATACATGCGTACGTACATACATAGGTACTTGCATACATATGTATGTAAATTATCTCACGCAGCGCCAGTTTTTATTTTAAGGTTAGGTCGAGCAAAGCATTTGGAAACAATGGCCCATTTTGTTGTAGTCAAGCCCGATCTATAATGAGTACTCCAGGGTCCGTTGCGAACCACTTGATGCTAAGCATATTAGATGTGCCACTTACTTTTAAGCAATTCATTTCCCTGATTTTTGTATTGCTCTGCCGCGGCTAAATTTTGTTCCATTTTTTCACAGGCGTCCGCCGCCGATTCCAATTCCTCTTTGTTGCTATTTAACTCAACACTTGCACTTAGTGGCTCCTTCTGTTCAGGCAGCCCTTCTGCGTTCTTTTGTTGTATTATTTCTAAGTCAGACGATGACATTTTCTGTTGTTTAAGAATGATTTTGTTATTAGAACAGGGACTGGGGCATAGTGTGACCGTTCGCAAAATTCTAATAAAATCAAAAACAAAAAGGGCAAAAATACTAAATTTAAAGACACAATAAAAAAATAGCCGCGAAATTTGGCTCGAAAAAGTTTTCGTTGCTTTTTGTCTTGCCGGCTTAAAATATCACACTCTCTTTTCAAATTGGCACATGTGAGTGGCAATTGTACAAATCTCAAAAATGAAATAATTATCAATGAACTAAAAATGAACTAAATATAAAATGGAAATTTTCTTTTTTTATCGTGTAAAAATCTGGATGTTATTACTTATCAAGTAACGCTCTTCCTAACCTGAATTTCCCCATATTTTGGTAGATCGTAATCGCAGTCAAGTGTGCTTTATTCAAATTGAAAGAACCAATCACATGCCCAACATGGAACAGTGCTGTAGAATGCCGGTTTAAATGCACTAAGGAAAACAGCTGAGCTAAGCTAAACTGAGCTGAGCTAGGTTTGGTGAGATTGAGAGCTGGACAGAATAGTTAGACGAGAACGGGTTTATTATTAGTGTAGAAACTTTGGAGCAAAGCGCCACGCTTTCCAAGCCGCAGATTAACGCAGCATCATTCGTTTGTGCTTAGATTTTCCACTGCATACACAAACAATTGCAGTTGATCTGTTTTACATCGCGGGGGCGTCACTTATCCGTGGGAATCATAAACAACTGACATGTCAATGAACAATTTATCAATTGATGGCGAGTTTCGTTACATTATACAATGGTTTAATGAATGGAGCGAATTGCAGCGAGATGATTTTGTATATGTACTGGTGGAATACCTGACTCGAAGTGCAGGTGGTGATGGTCCCTATGTAAATGGCGTCGTCCATTCCTTAGCCACAACGGGCATGGTGCAGGACAAGCCCATGAGTCTATTTCAGTGTCGTGTAAGTAATTATATCTCATGTATGTATATATGCATACGTATGTATAAATAGCTTATATACATATGTATACGAATATATGCACGTATGCGTACTATAGCTTAGAAAGCTGCATTCTCAACTGCAACTCATAACGCGTTTCTTCTTCCTTTTGAACAGATTAAACTGTTCCGTGAATGGAGCGCCAGGTGGCCAGTCGAGTTCAAATGCAAGTTGCAAGAGAAAATCAACGAAATTGACGCAAAAGTAGGGGAAAAGATCGTCAATGAACTAAAGGGGTCACATTCCGAGCACAATGGCGACATCGCTATTCATTTAAATGTAAATGGAGCAATCGGCGATGACGAAGGCAATAGCGAAGTGGAACAGGCTACAGCAGAAACGTTCCCAATAACAACAATATCAGTAGTAGCACCAGCAGCAACTTTGACCGAATCATTGGAGACCGATAATATTAACCACTTAGCTGAGGTGTTGCGTCAAGAAACCCCAGTTGATGATGACGAGGCTGGTGATGATTGCAATGCTGATATAAATGGTCATTATGTGTCGTCGACGTCGTCGGCTGCAGTGACAACGATTGCTGTAAACACGTCGCCTCAGCCACCAACGACTAACGACGAACCAGTTGGACAAGTTGAGAATAGCGTTACAGCCAGTGTCATTGTCTCAGTTAACGCAGCCTCTGCCGCTACGGTCAGCCAAGCTGATTTGCCACCAGTGGCATAGGCCTAACAATTCACCGCACTAAATTGCAAGAAAGAACTGAAAAACGTAATGAGTAGTGCAACATTTCAGTTGAACCCAAGCATCATTCCATTCCATTATACATACGTACATACATACATGTATCTAGTTATGTAATAACATTGCGAACCGATAAACGGGAAGTAGGTTTCTACATTTTTTTGCATTTATTTAGCCATAAGTTAAGTCTTACCAACTGGAACTTAATTTGTTTATGAAGCAGGAATTCAACAAGTATCTCCTACTTATAAGACTCAAACAATTAAACGACTTTTAGGTTTCTTTAGAAAAAAACGAAACAATTGCCTTTTCACTTTTTAAAGGGCTCCAGTAATTTACAAGTATAACGTTATTATTCCCAAGCATTATTGATTTGTATGTTTTGGATTGTGACCGTTAATACGAACTCCGAACTGTCGCTAAAATGAGAAATAAATAGGTATTTATATCTGCTTAAAATGAAATGAAAATTAATTTTATTATTTAAATTTGTTGCAATTGTTTCAAAGTCGTATTGCTATCGAAACACATTGACTTGTTTCGAATTTGATCGCTAAATTTAATCGCTTCCACAGTCTGAAAACATGTTTTGTTCTTTTTTTTTTTATTATAAGTATTACACCATCCTAAAACCCAGTTCAGTTTCCAGCTGGAAGAATGTGCACAGCGTACAACAAGCAAGTGTATAGTCGATGTGGATGCTGACACTGATGGAGGCATCACAATCCGCCGGCTTACCGAGCTATATATGCACATGTGTGTGTGAGTAATTGGTGTGTATTTTTATGTTTGTGTGTTGCTTCTCCGCTTAAGCGAAAACTATGTGTTTTACTCACTTTGTTTTTTCTGCTTGTGCTTTTGTGTTTTCTGTTTTGTTTGGTTGTTCTTATTGTTGTTGTTGGCACCGTCGGTTGATAAAAGAGGAAACAAAACAGAGCGCCTCTGTCGAAATGGAAAAAATAAGATATGCTCATGAGTACATTTGTATATTGGACCAATTTATTTCAATTTTGCACTTCATCGGCAAAAGTTGTTTCTCGGGTGACGTGCGGCAGTCGCCACGTTAACTAAATTATTGACATACAAATTAATACCGCAATTGATCAATTACTATCCTCTCAGGAATTGTCTTAATGGAACATTGAAAAATGATTCCCTCGCGCATAAAACTAATTGGCCTATATTTGTGCCTCCTCCAATGTGAGTATTTAGTTTGCGGGAAAACAAAAGACTTAGGAAAAGAACTCTTGGGTACGGCTACATTAACACACATACATACATATATACAAATCTACATACATATGTATGTATGATGTATACAGACTGTGTCTAAGTAATTTAAGTCTGTTAATAGAGGCCTGCGATTAATGTGATGTTGCCTAACTACATATGTCGCGTATTACTCGGTCAAGGTCAATGACTAGAAATTCCCCGCCAACAACAATGAAATGTGCTAAGAAAAATAAAACCATAAAACGAAGGGCAATAAACCACGAAAACGATAGCAAAAGTGAGTAAGTCGCCGTTTTCTTGCTCGGTTCTTCCACTTCTGGTTTGCCTTTGCCGCCATTGACCTTGGCATTTGGCCAGTCTAGCCTTTCAGTAAATACGGCTCTCTCGTAAAACCATTTTAGTTGCCCTCTGCTCGACCAGTCCCAACGCCTGTAATTGCATACGCATAAAGGACTGTGCTCCATTCAGTCGCCTTCTGCTGCATCATAAACCTGAGGCAAGCGCCGCTGTCTTTGCCGTGGTCCATGCGGCAGCTTGTGGCTTCGACGGCCTCGAGCCGCTCGCGTGCTGTCCCAACTTTTACTACAACTACCCAGATGAGTCATCGCCAGCGTCGCGTATGTTGCGCTTTGCACCGCCTCCAGAGCAATGGGTATGGGACCGCAGGAATAGTGCTGCTGCTGAAACGAGTTTACTGGACTATCGGGATTTCAAGACACAACGTAACTGGCCTCGACCTGTGGGCTATGACTTTGATGGCCAGCACTTCGGCCCGTTCCATGAATTTCGGTATAACGTTGAACATGGAAACGAGCCGGAGCCCATCGATTATTTTAGACCGAAGCAGCCACGTGTTGTGGCCGAGGACAGGCCCATTGTGTTTCCTGGTGACTTGCGTTTCCAGTCGGCAATTGAAAAGAAAACGGAGTTTCCAACCAAAGTAGTAGCAACGAACATCAATAGAAATAAAAAAGTGAAGGGTACCACGCCCAGACCAGCTCTTCAAACTTCATCAGCCAGACCCAGAAATGCGCCCGGCTGCGGCATAAGTCTAACTATGCGCATCCTAGGAGGCCAACAAACCAGCCCGGGACAGTATCCTTGGCTGGCGAGAATCGCATATCGGAACATGAGTAAGTCAATATAAGCGATATTCAACTTTCGCAATTTTTAATTAAAATTTTCGCATTGCTTCCGAACGTTAACTAAAAAGCCTATTATGGGGCAATACATACATATGTAAGTGTGTATTCAGCGCGTGCTTCTGTGTAGTGTGGTGTCTGTGTTATTGGGTGAGTGTATAAAGGACATGACTCTCAATAAACAAAACAAAACTCGCTCTCGCTCCAAATGCAATTGGGAAAATTAGCCGAGCTCACTGGCCACCGTCGCCATCTTCTTGGTCAAGTAAACTCCACAGCAAAAGAGCAAAATAGCAAGGCACAGAGAGCCGGTGCCTTCGTTGAATCCACCAAATCCCTTAGGTTCTCCTTTGCCTCGACCTTGACCTTGTCCTTCGCCTTGGCCCTGGCCCTGGCCCTGGCCGTACCCTTGACCGTATCCTTGATCATTTCCCTGACCGTAGCCTTCGCCGTCGTCATCATCCTGGTCTTTGCCGTAGCCTTTGCCATAACCTTTGCCGTAACCTTTGCCATCTCCGTATGGATCTCCGAGGCGTGCGAATTGGCTGGAGTCTGTCGGTTGCTGCCGATTCTGCTGTGACTTATTTGGATCTCGCATCGACGATTTTGGGCAGAGGTCGCGGCCACAGGGCTTGGGGCCACAGGGTGGGGAGCCACGGCCTCCAGCGCCCGAGCCTGTAGCCATGCCCTGGTTTCTGTAGCTTCCCGGACCACCTGGACCTCCTGGAGCCCCGGGACCCCTACCCCCACGGCCGTAACCGCTGCCGTAGTTTCCGCCACCCATGCCCCCACGGCCACTGGCAGAATATGGACCACCCATACCCCCACGGCCACTGGCAGTATATGGACCACCCATACCCCCACGGCCACTACCAGTATTCACACCACCCATACCCGGACGACTACTATCAAATTCTGCACAATAGCTTGGTCCAATGGTAACGCTGCGTCCAGTACTGCTATAAGCGCTACCATAGGTAGTTGGTTGGCCAGCACTACCTTTAGCACTACCATGGGCGCTACCTTGAGGGCCGCCATAGCGGCCAGACTGAGGACCCCTATAGCCGTATCCACCACCGGGTGCGGCGCCATAACCGTAGGCGACGCTTGATGGGAACGGCTCTCGTGTGTTTCCATACCTGCCACCCAAGGCGTTCGGGCTACCACACGGACATCGACCACCACTCATTTGGTCCTGGCAATTGTGGCTGTGGTACTCTGAAAATACACATTATTATTTCATTAGTTTAAAAAAAATAACTATAGACTACATATACTACTAGCAAATATACATTTTTTACATTCTAGCCAATAATCGAATCAGCTATCGCTGCTCAGGATCGTTGATCTCCAACAACTATATTCTAACAGCGGCCCACTGTGTAGTGAACTTGGTCAACGATTTGGAATTGTATGTAATAGCCTATATACTTTTAAAGTTGTTACAGAAATTATAGATATCCTAATAAGCTTTTTAAAAAGAAAAGTCGGTATTAACACCTACTTGTATTTGTAAGCATTTTTAAGATTTAAAACTTGAGTTTTGTTGCGTAATGCTAAGCAATAATGCAATAATGCAACAATGCGATAGGAAAAAACTTGTTTCAGCTTATAAAATCAATCATAGGTCAGGTTTAATTGTTGCTAATCATTGTCAAGTTTGTTAAAGTTTCCTATCTATTTCCCTGCACTTTAGATCCCATGTGCGCATTGGCGATCACACAAACGTCGATCAAGACTGTGCGCCCATGACTACCAATTGCAGAGATCCCAATCTGTTTGCCATCAACCGCCTAGTCGTTCATCCCAGCTACGATCAGCCGAAATATTCCAACGACATTGCATTGCTCAGAATCAACAATACAGAACGTAAAGCTTATCTTCGGACAACTAAGTCGCTCCCCAATACTTATGTTTTTGAGTCCTTTCAGATAACTTCACGGCCATATGCTTACCTCTGAACAGCACAGCAACACTCGCGGACAGACTTATTGGGCAATTTGGCGTCGCAGCCGGTTGGAGCACTACAATTGCGGAAAGTGAGTTGTATATCGAAAACTTTTTTTACAATTATGTGTCTGTGTAAAATTTTTGTGCCACATTTGACAAATGATAAATGGCTTGCCTAAAAGCAACTACATGTGTACATAAGTATGTACATACAAGTATACATACATATGTATACAGATCGAAAAACCATTTAGAATGTAAAAAAAAAACTTCTCACAATATACATTGTACATATGTATGTACTTATGTATGAACAAAATAAACTTTTTGTACTCTGTACATGAAATGTACAAGAGTATTTTAGATTTGTGAAAAATTAAAAATCTAACAGGCAAAAGGAGGCGTGACCGACCCCTCAAACTATTTGTATATCTATATTCTTGATTAACATGACAAGACGAGCCGTTTTAGCACTCTCACTGTTTGTCTGTCCGTATGAACACCTAGATCTCAGAGACTAAAAGAGCTTCACCGCTATTAGTTACTTTTCATAACTCCCGTATATATATATAATAACACAGAAGAACCTTTAAATTTTGAACTTGGCCATTATTGAAATTCTCCAATGTTGAAATTACAGCCCATATTTATTGACGTAATAAATAAAGAAATCATTTTATTTACTTTTTAAGGCTCAGATTCCTCTGTGCGTGTCATACGACTGCCCATTGTGAATACGACCAGTTGTGCCATCTCCTACGCCAATCTGAGCGAAAACTTTCAGGACCCGATCATTATTACGCCCAACCATCTGTGTGCTCAAGGTCAGCCAATGAACGATGTCTGTCGCGGAGATAGCGGTGGCCCGTTCATGGATGACGGCACTTCCGGGCTTATATCTAGGGATGGACGCCACACTCTCCTCGGCATTGTGGCATTTGGACCAACTGTGTGCGGCATAACTACAGTACCGGGAGTCTATACGCGTGTGAGCTCCTATGTGGACTGGATCTTAAACAGCTCGAGCAGTCGATGAATGAGATGTGGGTTGGGAATGTGTGATGCACAGAGCGAAGTGTTTCCAAAGCTTTTGATGCCAAAGTCTACAGTGTAGTAAAATCATAAGTATGAGTTTTCTTCAAACGTGTTGAATCAGTGCCTGATTTGTGGCAATATCTTTTAAGATATAATAAAAATATATACATACGTTTCTACATGAAGTGTTCAATATTATGTATAAATAGTTTTATATTTCATATGCGGCTTTACAATTTTTAGCCCATAATAAAAATATGTAATTCAAATACAGATACTTATATAAATTGTATACATTCTGCACTTAGTATCACTTAGTATTGATACCACCCTCGTAATTACCATTTTGACAATAAAAGCTTCATACAAAGCTTATTTCAGATTTGTGTTAAGCTGTGCTCCGAGCCGACCGGTCCCAGTTATGTGTAAAGCCTTGCTTTGGCCTCTTCAACTGCTTTCGTAGTTGTCGGTGTGATATACGGAATTTCCGATTTACTCATCGCTTTGTGGCATTTCCTTAAGACGACAGCTTTATCGCCGTGTTTATTTTGATAACTATTTATAAGCCAAGAGCAAAGTGCCTAATGTAAATACTATACACATATTGCACAGTTTTCCACAGATCCGATATTTTTGACGAGGCATTTAGGCAAGCCAAATTGAATTGCTTTCTTTGGCGTGTGCAGTATTATTTATAAACAAATGCATTATTTAACAGTAACCTGGCTTTTGCTGGGTATTCTTTCGTGTTTAGCATCAGCGCGTAAGTAAACTTTGAGAATTTATGTGAAATTGTAGAAGGTATCGCTAAGAATTACAGAAAAGTACTATCTAAATAGCTGACATAGAGTTATTCGTTTGCTAAACAGGCCTTCACATTCATGATATTATATTTGAAAACCTGTTTTCATAGTAATTTATTTAAATTATTTAATTAAACGTAAGCAAATAATCAATTCTCATTGGCAATTATTGCATACCCTGAGCTTACGAATTTTGCGTAATTTATTGTTCTTTCCTACGCAGAATTTTATTTCCCCAATGAAGCTGCCCAGGTGCCTAACTACGGACGGTGTATTACGCCAAACCGGGAGCGTGCCTTGTGCATACATCTGGAGGACTGCAAGTATCTTTACAACATCTTAACCACGTCTCCGCTGCGAGATGCGGACAAACTTTATTTAAGCCGTAGCCAGTGTGGCTATGTCAACGGGAAGGTCCTGGTAAGACGGCAGACATGAAACTGCACAGCACAATTCCCATTTCTGTTATTTATTGTGATTTTTATATGACGATATGTAGATATGTTGTCCAGATCGATATCGCGATGGTGCACCAGAAACAACGCTGCGACCAAAGGAGCCCAGTCACAACATCTCGGAGCCAAACAGTCTACTACCGCTTCCCGGGCAATGCGGCAACCTGTTGTCCAATCGCATCTTTGGAGGTGTTAAAACCAAAATCGACGAATTCCCCTGGATGGCACTGATCGAGTATACCAAATGTAATACCACGCTTGTCTTACATTCGATTTCTCATTATTTCACTGCTTACCAACCCAATGCCGTATTTCAGCGCACGGCTTCAAAGGTCATCATTGTGGTGGGTCTTTAATTAGTGCCCGCTATGTGGTCACTGCTTCACATTGCGTTAATGGTAAATCGTTGCCCACAAACTGGCGGCTTTCTGGCGTGCGTTTAGGCGAGTGGGACACCACGACGGATCCCGATTGCGAAGTTGATGTGCGAGGCAATGAAGATTGTGCTCCGCCTCACATGGATGTGCCTGTCGAGCGAGCCATTCCGCATCCTTCATACAACCCTAACTCAAAGAATCAAGTTAATGACATTGCCTTGCTCCGTTTGGAACGATCTATCGAATACACAGACTTTGTGCGCCCAATATGTTTGCCGCTGGATGAAAGGATCCGCTCGTCTACTTTCGATGGCATTGCTATGGACGTGGCTGGCTGGGGCAAGACGGAGGAGTTATCAGCCAGTAATCTTAAGCTCAAAGCGACCGTTTCTGGTTTCAAACTCGATGAATGTCAGTCCGTATATAGCCACCAAAGTATATTACTTGAGAACACGCAGCTATGTGCGGGCGGAAAAGAGGGAATTGACTCCTGTCGCGGTGATTCAGGGGGTCCCCTGATTGGATTGGATACGAACAAGGTAAACACGTATTATTTCCTAGCCGGTGTGGTGTCGTTTGGACCCACACCATGTGGCTTAGACGGTTGGCCGGGCGTCTACACGCGTGTTGGTGACTACGTAGACTGGATTCAAAATACAATATCACCGTAAATGTGAGTGGGTAAAATTTACCTGAATAGCTTCAAGTTTCTATGAATAAGAAGGTTGTATATTTTATAAGTATGTAAATAAAGTTTATACCTCAGGCAACATTTTATTTTGTATTTGGCGCCCAGCATTCAACAAGCAGTCGAAACGTGCGCTTCCCCCATCATCTTACATAAGGTGTTGCCAGATTGATAAAACAATCTTCCGCATAAAAGAAATAATATAACCGTGCTGATTTAGTTTATTGAAAGAAAAATGTTGAAAAATATCTGCGTCACGCAAATTAATTTGCTGAAAAGCGTATCTAACATGCAGCAGCAAGTCCGGGTATGTTCGCTGTGTCTGCCCTAGTTTTCATTAATAAATATTATTTTACTCATCGTCCCCGCAGACCACGTTCGTCTTAAAACGTAAATACGAGCCACTATTACACAAAACCAATGAAAAACCACGGAAAATGCGCGCCAAGCACTTTATTTATGAGTTAGTAGAGGACACGTCGGTAAAAAAGCAACCCAACCTAGAGGTGGTACTTAAGCAATTTGTGCAAGGAGTTGGAGACAAGGGCGATGTAGTATCATTAAGGCCCAACTTTGTATATAACAAACTTCTATTGCCCGGACTGGCCGCCTATAAGACGCCGGAGAATATAGCCAAATATGCGAAAACAGAGGCTGAAAAAAACACTTTGGAGCACAGCTCTCCATATGCGCAACGCACGGTAAATGTACTAGAGTCGATAACACTAGCGGTGATTATGAACAAGGACGAGCGCTGGGTATTGGAACCGTGGCACATTAGGGCGTCATTGCGCAAGGCTGGCATTTACTGTAATGAAGAGTGTATTTCAATGCCATCTCAGCGCATAGAAGGACCGGACCTGAAGAAAGAAAACAAAGAGTTTTATTGCACCATTACCGTGAACAACTTGGAGAAGGCGCGACTCAAGTGCCGCATACATCATTGGAGTACGGATCCAAGCGAACGCCTACCCTACGTCCTGGAACACTGGAAAATGCCTGCCGAGCCATTGCTGGGGCTTGAGGATGGAGCCACTGCAAACGAAACAGCCGAACTAACACCAAAAAGCACTTAGGTCAATAATAGTAGTTGTATTTGTGAATATTGTTTATATAAACCGGCTTTAATCAAATCAACAGAATTAATAATTTCTTTTCTTAAGTTGAGTTAATTAGTTTTTCCAGTCGACCAAATATGTTAAAAGCTGGCACATATTTAACTAAGCAAAAAATCTCTTAAATTCTATGTTTATCTCTAGAAAGTAAAGGGAAATTATGCCTTAGTTGGTGTTTTTCAACTCAACGTCGAAAACCAGTGTTGAATTTGGTGGAATAACCGGGGGCTGGCCACGACTTCCATATGCCATGTGTGGTGGGCAAGTGATGCGACGCTTTCCACCAACTTTCATGCCGACAACGCCTACATCCCAGCCCTTGATAACTTCGCCTTTTCCAATGCTGAATTTAAAACCATTACCTTTCTGCATGCTATCAAATGTCTTGTTATTAGACTTTAATCGTCCAATGTAGTACACAGAAGCGCGTTTGCCGGCTTTAGCTTCGGGGCCGCTGCCCACATGGAGGTCTTCGATCTTTACACCACCAGCTATAGTACGCTCCCCCTCAGCTTGCTTGGTGACAATCTTTTCCTTAAGCTGCTCTTTTTTAGGTTTTCCTTCAGTAGCGTCTTTTTTCTCCTTCTTCGCTTTTGGCTTCTCAATTTCCTTCTTAGCCACACCGTTTTGCTCTTTGGTAGGCTTCTTGGCAGGCTCAACCTTAGCATGTTTAGCCTTAGGCGGCTCTGGTAAATCGTCGCCACTTTCATCACTCTCCTCCTCCTCTTCGACCAGTTCGTCGTCCTCTTCATCGCCGCTCTCATCGTCCTCATCATCTACGAACGATTCATTTAGCGCATTTAGTAACTGGCTGTCATCGACGTCATCATCGTCTTCTTCATCATCATCATCGTCTGCGATAGCACCCTTTTTCTTTCCAAGCTTTTCGGCCAAGCTTGCATATTCTTCCTCGTCCAACGAATCATCGTCATCGTCATCCATGTCATGAAGGTACCCAAGAACCGACATTGTGCCTTTTCCTGTGCATAAGAAAAGAAAGAACAATTTATGAAACCATTCATATGCACGTGCGAGTGAAAAACTTACCAACATTCTGGAACACGATCTTATCGCCTTTACTGAAATTTAAATCAAGCTGCACTTGTGGAATATCTTTGGATAACGTGGCCACAAGGTATTTTCCTGTATCAGCTGTAATATATAGCTTGGCACTGTCACCCTTATCTAGAGCGACCCCCGAAATGTGGAAGGACTTTCTAATCGCTTGCGAATATTTGCGGTTAGGCTCCATGTGCAATCCTTGTTGGTAAAGTATATAATAAACGTACATTTAAATTAAAGATTACAAAATGCAAGCATCAAATTACTTGAAGGCAATGGAAACATAAAATAACTTTAAAGGAATTTTAACACTGACAACACGTGGCCGGCACAACGCCAGAATATTCCTCGTGTGAGCACTGTGTGCATTTATAAATACACATCAAAAATTAAACTTATACGATTAAAACTTACCCCAAAACATTGACGACATTGCTATGCTTTTATTTCGACAATGCAAATTATAAAAAACGTGTGAAATGCTCGAACGAAAAGACGACTCGACGCCGGCTACTCAAAGTGTTGGAAAAGACGATTACGGCATTCCGGCGCGGAAAATATGGACATTTTTAAGGTGGCCATTTGACCAACTTCTCCAACAGTATATACCTGATACCACGGTTAACGGATTACAATCGATCCAGAAATACTACTGATGAACTCACTGCATCGCAACGAATAGAACGAATATGAAAAAAGTTTACATTTACTTAAAACTTTGTTAGGAGTAAATCGTAAAGTAGACTGTTGTGTTATGCTACAGATGCTACAGTTAATCATAAACTAACAAAGAACACTGGAGAACAATATACACACAAATTTACGCCAATTCGGATTTTTTTTTTAAATAAAAGCGAATATACAATTTTTACAGATTAGTTGTTATTTAATTTATTTTGTTTAATTTGTGCACTTTTAACAGACGACCCAATTTTAAAGTGGCCGGAAACGTCATTGTATTTAGTATTTTTCCGCCACAGACCAAGTCTAATACGTTTGAAAAAGTTCTAAAATACATAATATTAAATCTTAACTATTACGATTTTTGGTATTTTCGTATTTTGGATCTGCATGCACACCAATTTTAAAATCCTCTTACTGACACATAAATAAATGAGAGAAGCTGCATTTTTTAAGGGAAACAATTTTTTGTGTAAATTTGAGGATTTATTTAACTTGTGCAGTCGCTATCTAGCCAACCCTTTGTTAGGGGAACTTTCTATGTGTTTTTAAAAACGAGTTTTGTTCGTTTTTTTGGCGAGAAGAATCTGTGTTGTGTTGCAGCCCCACCTTGTTTTTTCTTCTCTATGAAATGCTCTAAAAAAACTCCACCTGTATCCAGTATTTAGTGATAATAAGTAAACCAACATGACGGAGAAGATTACGCTTGCCGATGCTCTGTCTAATGTGGAGGTGTTAGACGAGCTATCATTACCAGACGAGCAGCCTTGCATAGAGGCGCAACCGTGTTCCATTATATACAAAGCTAATTTCGATACTAACTTCGAAGATCGCAATGGATTTGTTACGGGAATTGCCAAATACATAGAAGAAGCCACTACGCACGCTAATTTGGTAATTATCTTAAACTGCAACATTCTTTTTGCATATCGTACTTAATAATAAATTCACAGAATGTGTTGCTAGACGAGGGACAGAAGCATGCGGTTATGCTGTACACCTGGCGTTGTTGTTCCCGAGCAATACCTCAACCCAAATCTAATGAGCAGCCAAATCGGGTGGAGATCTACGAGAAAACGGTTGAGGTACTTGCACCAGAAGTAAACAAACTTCTCAATTTTATGTATTTTCAACGCAAAGCCATCGAAGCTTTTTCGGGTGAGGTGAAACGATTGTGTCATGCAGAGAAACGCAAGGATTTCGTTTCGGAGGCATATCTTTTAACGTTGGGAAAATTTATTAATATGTTTGCCGTTTTGGATGAGCTCAAGAACATGAAGTCAAGCGTGAAGAATGATTATTCTACATATCGACGCGCCGCCCAATTTCTTAAAGTAATGTCCGACTCACATACTCTGCAGGAGTCGCAAAATTTGTCCATGTTCTTGGCAACACAAAACAAAATTCGCGACACCGTCAAAGATACGCTTGAGAAGGTTGTTGGCTACGAAGACCTGCTATCAGATGTCGTCAACATTTGTGTGCATATGTTTGAAACGAAAATGTACTTGACACCGGAAGAGAAACATATGCTTGTCAAAGTCATGGGCTTTGGACTGTTTCTAATGGACAGTGATGCTTGTAACATTAATAAATTAGATCAGAAGAAAAAAATACGTCTGGATCGTATTGATCGTATTTTCAAGAACCTGGAAGTGGTGCCTCTCTTCGGGGATATGCAAATTGCGCCCTTCAATTATATAAAACGTAGCAAGCACTTCGATCCCAGCAAATGGCCGCTATCCAGTTCGAATGCAATTAGTCCACAAGCTGATTTAATGGTGCATCTGCCACAAATACGAGAGGATCATGTTAAGTACATTTCCGAGCTAGCACGCTACACTAATGAAGTGACGACTACGGTTAAGGAAAACCCTTCAGATGCTGAAAACCGTGGGACCTCAGATTTGGCACTACGTGGCTTGCAGCTCTTATCCGAGTGGACGAGTGTGGTTACTGAGCTATACTCGTGGAAGTTACTTCATCCCACTGATCATCATCAAAACAAGGATTGCCCCGTCGAAGCGGAGGAATATGAGCGGGCCACACGTTATAATTATACATCTGAGGAGAAATTTGCACTGATTGAAGTGATCGCCATGATCAAAGGTCTCCAGGTTTTGATGGCACGCATCGAGACAGTGCTCTGTGAAGCAATACGTCGCAACATTTACTCTGAGTTACAGGATTTTGTGCAGTTATCGTTGCGTGAGCCACTGCGGAAAGCGGTAAAGAACAAGAAGGATCTAATACGCAGTATCATCATGTCAGTGCGTGAGACCTCGGCCGATTGGCAAAAAGGTCACGAGCCCATCGATGACCCCGTGTCCAAAGGCAAAAAGGATCCTGATGGAGGCTTTCGTATACAAGTGCCTCGTCTCAATGTAGGCCCTTCATCTACCCAACTCTACATGGTGCGTACAATGCTGGAGTCCTTGATTGCCGACAAAAGCGGCGGCAAACGTACACTGCGCAAGGACATCGATGGCAATTGCCTCATGCAAATCGACACGTTCCACAAGACATCCTTCTATTGGAGTTACCTGCTAAACTTTAGCGACACATTGCAAAAATGTTGTGACTTGTCGCAGTTATGGTATCGCGAGTTCTATTTGGAGATGACCATGGGTCGGAAGGTGAACAAGTGCATGGTGCGGCATCAGCACAACGAGGAGTGCAAGGATTTAATAACCATGGAGAAGCGCATACAGTTTCCCATTGAAATGTCGATGCCCTGGATACTAACAGACCACATACTACAGACAAAGGAGCCTTCAATGATGGAGTAAGACATTTGTGTGGGCTTGCTTAGCAACAAATTTTTATTGTCTTTCAATTATAGATTTGTTTTGTATCCCTTGGACTTGTACAACGATTCGGCACATTATGCTTTAACTGTCTTCCGCAAGCAATTCCTCTACGACGAAGTGGAGGCCGAAGTCAATTTATGTTTCGATCAATTTGTTTATAAACTAAGCGAACAGATATTTGCTCACTACAAACAACTAGCTGGCAGGTTAGTTGTGTCTGTACCTGTTAGATGGTAGATTAAAATCCCCATCTTAAGCACCAAATGAACTCTACCTTTATCTACTTTCAGCGTATTCTTGGATAAGCGTTTTCGACTGGAATGTGAGGTGTTGGGTTTTAATTTTCAATCATATCCGCGTAATAATCGATACGAAACCCTACTAAAACAACGACATGTTCAATTATTAGGTAAGTTTTGAAATAAATTACAACTAAGGTTGTTTATACTTGCATTGGCAAGAGAAATGCGTTTTTCCCTTTTTTAATGTTGAATACTGAGTACTACATAATTTATTGACTTCAGGACGCTCCATTGATTTAAATAAACTGATTACACAACGCATTAATGTCAATATGCACAAAAGTATTGAATTGGCCATCAGCCGCTTTGAAGCCAACGACATCACAGGCATTGTGGTAAGAACAAGCCGGCCACGTTAGTGAAGTGATATTTTGTTAATTTGTAATGCGTCTGGTTTTTGCAGGAACTCGAGGGTCTGCTGGAGGCAAACCGCATCTGCCACAAACTGTTAAGCAAATACTTGGCTCTGGACAATTTCGATGGCATGGTCAAGGAGGCTAACCACAATGTTTTGGCGCCCTACGGACGCATCACGTTGCACGTCTTTGTGGAATTGAACTACGACTTCCTAGTGAGTTACTGCTACAATGCAGCCACAAATCGGTATGTAAATCATCAATAGTCTTGTGAAATGAACTTATTCTTACGTATCGCTTACATTTTCAACAGTTTTATACGCACCAAAGTCAACTTATCATCTACGCAAGCCATTCAACGCGAAAAACCACCACAGATGTCACACTATTACTTATGGGGCTCAAAGCAACTGAATTCTGCATATTCCACACAATATGGCCAGTACACAGGCTTTGTGGGTGCACCTCATTTCCACGCCATGTGCCGATTGCTAGGCTATCAGGGCATTGCAGTCGTCATGGACATCATATTGAAAGACATTGTTAAGCCCTTAATACAGGGCTCACTGCTGCAGTTCACAAAGACGCTGATGATTGCTATGCCCAAATCTTGCAAACTGCCCCGTTGCGAATACGGCTCGCCAGGCGTATTGAGTTACTATCAGGCACATCTCACAGACATTGTCCAATATCCAGATACGAAAACCGAACTATTTCAATCGTTTCGGGAGTTTGGTAATTGCATTATTTTTTGCCTGCTAATTGAACAGGCATTGTCGCAAGAAGAAGTGTGCGATCTACTGCACGCTGCACTATTCCAGAATATATTTCCTAAACCATTCTGTAAAGGTACCTATCTAGTCTTCAATCGAAAATAAATGTCCGTATCTAAATTATCAATATTGCTTTGCAGAAAACGAGAAACCAGAGGCCAAGCAAAAACGGTTAGAGGCGCAATTCGCTAATTTACAAATCGTTTCTAATGTAGAAAAGATTGGAACTGCAAAGGTGAGTTGCCTCTTTAAACGTACTCGAGTATGATATGATATTATCCCACAATTTATTTTTTAGCAAGCTATGATTGCACGCGAAGGTGATTTGCTGACACGCGAGCGCCTTTGTTGCGGCCTCAGCATCTTTGAGGTAATTCTAAACCGTGTCAAGAGCTATCTGGACGATCCAGTGTGGTGTGGCCCGCCACCAGCTAATGGAATTATTCATGTGGACGAGTGCTCCGAGTTTCATCGACTGTGGTCAGCTTTGCAGTTCGTCTACTGTATTCCAGTGCGGGGCACCGAGTACACTATAGAGGAACTGTTCGGCGAGGGTCTAAATTGGGCTGGTTGCGCCATGATTGTGTTGCTTGGACAACAAAGACGCTTTGAGGCATTGGATTTTTGTTACCACATTTTGCGGGTGCAACGCGTCGATGGCAAAGACGAGGATGTGAAAGGAATTGTAAATGTGCAGTTATTTGCAATTGAACAATTATACAACTTAACATTCTTTCTTCCCAGCAACTCAAACGCATGGTCGATCGCATTCGCCGATTTCAAGTATTAAACTCACAAATATTCGCTATACTCAATAAATATCTAAAGGGCAGCGATGCCGAAGGATCAAACGTCGAGCATGTCCGCTGCTTTCCACCGCCACAACATCCCTCGGTCATTTCCTCATCGTCGTCTCATTACCAGGATCCACAAAAGCTGCGGCAGAGCATGAACAATTGAGAAGCGTTCTTCAGATCGATAATTAAGTACTACTTAGCCACAATTACAATTTTTGTACGAATAATGTGCATTTACACAATTATCGTTATAGAATTGCGATAGATTTCAAAGTTGCAGTTCCGTTTCGTTCTATAGTAAATTTATATGGTGACCCTTATTTATAGCATTTGCGACATATGAAACATAATTCCAAAGCTGTCTTTTGAAATAACGATCATTTTAAAAAAATTACACCTCAATCTCTCCTATACAGATATTCCAAACAATTTTTTATTATACAATTTACATAAAAATGAAAGTTATGTTCAAGCTTATTTTGACTTTCACACTTTCAATCGAATGAGATAATGACACTCATAATTGTAAAAAAAAATTTATTTTGAAAATATTCTTTGCTTTTAAATATCGATACAAAGACCCAGAATTTGAATTCGGAAAGAGTTTTAAGGAAAAGCGAATTGGAAATAACATTTTGTTAGTTCTGTTTTTAACACATTTATCTAAAGTTTTTGGGTTCCGTGTAGTTGTAGAATTGAATAGCCTCACGCATGGCCAATTAAATACATTCGATAGCAACTCGCAATTTTATGTCGATACGTATTCGATGCAATTATATTCTGTAGCATAATGTATGTGTAATGCAGAAATTATATTTAGATTTAATATAATGTAATTCCAAATATATTTAAAGGCATTTCCTCTATATGTACTCCTCAAAATATATTGTATTGTATTGCTTGCTGGCGCCCTTATCGCTATTCTTTACGATATCGCTATTATGTTAAAGCGTCAGCATGTTTGCTTGGTATATTACTTATAACAGAAACCTATGATTTGTCTCTGATTTCCAAATCAAATCCGCCAAAGAATTGAAAGAGGGCTTACACAGAACAGCAATGCGTACATACATATAAACAAATTGGCTTTAAACGTAAAGAGAAACAGAAAAAAGTATTAATAGCTGCAAATAATAAGTGTATTGGCACGGATTAAACAATTGTACGCGAATATGCAATATTACATACTGAATAAAATATGCAATGCAATGCAGCATACATACATTCATACATACATACATACATACAGAAACACAATACAATGAACTTTATCAAATAAAATTTTCATACGTATTTCTAACAAATGTTTACAATTTTCTAGTTTATTGGAATGCATTTCTATCTTAATTGCTAACATTCATCGAATATTTTCTTAATCTTGCTTGCAGTTAGTTTGTCAAGGACATTTACATCCATTCTCTCCCGCGGTATTTGACGATCGTCGGCCGTCGTATGTGTACAGCACCGTAAAATTATCCGCATAATTGCGTGGTAAAGCATAATTGGCGTTATCCGCGCCCAAATAACAAGCACCATAGGCACTGCTCTTGGTAATGCGAACCAGCTTGAGATTGTATTCCAGCTTTATTTTCTGCAGTTCCGTAATAAAAGCCTCTTTAAGCAGATTCCAGCTGCTCCACACGGAACCCACACACACTACACTCAAGTCGCCCGACTTCCCGACTAAACTCTTATGTACATTTGGCAACAAGGCCTTGATCATGCGCGCCAAATGCGCACCAGCCTCTCGGAATAGTGACAAAGCCAGGAGGTCACCCTTTTCGGCATTCTCAGCCAACTTCTGGCAGAGATTGGCAAAAAATGGCTTGTCGAATTTGGCATAGCAATGGGGCAACATGTCGTAGCGTGTGTCAATGTTGAAATGCTCCTTAATCAGTGCCCACGTCTTGTCCGTAGGCACTGGCGACTTCTCGAAGTTGTCCATATCATCGAAGACCACTTTGATGGCCCGGTAGGAAATAAACCAAGCTGAAATATACTCGCATTAACAAATAGACTCAATAAATAATAATAAAACTGATAACAAGACTAATGACTAATAACACTGACCCACTGCTAACGTTCGTTATCGGATAATCCTAATCGACTCTGGCTATTCAGAGCACGTTCTACAACAACATTGCACAAATAAAGCTTACGCGCGAACATTAGATAAGGTTTTTTACGCTTACCACTGCCCTCGTCGCCTAGGAAGTTGCCCCAGCCTCCGCAGTTGAACGTGGAGCCATCAGGATTACGTAGCAAGCAATTGGAACCAGTGCCCGATATGAGCACAATTCCGCCAACGGCTGAGGCCGTGAACATGCTTCCCATGGTGTCACTAGATACCGCATAGCTCTCGGCCAGATTAGGAAATGTAGCGCGCAGTTCCTGCTCCAGTTCATTATTAGTTGCTGCCTGCGCAATAATGGCTTAGCAGATCGAATATGTGAGTTTTTCATTCAACTTACCTGCTCACAACCGCTTAGGCTAAGACCCAAGCTGATTAGACGAGTGTCCTTTGGTATACCAGCCTCTCCCTTTGCTCGCTCCACCATATCGGCGATGCGGCGGGCGCACTCTGCTATACCAATCATCCAGTGGTTCGTGCCCAGACCGCTGGTTGTGCCCACCATTTCGCCAGCCTCATTGCAGATCACAAGTCGTGAGTGCGTTGCACCTCTGCAAGAAGGAAACAATAACGTCGTTAGTAGCCCCCTGAATAACCCAGTTGACCTCTCTCTATATTTGTACACAATGGTGGCAGCAACCCATTGTGTCCACAGTTTATAATTCAATTAAATCAAATTAAATTGATTCAATAAAATTGAACGATCAAGCGGCCTTTTCTTCTCACAAATTTAACTGGCAAAGCCACATGATAGATATCTATAAATTTGTATGTTAAATTGAATATATATAATGTTTATATACTCGCATTTATGGTAAATTGATATTTCATGTTAGGTCACGTTTATTCAATTAAGCCATTTAAGCAAATTAAATAGCCAAAGATCGCACCACACGCACATAGTAGATTTGAGTGTTCAATAATAACGGTGGTCTACTTATTGCATCTTACTGATGAAAAAAGTTTTCTAACAAATAAATAATGTTTCCAATATATTCATAGCTTCTTGTCCTTATATTCGTAAGATGCAAAAATCAACTGTAATTTATAAGATAAGAAATTATCGTTTTCAATATCAGCCCACATTTTTTATTACACGAACTGCCTGCCTGGCGCTTCAATTAAATTAAATACATCCACACATACGTATGTATGTATTTGTGCATTGCGCAGCAGATAAATTTCAAATTCCCACAGAAAGATCAACGAGCGAGAGGGAGAATGGGCTTATGTTGTGGTATGTGGTATTGGCGTTATCAGAGCTTACGATTGGCTGTTAACTCAAAGCTCTTTTAAATAAAGCAAATAAACAAGCCCGGATACAATATTGTATGTACATAGATTTTCATTGATAAGGCAACTGCGAATTGAGCTCTTATCATATTTGTACACCCTGAACCCCAAATGTTAGTCCGAGAACATGTAACAGACGGAAGGATCATCACGACGACACGATATTATATATCCCTTATTATGTACATATATGCCTATACAAGCCTCGAAAAATTTTGAACAAAATATAAGTATAGCGAAACAAAACTAGCTCTGTCGACTTGCCTCTACACAAACCAAATTTATTGAAACCGAATATATACCTATTGTTTCTCTGCAGTTTCGTCGAAACTGTGTCACTGTACTACAAGCAGTAGAAACGACAGGTGATAAATCAATGTAATTAGAAGAAACTTTTTTTTTCTTTTATTAGAGAATCGCATCCTAATTTGATATTGTTAACATTTCCACAAATATTTTTTAAGGTTAAACACTGAGGGCGGTGGATACAGGGTATATCAAAGTCGAGTGAGCTCGATTTCTATTTGTTATTTTTGAATAAAGTGAGCCTCCAATTTACGGTATTAAACACTGTAAGTTGGCAGGGCTAACTAGGGATGCCAATTGGAAATAAAACAACAATCATACTGCAGCAGTCTGCCGGTTTTATAACATTGAAAACAGTAAAGCATAGCCAAGTTGTTAACAATTCAATGTGTACGTGTGGAAGTGCCAGCGTAGATTTTGTTAATAATTAGAGCTGACTACATTCAGCCCCCTACATTAATTGAACCGTTAATAAAATTTTTAATTAATGGGAATGAAATTGCTGACGAAAGTTCACGAGTTGCTGCGTCTTGGCCGCCTGATAGCAACAGCAATGTCGCGTACAAAGACAACGCATGCACATGACCCAGAACTGGTAGTAACCAGCGAGCATCTCGATCTGGACATGCTCGAGCGTAATGTGGAACTGCGTCACCATAAAAATAATATGCCAAAAATACGCAATCTAATGAAGGCACTGCAGGAAGGGAACGAGGAAGTGCGCAGCCAACTTAATGCTGAATTAGAGCAATTACCCAATGCTACACACCCACGTCTACTTAACTATAATAATAAGCCACGAGAGTTGGCGTACTATGGGCAAGATAAACCACCCACAAGCGTGAAAGAGTTTTCAGAGCTGTGCCGCGTGTTGAACTTGTGCCGGATGGATCATTTGGGCAACTACACGGGACACAAAAGCTACTACTTGTCTGGACAACTTGCAATGTTAGAACAGGCTATTATACAGTATGCACTCAGGTCGGTCACTGATCATGGTTTCGAGCTAATTTCGGTGCCGGACATACTTCCAAAGGAGGTGATTGAGAGCTGTGGCATGCGTACAGAAGGCGAACGTACGCAAGTCTATAAACTGGACACTGGCGAATGCTTATCAGGCACCTCGGAAATGGCGTTGGCTGGTTATTTTGCCAACAAAGTGCTGGATGAGGAGGAGCTTCCACTAAAGGTGACCGCCGTGAGTCGTTGCTTTCGTGCCGAAACCTCAAGTTTGCAGGAAGAGAAAGGCATTTATCGAGTGCATCAATTCACAAAAGTAGAAATGTTTGCCATATGCACGCCACAACAGTCCGAAATAGAGCTCGAGGAGTTTAAGAACATTGAATTGGCGCTTTTCAAGCAACTGGGAATCAATTTTCGGCTGTTAGATATGCCTCCATGCGAGTTAGGTGCTCCAGCTTATCAAAAATACGACATTGAGGCATGGATGCCCGGTCGCAATATGTGGGGAGAAATATCTAGTTGCAGCAACTGCACCGACTACCAGGCCAAGCGTCTCAACATTAAATACAAACAGAAAACTGGTGGAAAATTAGCATTCGCACACACAATCAATGGGACTGCGACAGCGATTCCGCGTCTTTTGATTGCTCTCATCGAATCACATCAACGAGCAGGCAATGTAGATTTACCAGCAGTTCTGGTGCCCTTTATGGACGGACGACAAATTATTGCCAAAGACAAAAGAATTCCTGAGACTAAGCTTGTTAAGTCTATTAAAGTGTCATAAGCTGGATACTATGTTAAGTGATGGTAATCACACATTAACCGATTTAAAAAATGTTTGTTTTAAATATAAATGTATATAATGGTTCTATCTAATTGGTGAATCAGATTTCAGATAATAATTAAAACGCTTACCCTTCAACACCACCGAAATATGTCATTGTAGTACTCCAATCCAATGATTTATATCAGTTGCGGCTGCGTTGGTTCTGGACGGCGTAAATAGGCGTACACACAGATTCTAAACCAATTAAATAAAAAGCCTGTATTTAATTTCAGCAAATATCAAATATTTCGTCACACACATACACATACATATGACAAATAATAATAAACACATTCAACAGGTTGTTGTCTATAGTATTGGTCCACTTGGCAATTTGGCAATCTTATCGAGTTCCATAAATCATTTGGCAAGCAGCGCCAGCCTGTAGCTGATCAAGTGTAGCAATTATGTACACACCTGTATATGCTGCGTCAGTTAAAAACAGTATAGAATGAACATTACAATTGCACGCGCTCAAAGAATGGTAACGAAAAACATATAATTGCAGCCCAAATAGCTGTTGGCTTTTTTAAGTATACGATCCAAGAAGAGTCAAATGAAAGCTTAAAGAAACACGTTTGTAACAGTGCACGTTCACAACATTCAGCACAATGAAGAAAATACAATAAACATTTCTAAACAGCAGAGCTTGAACTTGGACAAGCTTGGGAGAAAGCGCTTTTTTTTTTTTTAAATCGAATGTTTTTACATGGAAACTCGAAAAGCATTTCAAATTTCAGTAAGGCAAACGTCACTAACTGCTAAAGGTAGACATTTATATATACATACATATGTATGTATGTATATAAATCCTCACAAATGAAATTGCTATTTACTTGCTCTTACCGGCTACAACGAAGCGGACACGTCAAAGCGCTTTGAAGACTAGACACAGAATATTGTAGTTTAGCGGCGAACATATTTATTTAACTCGGTAGTCACTGTTAATTTATGTTCACAATATTCTCCGCGCCCGCCTTTCATTGTATGTGTCTTGTTTACACGCTACCGCTATTCACGATAACTTCAGATTTATTAAATATATATTAATGCTACATGGATGGGTGGTAAAATAGTTTTGGCAGCACCAACAAAAATTTCATCGCTCTATAATTGGCATCTCGGTATCGTCGGCATTGCCACTTGTGTCATCACTTAAGTATGGGATGTTGCTAATATCGATAGACTGATACGATAACAATTATTAGTTGCGGCGACTTTGTCTGAGAAGAAAAAGGGAACCAACAAACCCTTTATTATAAAATTAGTTATAATTACACATTATTGATACATATTTAGAGTATGGAGCAAATGGATGTAGATGTGGACATGTCGGCAAAGCCGAGTACTTCCAGCTCCGTCATTGATTCTGCCGCTAGTGCCCAAAGCAATAAACCAAAAACTAATATCATGGCCGCAGCTGGAACAGTGGCGTCTATCACAATTTCGCTGCACCCATTGGTTATAATGAATATATCGGAGCATTGGACCCGTTTCCGAGCACAGCACGGCGAGCCACGACAGGTGTATGGGGCATTAATTGGCAAGCAAAAAGGGCGTAACATCGAGGTGATGAATTCATTTGAGCTCAAAACTGACGTTGTTGCGGAGGAAACCATCATTAATAAGGAGTACTACAACAAAAAAGAGCAACAATACAAACAAGTGAGTCGTATTATTTTATCCCCCACGTATCTATTTTGCGAAGGCCTATTTTTATGTTGTCACAGGTTTTTAGCGATCTTGATTTTATTGGATGGTACACTACTGGCGAGAATCCAACAGAGGGGGACATAAAAATACAGAAGCAAATAGCTGAAATCAACGAATGCCCAATCATGTTGCAATTAAACCCGATCTCTCGAAGTGTAGATCAACTACCAGTTAAGCTGTTTGAATCACTAATCGACCTCGTAGACGGCGAGGCCACAATGCTCTTTGTACCGTTAACCTATACACTCGCCACAGAGGAGGCGGAACGCATTGGCGTTGATCATGTGGCGCGCATGACAACAAATGAATCGGGAGAGAAAAGTGTTGTAGCCGAGCATCTTGTTGCGCAGGACAGTGCCATCAAGATGCTAAATACCCGTATCAAAATCGTTTTACAATACATTCAAGATGTCGAAGGGGGCAAGTTGAAGGCAAATCAGGAGATCTTACGCGAGGCTTACGCGCTGTGCCATCGACTGCCCGTAATGCAAGTGCCCGCTTTTCAGGAAGAGTTCTACACGCAGTGCAACGATGTGGGGTTGATAAGTTACTTGGGTACGCTGACTAAAGGCTGCAACGATATGCATCACTTTGTGAATAAATTCAATATGCTCTACGATCGTCAGGGGTCGTCTCGACGCATGCGAGGCCTCTACTACTAATAGCAGCATGAACCCATTACATTTAATACAAGATGCATACGTACATATGTGGGCAAGTTTATAAAAACCATGAAATCCACAGAAAAAATACATTTAATTTTTTAAATGCCATTTATTTTTGTTCGCGAACTAATTAGACGGAATTCTGCGCTTCAAACGAGAAGTGGGGAAACCACATTTATAATTATCACTTTCATCTTACAGTCCTCCATTCCTCTAGTAGGTCATCTCAGCTCATGCCCAACCAAAATCAATTTCAATTTTTGAAAATTTGCAATGCAAATATTTTAAATAATTAATTTTTAAAATTTATGTTTAAATTCAATTCGTTTCTATTTGGTTGGCTTTAAACGCATTGTTGTTGGTGGGATTTAATGATTGTAGTCGTCCAGTTTTATATTGGTCGCGTATTGCTGCAAGAACTCAACCTCAAGTGGATGCATCTCTTTGGCGGGAATGATTAGTGAATGCAGTGGCCCACCCATATCCGTCCCACGCATATCTTGTAGTGTGCCAACAACAATCTGTTGAGTGTCTTGGCCCACACGTGCGAGCCCGACGCACAGTGACTGCTCGTTGAGAACAGTGTTGCGTTCCAGCGCATCCTTTTTCTCGACAATGGCCAATAGCTGTTGGGCCGCTTCGGCTACACTCATGAAACGTGGCGGCATATACTCCTTGCGTTTGCGCATCAATGACTCGAGGGTGGGCTCTTTTACTTTAATGTCCAGCAGGCAAAGCGTATGCATATTGTGCAAGCGATTCAATTTGATCTTGTCGTAAAAACTGTCCGGCTTCCAGGTCTCATCCCAGTACGGTATTGAAACAGTTTCGCCGAATTTATATAATTGGAGGCCGCAGCAGCCGATAGCATTCATTATAGACGCATTGTGTATGACCTTGAAGGGTATATTTTTCTCCTTTGCGCGCAATATAAAGTCTGTATGCGTGGTGGCGCCAAAGGGGTCACCGACAACAAGCAGCGCTACGTCCTCGTCACCAGCGCCCGCTAGAATCTCATCGGCCCCTTGCTCCACAAGGTCACGGTCAGCGAGTAGCAGTGGTCTTCCATAAAACTCTTGCTGAGAAAAAATAAAACAAACAAAACATGAATCGAACTTGGTATGCATTTATTGCCCTTATGATATTCCCGCTCACACTCACCATCTCCTCAAGGCTACTGCCCAGAATTGACGTATACATTTCTAGATACACACGGCTGCACTGCTTTACGATTTCAAGGCCTTTCACTGTAATGTCCTTTATGTCCCCTAGGCCTAGCCCAATTATGTAGAACATACTGATTTTATTTATTTAAATCTTATTGTTCAGACGACACGTGCCCGTGTGATAAATGTTGCCTTTTACTTTAGTCGGGTTACACTGGCGCTTATTGAGGAATGCACGTGTCGAGAGATTTCTGTTTTGTGTTCCGAATAAAACCAGCATGCAGTTTCACAGAAAAAGCCATATAATTATATTTACAATTATTTATATTAATATTTTCACGTAAAGCGCGGCAGACAAGTTAAGTCAAAATGCAGCGTTGCCATTGTAACTGAGTACTTCTCCAAAACTATATGTACTCAAATGTAAGGTTGCTCCTGCAGTTACGTATCGATATAACGGGTGTTTTTTCTTGCGTATCGGGCCCTGAGCGCCATCTTTTTCGAAATGGACCATAATATTTAAAATGAATATTTATTGTTACAATTATTTTAAACGAAACATTTAGGGGCTAACCTCAAAATGAAAATGAAAAAAAAAATTAAAAATGTGCACTTATGCTAAAATTTGTGTGTTATACTATAAACGCCCTACGCCCAATCCTTCCAACCAGTCACATACATATGTATGTATGTACATATGGGCCCACCAGAAAATACCCTCCTTCAAAAGTCATCTTTACCTTGCACTTCACAGATTGGCCATCTTGATGCGTAAGTCGATTAAGCACACAAAACAAATAGAACACCTGAAGGTATAAAAACGATGTTTTATATTTAATATGAAATACTCTATGAAACTAGCATAAATGCAATTGAATTTTATTCAGTTTGCAAAGGCTTTGGGAAAGTATTTCTTATCCTGCTCGACTATGTCCTCAAGCACATCGTCAACATCTGTATTGGGGTAACGCTCCACCCAGGATTGGATATAGCCCTCGTGAGTTGCTTCATAGGTTTTTAATTCGACTGTGCCATTGTGAAGTATGGTATTGGCTTGGACGAGTATAATGCGTGGTTTTTTGTGTGCTAAGCAAATGTCGCGCCATTTAGCCCAAGGATGGGTTCCAGCTTCGTTAACCTCCGAGTAGTGATCGTACATCTTTGTGGCGGCTTCAATGTCTGCTGTAGACTTATATACTTGCAGTTTGGTCAAAAATTCGCCCAACGCCTTTTTGCCGACTGTTTCAATTTTACTCGGATCCACTGTAAGCAATAAATTTTTGCCATTATCAGTCTCCTGCACGGTAACTAAGCCTTCGCCCGCCTCTAGCAACATTTTCATGATAACAAAGCGAGCGCGCGAATGTGCCTGCATCCAAAGCTTCGATTTAGGATTGTACATTTCCAATGCAACGCCCATGCCGTTCCATATAAGACTAAGCCAATTAATATAAATTATGTTGTCCTGTTCGACAGGATCCTTAAAGCCAAATATTTCCAGTATGTCCCTTTGCAGAGACAAATAAAGGCCGACAGCTTCGGCGCGGCACTCCTCGTAGGAAGATCCGATAGCACCAAACTTAGTGTCGTACGTCTCGCCCGGCTGATACCACTTACTGATTGGCTCGCCAGTTATCAAGTTCTTGGTGTTCTCAACATCAAAGTTGTGAGCACCATTTTCATCAATACGAAACAGTTTGCCACTTCCATGACCAAGCAACTCGTGCAATCCGACTTGGACCTCGAACGCTTTCACTTTATACTCCTTCATAAGCGTTTGATCTGCGTCCGAGAGAAAAGGGATGGGATCTTTGCGATTAATATTTGCTAAAACATTTCCCAATGACACGTTTTTAAAGCCTTCATCTTGACGTATCTCATCATCTGAAAAATATTAATTTATTTTACAAAAACTGTTGCCTTCGAAGATATTTCTATACTAACAGTTCGGTATGTTGATACCCGCAGGAACTCCACTTCCAGCGAAAGTCAGCACATCCAGAGATGTAAAGTCTGGCTTTAAATACGAATCCTTTTCGTAAGCTTGCGACCAGGGCAAGTATTCCAGAAGCTTCTCCGCACGATTCACCAGCTCCGCAAATTTCGCAGAGCTCTCTTTGTTTACCATTGCAACAAAACCTTCGAATTCTGCACGTCCACCTGCAGGATCGCGATATGTTTCTATGAAGCCAATGTATGTCTCGATGACAGGGCCTTTGTCCTTAATCCACCATCTCGAACCATCCTTATGCTCCGCTAAAGAACCTTCTTCAAACGATTTTATGTAATGATCGATCATATTTGCTTCATTTTCGTTTGCAGCATAGTTTTTAGCTTCGCGCAAATTGCTATTAACACGCTGTAACAGCTTTTGATAATCACCGCGAGTCACACGAAAACTGTTACCCTGGTAATCCTCCAATGGTAGGGTTATGCCCTCTTTGGGTACCTCAGCCACGGAACCAAGTTTAACGTCATATATGGTTTTTCCATTCTCTAATATTTTAAAAGTGCGGCACATGTATGGCTCGATACGTTTATTGGTCAACCAAGCATTAACTATTTCCGAGTCTTCGCGAGTGCAATTATCAGACCAATAAGTCGTTATCCCATCCGGCGCAAAACCAAGTATCTCATTGCGTGATTCCAGTGCATAAATAAGACCTTTTACTCTCTCAAAAATCTTAGCTACGCGGGGCTCTGCAGCATATGCTGCGGAGGAGCGCACTATCAACTCAAATTTCTCCTCCGATAAATTGGGTATAATTTTACTGTCACCCATTCCCTTGTAGTTACCGGCATTGGCAAACACGCCGCAGGTATATACGAGAAACCCCTAAGAAGGGTGCAAAAGGTTACAATGACGGTAATATTATAAAGTGTTTACTACTCACTGTGAACTCATCCTCTGTTACGCCTGCGTCCAGAGCTTTTGCTTTGAGATCGGCTGGCTTCTCAGCGACAAAAATGCGGTGTAGCAAAGAGAAAATCAGTGGTGCCTCGGGACTCGATTGAATTAGAGCAATCAGACCACCATCCCAGGCTGCTCTGCTGAAATAGTGAGCGTATAACTTTTCCTTTTCCGTCAGATTTTCGAAAGCGCTTTTGCACTCCAAATCAGCAATTGGTTGAGTATTTGGTAACACAAAGTGCGAAGTTTTGCTATTGGCCATATTGTTGGGTTCTGGCAAATTAAAACTGGAACTGAAAGGACAGAAATAAGGTTACATTGATTAATGCATTGTTCCTAAGTGTGTTTCGCTGGTAATACCTGTACGTTAATATATGTTGCTTGTACCGAAAGGTGTTCTGGAAATGGTTCAAACAACCAACTGCTGCTCTCGTTGGTTCTGTAAGCCGATCGCTATAAAGGTGGCGCGGAAGTGGAGAACCTCTTAATAATTGGTAAAACCGAAACCTTTGAATTTTCTGCAACATTACTGAGAATTTAGAATGTGAATCTGAAGTACGGCAGCTCCTGTTTAATTAGAGGCGGCACAGCTCGCCATCCACCATTTGAAACGTGTGCATTTGAATATAAAAATGTATATACGAGTACATACGTATGTACGTTTGTATGTACGTACACTTTTTAGAGCCGGCTTACTGTTGTTGTACAACTGAAATACACATGTAAAATGCTACTTTAATTTTGAAAGAGGGCCAAATTGAAAACATGAAGAACTTATGATGGTGCAATGTGGTAATGACATATAAATTTGTATGTATGTGTGTTTATACGTACAAACACATAAATGTACGGATGCGTATTGTTAGGTTAAAAGCATAACCGCAAAACTGGCAATAAGATAAATCGGAACCATTTGGGAGGAGAAGAGCACATGCAACTCCAGCCGAATGTAGACCTGTTAGTGAAACGTTACCTACAACAATTCGGCAACCAAATAAAGTTGAACAAATCCCATGCAAATATAATCTTAGGTATATGTACGTACCTCTTCGATATTAAATGCAAATGAACAATAAGAATCCAAAATGCCGAGTAATCACAATTGAATGAACTGAGCTGTCATCTGATGATAATGGTGGCAGCACCGTTTTAGAACTTGTAGTTGCCAGATCGCTATTGTTACTTAAAATTTCGAAAAATTCCAAATTTGATGTCAAAATTTCTGTAAAATTAACTTTTAATTCGTGTGTATGTAGCAGCATGACCAAACGCTCCAATTGATTTTCGATATACATATGTAAGAGTATATGTGAATAAAAATCGACAAGATACTGCATTATCGGCAATTGCCATCACCACCCGCCACCCACAAACAAGCAATTGCGCTTTTCTTATCACCTTCACGTTGACCTTAGTTTTCCACACAAAGAAAATGGAGCTAACTGGCTGGGTAAAAAACTACGAATGGGGAAAAATTGGTATAAATTCGGCCGTTGCCCAATTGGCCATGGCAAATGACCCCGACTTCAATTTGAATGAAGAGGAAACTTATGCGGAGATGTGGATGGGAACGCATATATGCGGTGTCTCAATAGTCAAGGAAACTGGCGAAACACTGGACAGAGTGCTGAAAGAAGATTTACCTTATCTATTTAAAGTTCTAAGCATAAACAAGGCACTTAGCATACAGGTGCACCCTAATAAATGTGAGGCGGAAAGACTTCATGCTGAGCGCCCGGAGCTTTACAAGGACCCAAATCATAAGCCGGAACTTGCAATTGCCTTGACACCGTTTCTCGCTTTGGTAGGCTTTCTGCCTACTGAAGATATTAGAGACAATATTGACGAGTTCCAGCCGCTTACGAAGCTAATAGGCAAGGAAGCTGTGGATGAGATTCATGAGAAGCCTAATGCAGAAAGTTTGAAATTATGTTACGAAAGGTTAATGAAGGCGGATGATGCAGACGTCGATAAATGTATTAAGGAAATATCGAAACACTATCAAAAAGGTTTGCTTAGCTACCAACGTTTTTTATGAGTTCCCTTTTATTTCGGTTGTTTTTACAGAACTAAAGGAAAATGAATTATTAGACGTGTTCAACAAAACTAGCAAGGAGTTTCCTGGAGATGTTGGAGTTCTATCTATTTTCTTTATGAATTTGGTGCGTTTGCAACCTGGTCAGGCAATTTACTTGGGTGCAAACGAAATCCATGCATATTTGGAAGGTGAGTGCATAGAATGCATGGCCTGCTCGGATAATGTTATACGTGCTGGTCTGACACCCAAATTCAAAGATGTGGATCAGTTGCTGGAATCTGTTATTTTCGAAGGTGCCCCCGCACATCGAAAGATCTTTGTACCGTATCGCATAGACGACACGATGCAAGTTTATTCACCACCTGTTAATGATTTTGCTGTCATTCATATATCCATCAAGCACAGCACTGATACGTATAAGCTGCGCTTAGAGCCGTTTGGCTCTATACTGCTTACACTGGCTGGGGTTCGACGCTTGCACCTGAAGACCAAAGACGGCCCGAAAGAAATTATCCTTACACGTGGTAGTATTGTATACATTCCAATTGAAGCTGCGCCAGAAATTGAATTCCAGCCCGGTGAAGATTGTGGTGATGATTTTACTGCCTACATAGCAACGTTTAATTACTTTAAAAAAGCATAGGAAGTAAATTAAGTCGAACAATTGGTGCAAATATAAATAATAATATTAAAAACACTAAATTTGTTTAAATGGTGGCGATATAAATATTATTTTTAATAATTTCATTGTAACGGCTAAAATGTAATCTAACGAGGCCAACAAAATTCATATAGTATTTTAAACATAATACTATACCTAATGAAAACAATTTCACAATTTCAAAAACACATTATGATCATTACTTAGCTCTAAATATAACTGGGTTGATTTCAATATAGTTGGCATATGTTGTGAATAAATATCGCATAATTAAACAACCGAGCACAGAAAGAACCTACAAACATAAATTAATTTAGCTACGAATATGACACTACGTATACACAATCAGGTTTCCTTAAATAAAAGCCCGTTACAAACACCGCGCGTTAGATTGAATACATTACAAATCTTTTTTCGCACCTCTGCACATATTTATATATGTATGTATATCTCATAATTAGTTACATAGTTTGATTTATAATTAGGTAAAATGCTTCAAAAATCCTATAAATCAATGGCCGAGTTCATATGCCAAAAATCTCTTTATAAAAGGTTGTTTTGTTTGGTTTTCCTCTTGTATAAATAATTGTATGTATGCAATTGTATATTAGTAGTAGCACTTCTTGCTAAGTGCATGAAGCCAAATTGTAGATGGGTTAGTTACTTTGTTAAGTTTAGTAGTTCAGTTATTCTTGTTGTACATATGTATTCATTCTGTTGTAAAAATATATAAAAGTAAAGGTTAGCCAGTTTGAAGTAGCATTTGTGCCCGTCAACTACTTGTACAGCTACTACTACTGACGAATTGTGCCCACAACATTTTTGTTCCCTGTAGGTGGAGGTGCGCTTGCTGTTATTGATGAGAAAGTGAGCTTGCTGGTAATGGAGCTTTAGATAATTAGGCTATCGTTTTGGATTCATGTATGTACTTAAGCATTTTAGCTCTTGAGGAGGTTGTTGGCACGCTTGTTAACGCCATCCATTCGCATATTGTTAGCGTCACCCTTAGCGTTGATTCGGTCAATTTGCTTGTTTTGATTCTCCAACTCACTGCCCATATCGAGTGCCATGTTGCGTAAGTTTCCAAGCATAGAGTTTACTTGTCCAAGATTGTCGTCCATTTCATCCTCCCGAGCGTCGTTTAATATACGCGGCACGTAGCCAGATTGCGGTGGAACACCCATTCCGCCGCGCTCTCGTTCATCCACCACCCGTTGTGGCTGACTTGCCACCACCTTTCCATCGTCATTAGCTTTCCAAGCACTATCACCGTCGTCTTTTATGTTAACCTTTTTCCACGGAAGTACACAGACGCCGCAACATTTCTCCATTCCACTGAGATTCTTTTCCGCTTCACGCATGTCCGCATTAATACGATCCATACCCTCCTCGACTCGATCCAGCTGTTCGCCTTGGTCGTCAAGGGCCACCAGTGTGCGTATACCTGCTTCCTTGCTCTCGTCCATCAAATTGAGCATCCGGCGAGTACTCTCAAGTGATTCATCCGCAACTTGCGCTGATTTGAGCTGCAGCTCCTGCAGCTCAGTGCGCGGGGCATCATCAACAGCAGCCATTTTCCTTCTCACAAAATAAACGATGTTTACTTTAAAATGGTTATTGGTAGTTTAGCGTGTGCTTGCGAAAAATTTAGCAGTGACTCACACTCACACAGCCCCCTATGATTTCACTTTTTATATCTAACCGAACTTATGTATAACGTCAACTTCGATTGGGTCTGTATAGGAATGCTATTACCCAGACAATCTTTTATATTTGCTATTTGTGGATTTACGGATTTGGCAAAAAATTTTCTAATCAATTATTTCGAGACGTTGGATTTCGGTTGTGTATATGTATGAACATATGTATACTTAACAAGTTGCACGTCGCTATCTATACAATAACACCCAGCAGTGTTGAAGAATAATTTTTGCTGTTTTAATGTTGACGCTATCTAAACGTGTACACACAGTTAAAGTGGTGTCAAGTCCCAAACAAAATCTGCTCGTTTTGATTTATACTTCGAATTATACTTGGAAAAAATATTTGAACATTTACAGATTTCGGATCACAATAAAAAACGCATGTTAACAAAAAATTTGAAATTTTTCCTAACCAGATAAAGTTGATATTCGATTTTTGCCGGCTCCAAAGCCGCTATTTCATTTATAACGCCGTTACTGTTTTTTCGCGCGTTCTAGTGCTGCATTACGTTTGAATAATTAACGCTTTGTTTCGGTACAGCGTCGCTCTTACCGCTTCGGCTAGTTTTTTCAAATTTACAATTGTTTTCTTGGCTTGTATGCAAAAACATTTTGAAATTAGGCGCAAAGTTACAGACATCTATATACTCACTTAAAATGGACGACTCTCGCCAATCTATCGCGCCGAACGAGGCTAGCACTACTATGTATTTGTCCTTTGACGCCGACGACACGATTGCCAGCAAATTTCAGTCAATCGCGGGAGACGATGATACCGTGGACATCACAACCAATGGCATTATTGAAGAGCTAGACGAAACTCTGGAGGGAAATGAACGTAATATTAAGAAAACAGTGCTTAAATGTGTGACCGCTAGCGTTGAAATGGAAAACTGTTCGCCCTTGCGTCCTTTTGACAATAGCATTTTTAATAAAAACAATGCTCTAAGCTCAACACCCTCTAAAAACGTAACAATGCCGGAGGGAACTATGATTAAAGCCGTGCTCGGAACGCCTCTTGTCCCCGATGGATACGACAAGGAGAACACACACCCTGACGAAGGCACCGACTTTTCAACTTGCTGGATAGATGGGACAGCTTCGACAGTAAAAGTAAACGATGGCACAACGGACGAGATATCCATACAAGAGGCTAATAAGACAGGTGGTACTGGAATAACCAATGCCACAGCTCTCGAACTAATTAAAGAAGGTGTGTATAAATTATCCTAACTGATAAAACAAAACAAAAAAATAAAGGTTTTCTCTTTTAGTTTCCAAAGAGAATGTATCATTGGATGTACCATTAGCAGCCACTGCCACTAATGGACCCACAAACATCAATGCTGGTGAATGCCAGGTGAATGATGTTACGAACGAAATGTCGGAGTTAATTGCCAAGGCTTTGAAATTATCGGATCCGGCGAAGCCGATGATCAGTCTTAAACCGTTTGCAGCGACCAGCAATAAGCTTCGTGCTGTGCCATCGTTGCCCATGGCCAGGCCCCGGCGCTCATACCTACCTATATCTGGCGGAGAAGCGCGCACCTATTCCTTTAAACAGCGCATGTCGGTGGTGGTGAAGACCACGTTAAATAGTCCTGCACGAAAACTGATCGCAAGCAACTCGGCTACGATGTGCCGCCGTAGCTTACTGCCTGGCCCAAAGTTGTCTGTTGGTGGAAGCGCCGGAGGTAATTTTCGCAAATCCGTCTTTGGCACGGCAACTGAAGAGAGCAAACCAACTGGTCCCCTGACGAAGAAATTAACGCAGAAGGTTGGCAAACCCAAATACGACGTGGATACCCAGTACAAATGCAAGACGTGCGGTGCTACATTTCGAGTGAAGAGTTTGTACGATATGCATGTGCATATGCATGATATGGTTGTGAATGGTCCGAGAGTGCCGAAAAAGTCGATCATTCCAAGCCCTTTGTACCCTGCTAGTGCAGCGAGTACAAATCAAAAGCACGCTTGCAAGTATTGCGATAAAAACTTTGCACTGGAACGTGCACTACACATTCACCTCATGCAAAATTGTGAAAAGATACCGCCGGTGGAGAAGCGCAAGTTGCAATATACAGAGCTCAACCACGTAAAAAAGGCACAGCTTCCCAAGATCACGGGTTCTGCAGCAATATGCACTCTGAAATCCCACCAAGATTCCAATTGCACTGAACAAAAGTCCGCAACTGGTAAGAACCAAATCATCTATACCATTCGAGGGGTGATTTGTTACAATTGTCTTTTATTTTTAGCCAACAAGACACATGGATCAATGCTGCCGCCTTCGGTGAAAAAAGTTGCCAAGTCGGCTGCACATGCTGGTGTCTATCGCACTCCTACAAAGTCTGTGCCTTGTAGCGTGTGTAAGCAGTCTTTCAAAAGCATACTCGACTACACTAATCACTGCCTCACCGTGCATTCAAAGAAAGTGCAGATGGAGCAGGACAAAGTTGATGATGCACAGAGTGCAGCCTAAGATTAAATAAAATATTTGTATGTATCTTGTAGACTTAGTTTCCTTTAAATGTAATTTGCAGTTCAAATGAACGCCATTTAGTTCCGCTTATATCAATTATTTCGCTTTTTTCTCGGGCGGCGGCTTCATGTCAACAGCTTCAGTTTTAATATCCAATGCTGCGTTCGGTTGCGGGGCAGATGTGTTGGAGTCTGCAGCATTGCCAGTGCTCGAAGGATCCACATTGCTTTCCTGGTTGGTAGATATTTGCCCAGCTTGTTGTACAGGTTGCTGCAGATTTTGTAGCATTGGCGGAATGGGGGGTGGAAACTTACGTAGCAGCTCGGCCAGCAACATGTCGACACGTTGCTTTTGGAAAAGAGTGCCGCTGTCATCCTTCGCGGCACTAACATCCTTTTTCCCAGCCTTGGATTTGTCCGACACTGCAAAATAAATAAATAAATATTTGATTGCTTGATCGCGATTAGCTTTTTTTCAACTCACAAACTTTGTTGGAAGAAAAATCCCAAGTGTAGCCCTTATTTGGGTGATATCGTGCATAGCTGCTGGCTTCTTCAAATGCAGATTGCAAATTGACAACTGTATTCAACTTTATATACGGCTTGATATTATTAGTTGTTCGTATGCTTCCTACAACTCGCTGTACTTACAATGCGTGCGTTGATCACATTAGCCAAGTCCGGCGCCTTATAAACTGTACCACCAATAATATAGTAGTCGGCAATTGGCGTTGCCTCCGAGGGATTATACCTGTGTTGCTTTCGGATGACGTAGAGGATTGGCTCAGCTACATGCAAAAGTATATACTCCAGACCTGTCATGTTTCTAAAAAAAATAACTCTTACAAAATGAAACAACATTTTTGATTGCGCCACTTACTGCAGATGTTCAACGCCCAACCGTTGCATGCGAATTGTTTCATTGTTACACATGTGATCATAGAAAGGATTGGACTTGCGACAAAAATAGTCCATCACATTTTGTGGGCTCAACGTAGCAATCATTTGGGTGTCATGCCAGGAGAGCCGCAAATGATTTTCTGGTGCACTGGCATGGGCTATTTGCCGGTTGGCCATGGCGGCACGTTTTGTTGAGGGAAGCGCTTTTGTTTGTATACAATTTTAAGTATATAGTTGGCGACAGAGGTCACTGACAATCACTACAAATTAGTGGGTCAATGTCTTTATCGCATGGTATGACTTAATGGTATGTAGGCGCGCGTCTTCCTTTTTTTCAGTTTGTTTACAAGCTATTTATAAACTTTATCGACAAGTGTTTTTTTTTGATTTATTTGTTGTGTAATAAATAATTCAGTGTCGCTTGCAGAAAACAATCCGCTGAGCAAACATCTCTGCTATTGAGTAAGTATCCAGATAAACTTTTTCTTATATGCGTAAGCTATTCCTAGGCATATTTTGTCGTTTGGATGCAGTTTTCCTGTGCATTTTCCAAAAAAAGTGTATTTTAAATTATATTTCAACAATGGTATGCGCGAATTAAAAACAAAACTCAGGCCATCGAGAACAAGTTGGCAGCTTTTGTAATAAAAGGGGCTCATACACGTCCAAGCTGAATGTGTGAATACAAATGTATTATATGCAAATACTCATGTAAATATGGATATGATCATTCGATTTCCAATTATTGTTAGATATTAATCTATGTAAAATCTTAATAATTAATTTTTTAAAGTAGACTAATTGTCCCATGGCCAAAATTCAACTTTCGTTTACCAATTTTACAATACCACTAGATTCCCAACTGCACTAAAAAGTGTACATACTTTCATATATGCATATGTATGTATATTTTTAACAGTCTACAATTATAAAACTGCCTAGCAAAAAACTATACCACAGCTGGGCCTGTGAATGTGAACAATCTGAACAATCAGTTTGCGACAAAATAAATTAAAGAAAACGCAATATAATTGGAAAAATATTTTTTGAAAGAAAAAGTGCCTTCTTACACTCAGCATTTGTGTATAAACAAAAAAAACTGCTCCTCTTATTTGTAACTTCTGACAACCGGTTTCTGTACATTCATCTAGCTGTTCTGTTTTGTATATCGACATAATTTACCGATTATCTAACTCCTACTCGATACATCGAAAATCAAGTATCGATACAATGGCTTATTTCACATATTAAAACAAATACGGCTTTTAAAAAACAAAAAAAAAGAGTAACTGCTGATAATATTAACCCGTCTGCCCAAAATAGATCTTCACAATCACACTGTACAAATTACTATACATATATATACATGTACATATCAACATTTGCGCTCACAACCACACACTCCATATAACGATTTCTGTCAACATCGCGTAGCTACATAGAGCCAAATACAAACAAATTCTATAATATTTTCATTCGGATAAAATTAAACAAAATTTTGCTTACGCGCTCTTGAACCGTCTGATCTGTGGAACTCGGCCCATTTCTTGCGCCCGTCATTATTGGGAGCTACATCAGTTCGCTTTGTACGCTTCATCGTGGCGCTGCTCGGGAAGAAAGGCAACGGCAACAGCAAAGAGCGCAAGCAATGGTAACACAAACTTTACAAAATCAATACAGCACAGGGTTTTACTGAATGTTTTAAGACATCGAAAGCCTACCATTTTCACGTGTGTGTAAATAAGTGCATAATTTCCAACGAGTGCATATCTGTGTATAGCTTCACCTTCATTTTTCACTTGCACAAATTTCATAAATATTCTTAGTTTGTTGTACATCAGTGTATAATCTACATACATACATACATATGTATGTATGTTTTACCTGTCAAGGTCGTACAAGTTTTCAGTAGCACGCCTACATTATTTTTTATGCCTAACCTTGATTTTCGCGTACAAAATTCTATATGTGCATACATATACATACATACATAAGTCTGTATATAAATATGTATGTGTGTGTGTGTCTGTATGTATTTTTTCCATATGTTAAACACTATTGATTCATACAGCATATTAATTTTAATATGACAGCCACTGTGCTTCTTACAAATTCTTGTTGGTCTTCTGTACAATTTTAATGTTCTCCTTAATCATTCCTGTGAATAAAAAGCCTTGGAGTTACATACTTACATATGTACATATATGTTTGTATGTATGTATTGGCGTAAAGCAAATGCTATGTTTCCTTTATTCTCACTAGCAAAGCACCTATTTTAAAAACTTGATCATTTTGAATCTAGGCTCACTGATATTTCAGTCAAAAAAGAGTTAAAATGCATAATGCGGCCATGAATGCTTTGGTAGTGAGTCGATCATAGCATGAACACTTGTTATATGTACATACATATGTATCCGTTCCGGTATTAGCCTTTAATGATTTCCATGGCAAACTGATATGAAACAAGTTACATACATGGAATTCTATTCTTCTTCTAGATTTTTCGATACTTTTGCACTTTAGGCTGGCACATCAACATTAGGCCTCGCCTAACCAGGTCTCAGTTTCCGCGATATGCGCTATATAAAACCGGAGCCATATTATGAGGTAGTTTGCACAGTCAGCAGACTTGGATTATCGCTTACCACGCCACTAAGCTGATGCATACATAAAAGCACCGACCTGATATGCAGCAAAGCACAGGCATAATTTATTAATGAAGCTTTGCCTCTTTTACAGGGCCTTCCACCGTTTAATGTCACAGGCAGCCCCTTCAATGTGGTACCGATACACAATTACCCGGAGCTAATGAAAGATACCTGTGCGTTGATCAACTCCGAGTGGCCTCGCAGTGAGACAGCGCGCATGCGTTCTTTGGAAGCTTCATGTGATACACTGCCATGCAGCCTTGTCCTTACGACAGAGGGCATGGGTCGGGTGATTGCACACCTTAAGCTAAGCCCAATAACGTCCAAGAAAAAGGCATGCTTCGTGGAGTCTGTGGTTGTGGATAAAAAATATCGTGGACAGGGTTTTGGGAAGCTGATAATGAAATTCGCCGAGGACTATTGTCGTGTGGTGCTCGATTTGAAGACGATTTACTTGTCAACAATAGATCAAGACGGTTTCTACGAGCGGATAGGTTACGAGTATTGCGAGCGCATATCCATGTACGGACCGCGCCACTGTGAGCTTCCAAGCTTGCAAAATGCCAAAAAGAAATACATGAAGAAAGTCCTATAGACATCAACGCCAGTAGTAGTAGTGTTAGCCAATTTGAATTGCGCCCAACAGGGGCAGCGCGTCAACTAGTTGAATTAGCAAACGCCTGCCAGCGGCTGTGCCGCATTGCATTTCGCTAGTGAGATTCAACGCGCTTCGTGCCACCATCTGCCAACTGTAGAGACAGACATTAAGCAATTTTTTGATTCCATTTCACTGACAAACAAACAAACAAACATTCATACATATTACTCTCGTTGATTTTTAAATATTACTTTCCGCTTGTATTTTTTAATCTTTTTGGTTGCCCATTTGTATGACAAATGTGGAGCTACTATCCACATAAATTCTTAAATTGCTGTATGTTTTTTTCATACGAATGTATTTCCTTGAATCATAATTAAATTATGATAATTTATTTTTATTTACTGTAATTTTGCTCAAATGCGTGCGCAGTAACTGATAATTAGACAAAATCTAACTACCTACGATAGCTCAAGTATCTTCCAAATATAGCATAGAAACATATCGAACTGTAGAATTTAAGCATTAAACGAAAGGCAATAAATGATAATAAAATTGTAAACAATTTCAACCAAAGCGGAAGTTCTTTTGGGCATTGCAGTTGATATTCACACGAATACATTTTTGACAAGTTCAAGTTCAAGGCTGCGACAGATATAAATTTATGTTTCATTATTTTTGTTCATAGCTTGTTATTTTTGTTGCAGCAGCCCAGAGATCGACGTTGTGCTCCCCCTCTTAGTTCTTGTGTAAAAATAAATTAAATTTCAAGCAAGCCAGCACATCGTTGTGGTCGTCACTATTACAGCAGCCACGGAAATCGTTGGCAAGACTAGCATGGGCTGTTGCTTGAAATGTAAATACGTATGTATTTATATCTTTGGGATGGGTGCTCTCTTTTCAGAACCGTGCGAGCCAGATGCTCAGTGATCGTTTTGGCAGTTGATTTAAGACGGAAGTAGCCGATCTTTTGCCTTTCCCTTCTTTGTGCCACAACTGAACTAATTGCACATTGTCGGAATACCTGTACAGCGCTTAAAATGACAGGTGCTAATAGGTTGAAATTTCAGGTGCCTTCTTCTAACAGATGCAATGATATGGCACGTAAGAGCTATAAAAATACACATACACATGTGTTTCGTATTAAAATGGAAAATTTTATTGTGCGAGTGCAGTTTTTGTATTCTTAATTATACATTTGAATGTACGTCTATAATAGTACATACGTATGTCTTCCGTTTTATAAGAATTCATACTTTAACGGACTTCAATATAAATAAATATACTTGAATTTAACGCGCATTTGTATGCGCGACAGCTGCCTTTTTTAAATAATAATAATAAATTGGGCTTATTTGGTTTTGGCAATGCCGCAAACCTTGCCGTAGTGCTCAGGCTGGGATAAGCTGTCCACAATAAATTTAGCCAAATCATATTTGGAAATCATGGGCCCTGGTGCCACATCGTGTTTAATCACATAGGCAGTTGCTGGCTCATCAGCGATATGAGGCGGTAGCACAGCAATGAAATCCAAGCCTGAAGCTTTTGTTAAATCCAACATACGTTTGTGCTCCTCGTTTAAACGATGAAAAACGGGGGGCACTTCGTTTAGAGAACGTAGGAGGAACGAGGACATTACGATTGAAAATTTGCTGATCGTGGCCGCCTTCATAGCTTGGATGATGTTTTCAGTGCCACGCGATAGTTCAGTGGTGGCTTCCAGTTTGTTGCGTGTGCCTAATATGACACAAACCCCATCAACTCCTTCAATGACGCGCTTGCAGTCTTCCAAGTTGGTCACATCGCCCTGCACAAGCTGAACTTTGGATTTGAAATGCTCGGGCACGGTCGCTTCAGTGCGATATAACAAACGAACTTGGAGACCTTAAATAAGTTTCAATTGAGTGATATGTAGACATACAGTACGGTATATACATATACAAACTTACCCTTTTCCAATGCATACTCTACCACACATTGACCGGTCATGCCGGTGCCACCGATTACAGCAATCCGTTGCATAATTTATAGCTTGGTTGTCTCAGCTTAAATGTTTATAATGGTCGTGGTACCCACACAAGTTAGGGTTTTGTCGCAAAATCGGCTCAGCTTTAGCACCTGGCCAACATCAAGCTTTTAAATGAAATGTGAGTGAGCTCTCTATCATCGATTATGAGTTTTGAACTTACCTTTGCCGTCAGCTGAGTTAATTTGAATGTGTGTGTGGTTGATTTATTAGGTGCTTATCAATAGGAGTAAAAGTAAATGCTCTTTCTGTTTCTATAGACACACAGACAAAGATTTATTTGATAAGCCTATAAGATTAGAATAAAGAATTGTCATGTACAACTTTTAATATTTCTTATCTTTTCTCAATTTTGCGGAGCTATGTTCTTATGTTCACGCTCTGGCAACGCTTTGTTTAAATTTGTTTGACAGCAACCGCGTCGTTGCCATATCAGGCCTTATTTTGAAAAAGGTTCGTAGCCGTTACGCCTGCGATTCGTCCGCATTGTTGTCGGAGTATGGATTATCATCAGGATTTTTTACGCGTCTTAATGTTATTCCCAGCTTGAGTTCGCTTAAGAAATCCATGGTTGGTGGTTTGCGCTCAGGGCGTGGTTTCACCCCGCTAATTGTAGCAGCTTTCTGATCAACTTTCTGCAATTATGGATATCCATATAGGTGATGATACTAAAGCTTAATGCTAATATTTTACCTTTAAAGTTACGCCTTTTCGGATACTTTCTAAAAATGCATCACGATCGTCACCACTGGAAACGACTGTTTTTGCTGGCGTATTAGTTGTTGCAGCTTGAAGTGGTGGTGGTGGCGGTGTTGGTCCCGCACCTGCTGTTAAGTTGGGTGGAGGAGGTGGAGGGGGAGGGGGACCTGCGCCAGTTTTGGGTAGCGGAGGCGGTTCTGGTACACTACTATTGCTATTTCCCACCAGTGGTTGCTGTGTAATTGAAATTGGAGGCGGCGGTGGTGGAGGCACTGAAGCAGTTGGGCTACATTGTTTTTGGGTCGGTAGTTTTGGTTTGCTTACTATTAGTGTTGGCGAGCTATTTATATTTGGTTTGGGGGGTGTTGGTGGTGGTGCCATACGCATCGGTACTACTTTTCGTTGTGGAGCTATTGTCGCATAGACATTCTCTGGTGTTTTTGGTGGGGCCGGATTTGGAGGTAGCGCACCGGCATGGTTATTTGTTGCTCTTACAGCCGAAGGTGGTGGTGGTATCTTAGGCTTGTTTTTAACTTCCACCGCGATTGGTACAGTGATGGTTGTGCAGTTATTCGTCTGTTGTTTCCCACCCGCCTGCTCGGGAATGGGCATATCACTAATATCAGCGAATCGTGACGTTAGTGAAATATAATTGGAAAATGCTGAGGTTGGGTCGTTGGGCTCTGCCGGCACCGGCGATTCCGGTGGTGTTATTTGGTTATTGGTCGATATCGTCGCATAAACGAGCGGTGGTGGTGTTTGCTTTGGCTTTTGCTTTGGAGGCTAACGGAAAAACATATGCATTGTTAGTTGATAATTTTAAGGGACTTCTCTGTACGTACTATCCAGGTAAAGTTGGAATGCACGATCTTTTTAATCACATCCTGTCGTCGCATACCATTAATATCCTCTTCAGCTATGCCATGCTCAATCATATACTTCTTTAGCACATTGTCATTGGAGTTGGCACTCAGGTCGAAGGCATTGCGAGTCCGATCGCGCGTCACATCACCTGCAACATGTTGAAAATGAATTGGTCCTCCTATTTCGTACTTTGAACCCTTAGAGCTGACAACGACGTTGGTGGAGAAACTGGAAGCCGGCGAAGCATTGTGTGAGCTTTTTCCACTTTGCAAGCTGTTCGAGGACGATGAAGAGCTCATGCTTTGAATGTTGTTATTGCTATCCGGATTGACCAACGTACGGCGAAAGGTGTTTGGTGAGGGTGATGCTCGAGTCGGTGGGCGAACTGCAGGTGGTGGATTAGAAAAGACGTCGCTGCTCACCTCATTAGAACGTGGCTAAAAGAAAAAAGTTACTTGTTCAGTTTAAATAGTAATGAGAAGACAGAGCAATTCATATGGTATGAATATGCAGGTCCATTGGCAATTACCACCCAATAGCCAGGCCCTTTATTGCTCCTAATTATGTCGTAAATATAGGTACGTCTTTGTTCGGCTGATATAAGATTTACGTTATCCGGTAAATTGGCCTTTCGCAGATACAGCATTAGCATTTCGTCAGTGCCATGGCCGCGCAGATCAAATGTTTTGCGAAAGTCTATGGCATTACCCTCCAACTGCCTGAATTCCACAGGCTCGGAGATATAGTTACTGTCCATGTTGGGTCGAAAACTGAAATGCGATATGGATATGTATGTGGACAAATCACTACATTTAGAGTCGCATTACACTTATAGTATATAGAGTATAGGTACCACCTCCAAACTTGCGCATTATCTTCTGGCAATTCACAGATAAGATGTGTCAGTGTTGGTACAACTTATTTATCAACATGGGATTCGCATTTTTGCACTAGTGCTGGTGTTATACAGTGAATCACCAGGCCTATTAGACATATAATAGGAAAAAATTCCCATCACTTTGATAAAAACAAAGCTGGTTACCTTCAACGACGTTCCAATACCACGAAATTGTCTCTCACTTGTTTAGGAGCTGCCAAATTCCAGCCGGACTGAGCGAAACTAACTTGGCCGTATTGTAACCAAGCAACTCGAGTAAATTTGTCCGACTGATTAACCCAGTCGGTATGTCATTCTGTGGTCTACTGTTTACTCATTTTGCGAACTTCTGGTTATCTTGAACGGCGGCGCTGATAAGCTTAGACAGTAATCACCTAGGCGTTGGTAAACTTATGAAAGTTTGAGCCATACAAAAACATAAACAATAGGTGTAAATATATATAGCGATTCTTCTTTTGTTTCTTCATAATTTTCGAAGCTTGACCATTGACTGAACAATTAAACTAATTTAAAAAAAAATAATGCTAAATGCTGTTAATCTTAAAACATTTCTGACGTTTATTTTTGGTATACCTCGTCCACACCAAAAAATAAAATGTTCCAAAGCTTGTAAAGAAGCAGCTTACACAATATTATATATAATATCAAACTATTCCGGTTCCACATCGTTCTCGTATCGAATTTGACCGAAAAATTGATTCGGTGGGACACGTGGATTTGCATAAACACCTCCTGGATTTCTGAAACCATATCAATAATTAGCCTCATTCTCATTGTAACTTTGTTACATTATAGCCAACCTGTAATTAAACGATGGCTTAAGATTTGATTTTCTGCATCCATCCTTAGAAATCTGCTTTAGAAACTTTAAATGATTCTCGATACTCAGTAATGTACCAGCACCATATGGATCCTAACAAATGTTAATTTTTGATGTTACGCATTCTTTGTTATGTTAATACATACATACCAACTCGGGATTCTCGTAATTGAAATAAGTATCGATGGACCTAGATGAGGAATGCTCGTAATTGATAAATTCGATATTGAAAGCTAAAATTACATACATTGAACATTTGTGATATTTTCGGTACAAGTGCTTTTGTCTTTCTTCCACTTTCTTCAGCAGGGTTTCCAGGTTTTCGATTACGCTATTGCCCAACACAACCTCGTCAATCTATGCATTGTAGTTGCATGTGGAAATTAAATGTATCCGGAGCTCTAATTGTCATATTTTTTTTTAAACAACACTCACATTTGCAGAAATTATATGTGGATATAACATAACAAATGCTAAAAAGTAAAAGAAAAATTGAATCATGGCTAACCTCTCCAATACATTTGTGGAATAATAAGAAAAAAATATTCTACTTTTTAAAATTTTACGAATAAAGCGGCACAAAATGAGTTAATGAGAATGTCATGGGACAAATTGCTAAAATCGATTTAGAAATTCTGTAAAAAATGATCAACTATGCATAAATAGAACGGCACCATCATGTGAATTCCATTTTTAAGAATGGAATCACACAATACAGTAATATATAATTATCAATTAACATTACAGCATTGTCCTTTTTCCTCCACAAACCCTATACTTATTTAAATTTCATTTAATTACAATATGGTCATTGGAGACATATTTTTGCATAGCTTTTGGCAACGGTACTCCCTATTGCAGTTTTATGAAATAATGGGCTACATATAGTATTACTATGTAATGCTTACATACCAAGATTGGTGTTCCTGGTTGTTATGATTAAAAATCGAAATAATATATTGAAAGTGTGTTGCAAAGTCGAATCAGTCAGTGTTTACGACTCCTAGTCCCTTCAGTCAAATTTTGTAGCACATTTGATTTTGTAAGATCTGTCAACCGAGAGATTTTCTGCCAATTCATTTTAGAACGAGCATTGAAAGCACACAGAAGTGCTGTTTAAGTAAAATTAATTTGAATTAAATCGGTAAGATGGACGGCAATATTCAGTCCTTTGATCAGTTCGATGGCTATACTGTGGCCGAAATTGAGGTGGAGGCGGAAACGATGATAATGCCCAGTGAGCTAGAGGTCGGAGCCACAATTCTCGTGTCCAACGAAAGCGATGGCAACGTAGAGCGCATCATAAGCCACGAGGAGCTATCTAAGTACTTTGCCCCACCGGTAGCCATGCCAATTCCAACGGAAGTGGCTGTAGAGCGTACACTGGCCGATCCGGCCCTGAAACAAATTTTGCAAGAGGCCGATCCGGATTTTGATCCAGAGGCTGAGCAAATGAAAATACGCGATTTTCTAGCGGGTGTTACCAACAATAAGATGACCACAGAGGAGACTGTTTTTCAAGGTAATTGGTGAGGTTATGAGGTACTAGCAGGTTCAATCTAACTGGACTCTGTTACAGCAGCTCCACGTCAGTCGCTGCCATCCTCCAATGCCTGTGGTATTATTAAGTGTTCCAACTGCGGAGGGCTTTTTGAGATCTTAACCTTTCAGAACCATACTTGTGACTATGATGGCAATCAAGCTCTGATTGAGGTACCACCCTCCCAGGAGAAACGTTTGGCAACCGTAGCCGCTCCGCCTAAGAAACCTGCCAGTGAGCGCGTTATCCTAGAGAACCAAGTACGCATTCGTCGCTTTATGAAGGATGAGCTTAGATATGACATTAAGACTGGCTTTGACGTCTCACGTACCAAAAAGCCAACAAAGGGACCCAACGAGTGCTCTATGTGCGAGCGAAAGTTCGTACACGCTTCCGGCCTAGTGCGGCACATGGAAAAGCATGCGCTCGACTTGATACCGACACAGCTGGCTGCACCCTCCATTGGTAGTAACACAGTGGTGCACGGTCTTCGTGTTGTGCTTAAGTGTGAGCCTTGCGGACGCATCTTTTGTGAGATCAAAATGGCACTGGAACACTCGCTTGTCCATTTTCCGGAGTCATCCCCCAAACCAGAGGCGTCTTCCACTAATGAACTGAGCTACACCGAGCTGGCGCAGCTCATGAATGTGGCCGAACAATTGGTAGAAGTCACCGATGTCAAAGCCGAGCAGGAAAATCCAGACAAAGAAACGGACAACATATTCTTTTCGACCGTTATCTTAAGCGGCGTCCTCCAATGCGAGTTCTGCGATTACATTTTTGCTGATATAGGGCACCTACTGGCCCACTCGGCCACTCACTTGCCGGAGCGTCGCTTCGAGTGCTCCGCTTGCGACATTTGCATGAACACCTCCAAAGAGGCCAGCACGCACTTTCAGGCTGATTGTGTGTTTATGCGCGAGGGCTTAAAGCAGGCCAATCAAGTCTCATTGAACCGTTATTTCGTCTGCAATGTGTGCGAGCTGAAGTTTAATAACTCGGAGCTATTGCAGGAGCATCGGTATGTGGGTGGCTTGCCTTTGATCTCCGTTCTTAATTTGGCCCAAATTACAGCTACTCATGTTTCCATTATTTCCCACGTTTGAGCATTGACCGAACTCAACTTCTTCTGCCATGCGAGTTTTGCGAAGTTAACTTCGAGTATGCCCATGAGATACAACCGCACTACGAGGAGAAGCACCTAAACAAGAAAAGACGCGAGAAGGACGCCCGCAATTGTGGCTCTGGCAGCGGTCGTCTGCGCCAGTATTTGTGCGATATTTGCGGCAAATCCTACACTCAATCCAGTCACTTGTGGCAGCACTTACGCTTCCATCAGGGTAAGTGAAGATTCCATTATTATTACCTATCATTAATAATTGAATTATTGTTCTAGGTGTCAAGCCGTTTGTTTGTCAAGAAGATGGCTGCGGTCGTAAATTCACCATTCGCCCGGATCTTAATGATCATATACGCAAATGCCACACTGGAGAGCGTCCATATCACTGTCTAGTTTGTGGTAAACGCTTTCTCACCGGCTCGGTCTTCTACCAACACCGCCTTATTCATCGTGGCGAGCGTCGGTACGAGTGTGAGGAATGCGGCAAGCGTTTCTATCGCGCTGATGCATTGAAAAACCATCAGCGCATACACACTGGCGAGAAGCCCTACAGCTGTCTATTTTGCACTAAGACGTTTAGGCAGCGGGGTGATCGTGACAAGCACATTCGTGCTCGCCACGCCCATTTAGATGCCAATTCTCGCTTGATGATGCAAATGCAGAAATTCCAACTGGAATCGGCTGCTGCAGCTGCAGCCTTAAAGGCCAAGAAGTTGCAAGAGCACCATTCTGGGTGCTCAAGTCTTGATATGACTGTCAACACTAACAATATGGGTCCATCTCCACCGTTTGCTATGCTACCACAACCGCAAGGTGAAATGTTTGCGGGTGCTGTAAATGAGTATGTACCGGGCAGTTTTGAAAACATCCAGAGCATGCTGCCACAGTTGGTGCAAGGTGTACCGATGTCCCTGAACAATGTGGATTCCCAAATGATTGTTTATCAGGACCCAACCACAAGCCCGGACATGCCGATGCCAATGTCTATGCAAGGCATGACTATGAACTCGACAAGTATTTTTGAACCCCCGTCGCCATCCATGGAAAACAACGAAAATGCCAAAGTTGTCGTCGTCATGGATAAGCATACTCCACCATCACTTTATTTCTAAACATAATTTGTATCAACTGCATGGAATTTATTTCCGCGAATTCTGTCAATTTGCATTCTTATGGTTAGTTGGCAATGTTGTGTAACAATTTTAATTTTCAAATTAAACAATTTTCATTCATCGATATGCACACAACCAAATATCGATTAGCAACACCTATCGTTGTTTTCTCACATCCATAACGCAACGACCATATTTCTTTCTTTCCGATTTTGTACAATCGCCAACATGGGTTTCGCTACTCTCTGGTATTCGCATCCACGCAAATACGGCCAAGGCTCCCGCTGCTGGTAAGAATAGAAAGGTTCCCCATACAACTCCACGTCGAAAAAATATAAAAATAAATAAATGCCTTTAGTGCATGTCATGTATTTTCTGCATATTTTGCATGCTGTTAGAAAGTGAGGTTAGGCATGCCCCCAATTAGCATGGTGCAACACAATAATATCTGCTTTCACGTCTCTGCCCCCGGTTGAGTACGGAAATATATTAAACATGTGTACTATTTCCTTAATTGAGGGTGGCCAAAACAAAATGATGCAACGGGCAGCTGTCTTTGTTTATACAATGACGCGGTCCGCTGTAGCAACAGCCATGATATGTACATATGGATATGTATGTATGTTTGTATTTATGTACCTACATAAGAATGTATGCATGAACTTTCGAACGTTTACATATAGACTATAGAACCCTCACTCAACTGTGTTCTTACCTTATTAATAAAATTGTTTCATTAATCAACAGCCGCGCGTGCTCCAACCGCCACGGATTGATCCGCAAGTATGGTCTTAACATTTGCCGTCAGTGCTTCAGAGAATATGCCAGCGACATTGGCTTCAAGAAGGTGAGCGTAAAAGTATGTAGTTTTGTGGATATTCAAAGTACTAATCTTTTGTACCTTGCAGCTGGACTAAATGTCTACTTCAAACCTAGGCATGCACATGTCTAAAATAAAATAGGCATATTAATATAAGTAGTCCCAAAATTTTAAGATGGGACTGCGTATATTAATATGCCGGCAACAGCAACAACAAGCAACAACAGCATAATCATTTGGAGATTTAAACGAATGCAAAAGCTAATGAAAGAATTTGTGAAAGCGCTCTGGATCTGTATCGATTACATTCTACAAGCTAAAAGTTAAGTGTTACAATAAGCGGATATACAACCAGACAAACACATACCCATCGCATTGCCTTCTACGAAGGATTCTCATGTAAATGTTGTAAACTTTAAATCTCCCTATGATTAAATCTATAACAAGAAATGTATCAGACTGTCTTGTACCTTTCCCAATTTCACAGTACGTGACAATATGTAGCTCCTGTTATCAACCCACTTACCAGCTGCAAAGGCGGAAGCGAGTTGAATACTAAGCGGTACTTCCTTATTTCTCTAAATATGCACTGCTAAAGAGGTTGCAATGGTATCACTTGGCAAGCTTGGTGAGCAGCACTTGATTGGCTGCACGAACGATAAACCTGTTTGCTTACTGCCCCACTGTAAGATTCTGCGGCAAAGAGCGAGTACGCGCTCTCTTTTGCGCTCAGCTGTTGATGTTGTCTGTTTTCTTTTCAACTTGCGCTGCCAAAATTTACTTTTTTGCACACTTGCCAATTGAGTCGGGCTTGAGCGTTCGCAGCTCAAACAACGTAACGCGCAAAGTATTAAAGCGTGTGTATTTTAAAGTCGTGATCTGTCGAAAATGTGAATTTGTTGCGTGTGGTGGTATTGTCTTACGATTTACAACTGCGAAAAGTGGCACATCATTCAATAGATGCGTAGCCGATTTATAGTCGCTCCCATCGCAAAGGTCTGCTCGCTCACATTGACCTTGTTAGAGGTGCGAAATGAAATTGCAAGTGCTAAGCATCTGTGTCTGTGTTGTAGCTTTGGCTGCTGCAGCAGCAGCTTCGGCAAATTATGCAACAGCAGCGTCGACATCGCTGCGCCAAAGAGCGCGGCGCCCAAAAAATGCAACCGAGACGCAATCGGAGGAGGAGTTGAAACTGTACAGCAGTAGTTCCCGTACAAAAAGCAATAGATTGCTCAGCGGTAGCGGGGGCAGTGATGATGTGGTTGCACAATATAAGTTGCCTTCGCCAGCGCCTGCAAACGATGCTGTTCAGGAGCACAGGAGCGGTTACGGTAACGAGGGCAAGGCAAAGCGCAGGCGCACGCAGATTGTAATGCGACGCAGACCAGCAGCCAAAGCCAACAGCACAACAACAACGACGACTACAACATCCACAACCATGACATCCACTACAACAACAAGTAAGTGGCTGCAACTGGACTTTAGTCACATGTCCATATGCAACGCCTTGGTGGCCAAACCAAAGACATTCGACTTGGCGCTGGCACTGACCTAGCTTTCAGTTTTAAAGATTGGCAAATGCAACATCAACGATGACGATTGCCATCTAGAAATTAAGAAGTTGTCTAGTCGATAAAGTTATCCACTACATGCCAAACTAGTTTACATACACACCAATATATGCGTACGTATGTAACTATGCATGAATGTGCATATGTATGTCTGTATGAATGAATGTGTGCGACTTTTGGTGCGCAGGTTAATTATGTGGCGTCAATAATTGGAGCAGGGTAGCTTTCAAATTCGCTTAGTAGCTGCGACTGCAAGCGCGACCTTGATAAGACGACGAACGGAGACAGAAACGGACAGTGGGTCTGTCGGTCGATATATTGCTGCACACAGAGGGTCAGTTGTGCGGACAAATGCTGCTTAAACTGAAATGGGAGACGAAGCTTAATATTCCGGTCGCTGGTATTGAATCTAAAATAGAAATTAATATGCACTTTTCGGCACCAAAACAATTTCAAAGAGAATGCGACTAACTTGTAATTGAATTTTCATCTTTAAATAAATAAAGCTTGTAACGCTGGAGTGTGGGTTATATTCTTAGTTACTTTACTACTAACAAGTTTTTCTGTGTTCTGTTATATTTTCCACACTTGGTCATTTGGTTCTTCAACCAATAAAAATCCCTAGTTTAATCTTTAGAGATGTTGCTTTTTCCTTTCTCTTGTTTTTCTATTTTATTTGTTTTCCTATATACGTCATATATTGTAAAATTTGGGAAACTAGTACAGGTGCTGGCTATTCCCCGAAAACGACTCCTGCTGCGGAGCTCAAATATGGTGGGGAAATTGAAAACACAATTTTTACACATGTGTTATAATAAATTCAATGATACCAAAAATTATACAGTTGTACGGAGGAACTTTTTCAATTACTATTCAATGTTTTTATTTTATTTCCAAAGTAGATTTTAAAAAAATAGCCGCCCACACTTTGGATGCTACACAGAGTATCAAATCTGATTATTGCAGTGCTTACGCGGGTTACTTTTTTAGTCGAAAATTTCATGGAATTTTACGAAAAATGAATTGTTCTGTACTACAGTAGGTGTCTAGAATTATTGAGTTTTGCAGCAACCAGTATATTAATACCATTAGCACTATTTATTAAGCATTAGGTTGATAAAGCTAATTTTCAGAGAAATAACTTAGGTAAATCACTTAAAATCGTTGCCAAAATAGACAAGAGTTTTTATATCAATATAATGTATTTTTTCTTTCTATATTTATTTATATTCTACATTTGTGTCTCTTTCGACCTGTTCTATCAAACGTAATGCTTAAGTTCTTATATGTTCGTGTATGTGCGGGTTTTAGCTTACGCGATTTATGATCTTCAATATTCGACCCTAACCTGCTGTAAACCCCAATTTGTTTATGCCCTGAACTTGGCGCACAATTAACGCGCTTTATGATACGGAAATTTTAAGATAGGCATAGGCATATATATGTACATATGTATTTGTATGTACTATACTATAAATTGTCATTGAAGTTAATGGGCAGCATTTGGGTCGGCGCTGTTGGGTGATGCTCGCATTTGTTGTCGCACTCGGATCTCGCGGATTTTCTCAGCTGCCTCCCCGTCCTATAAACTGTTGCAATGAGAGGCGCTTGCGGCAGTGGCAATAATTGCAATGCGATTATTGCGTTTCCACGTTTCCACGCTTCAACAAAGAAAACATAAAAACAAAATGCCCGATAGTATAGTAGGTATACGAGCATATACTATACGAGTATATACATCGAGTGTGCGAATGGGAATGAATTTGTGGCAACAGCAACGGGCGGGCGAATATAATAGCTGTGAATGATGAACGGACGTTGCTGCTTAAAAGCATGTACTACATGAATGTACAGTCAAACTTTGCTATAGCGAATCCCAAAATCAGTAAGATAGAATTGTAATAAGATTAAAATATATAATTAATTAATTCGAAAGAATCTCTCGTTCGGTACAAAAAATTGGAGATAAATAAACTGAAATAAAATATCTTTTAAAAAAAATTAATATATATTTTACGAAAGTTGTTGTTACACTTTTTATATCTTTATTCTATTTAGATGTAGTTTTATAAACATTTATTTTCAAATTATAAAAGGGATTCAAACGACTGGATTGCTAAACTCTTGTAGATACCGAATTGGACTCTAATTCCGGGGTTGGTTGGGTAAATTGATTTTAATTTTTATATCAAGTTATACCAGGATCATGAAAGCCAAAATTCAAGACTTAGGGATCGAAAAGGGAACATTAAATAAGTTCTCATGTAAATATTCATCCGATTTCATTCCTTTCTTGGTATCGTTTTGAGTGCAAAACAGTTGGGAGTTTTCTACAATTGAAACAAGCATTAGTCAGCTGCAGGTCCAATACTTAGGCAGTAGGGTCATTCTCTATAGACAGGTTCAATTGTACCAATCGCGCATGCTTTGTATGTATGTGTGCGGTGTCTGTTTATTTTGATTAATGTGGGCAAATGGGGAACGGCAATTGTTACACTTTTGCGTTGCAAAGATTCACTTTCAAATGGGCAACAATATAAAAAAAAAGTGGTTGCACACCATGACCGACTCTGACGGGAACTGCGCTTTGGCTGCCTTGTAGTGTTTGCTATTTGGAGCAGAACTACAAATGGGCATTAAGTGCATAGTGTATGGCTGACACATATTGAGAAGCACTAAACGGTATCGCTCCTATTTCCTCAGCTCCGCGTCCCAGTCTAGCCAACGGTTTTAATTTGTTTGGGTCAAACTTCTGGAACTTTGGCCAGCAGAGCATTGTGGCTGTCAGCAGTACGCGTAGCCCTCCTACGAAGCATCCCCATCCGCCCAAGAAGTTTACGCCATCCACAGCGCCTAGCTCCAAGCAGGAGAAGCTCAGCTATCTCAAGCAAATAAAAAACACCCGAAGCAAATTTGCTACAAGCACCTCGACGGTGCGTCCATCTACTGATGGTCCGTTCCGTATAGCACTGCCCACACTGACCTTGTCGGACACAGGTTCCGGCAACGAAAAGGAAAAGGATAAGCGAGCCACCTCGAATTTGCGAGTGCGCTTCAATTGCCCGCGCGAACACGAAGTCCGCTTTCAGCTGTTTCCGAAGATCTGCGAGACGGATAAGGACTGCGGGGTCTGGCAGCGAGACGAACTATGCTGCGACATCTTTGGAGCCAGCAGCTGTGTGACGGGCGTGCCAAAGCCGCTAGAGGAAACGCCTCACGAACGTGTGTTGACAGCGAGCAGGAGGTGCAGATGTTCGGACAAGCCACTAATGCCAGACTTTGTTCTCTCTCCGCAGCCATTTTTGGTCTAATACAGCGGAAATGCCCCGCACGCCCATTGGCGGAGCTCTGGTGGGATGTGCAGGAGTGTGAAACGGACCAGGACTGCTGGCCACGTGTCTGCTGTCCCGATGGACGCCGTCGCTACTGTCGCACCTCACAGCCGGAGCTGGAAATGGCGCCAGTGCCAGTGAGACGCTCTTTCAACTACTGTGCGTTCAAAGCTCCGGGGCTCGCAGAGGGACTTTCCAAAAACCACATTTCCAGCCCTGATGGTGTGGCTTTGAAAGAAACAATGCGAGCCTTGGTCTTCTAAAATCCATCGCCTACATATCTAATCTACCTTCATTTGCACCCGTAGTAACTGAGTACCTGGAGTGCACGGCACCGCCACCGCCCATTTTCGATCTACACCCCAAGGCCTGCACCTCCACGCTGGACTGTTTTCCCAATGTGTGCTGCCAGGAGGCCGGGCTGCGCCATTGTCGTCCCCCCAAGAAGTCGGTGCTCACACTGATGGCCAATTTTCTGAACGTGGACTTTGTGAAGAGGCTAACACAGAACATTGTTATCAAATAGACCCATCGGGCTCCCACTAACGAAGGCCATTCATCCATCCCCCCTTCTATATACATACATACGTATATACATACCTGAACGTTATGAACCACTTACCTGATATGAGTATCTTTTACTCTCTTGATAGCTGATAGCTCGTATGTTCTCATACCCATTACGTACACTTTGTATGTATTTGTACTTATTACAAATCACGCATACTCGTATTACTCAAGCATTATATGTACATAAAAACATATGTATGTATGCATGTTTGTTTGTTTTGTATGTATTTCTTCCATAAAAATTTATAATCTAGCATTAGGCAGTACTACCACCTAAGTTGCATTCGTAGGCTCTGTTAAGATAATAAAAACAATTTATCAACCTTATACATACATATGTACGTATGTACATATATATTCTGTGTCTGCGTGGTCCTATTGCGTCTTAGAAGCTCAACGATATCACTACACACTGATAAATAAAGTATATACATATGCATGTATGGTGTTTATAGCGGAACTTATCGGGATTAATGGCAAAAGGTGGCTTCTGGCCTAAGACGCACCTTTAGGGTTGTTTTTTCTTTGAATTGAATTACTTGGCATGAGTCAACATGATGTACACACAAGTACGCATGTATGTGTGTATATATATGTACATATGTATGTTTGAGCCGTTCTCACATTTCATTAAGTGATGTGAAAACGTTGCGATAAATTAGACTACAAGCTGCTGAGCGGTGCGTTTGAACAGTTTCAGAACTTCGAAGAAAACCTTTGAATAACTGAAACTCTATGGCTCAATTTCAGGGCTAGCTCAGCTACGCCAATGTTTCGGAACCTTCTGGATCAGCCCACTGTATGTATATATGTATGTATCTTACTGTTCAAATAGACAGAGAAGGAAGAAAAATTGTGGTTGTATGAACAAAAATTGGTTTCCTTTTAGCTTGGAACTTGTTTATCCCTATGTTGGAGACCTGCAGAGCGGTATTTAAAAACTGAACTTCTTTTTAATAAACACAGAGTTAAATACAACCGCATTCCATAACAACGCGGCGTATACGAAACGAGTACACATTAATTAATATTGCATTTTAACCTAATTAAGTGCTGGGTTTGTAAACAACACGATTTGGATACTTCACATATTGTTGTTATATGTTATAACATATGAGGTATATACATATATACCTTTCCTTATGTGCAATTGCAAATACATAGTTCTGAAACCATCAGGACAACGGGTGGTATGAGTATTTTATTTGAATCTATGTTTAACAAAGCTTTCAAAAGTTTAAAAATTAGTGTTACCTTTTATTTCAATTGCAATTTCAATATACTACTTATGACAAACTTTCTTATGCTGTCACATCTAGGTCATAAGTATATTTTGATTCTGACGGACTTTTTTGTTTCAAAGTCAACTTTTGTAGGTACTTCGAGTCACATACATAGCTCCAGAGGTCTTCATCACCCAACCTTGCCCTAAATTGAAGGTTGCGACTCGAATCTTTCTAGAACACAAACGTCAGCGTATACCGAAAGAAAGAGCGTTGCAACATAAAATTAGAAAAAAATGCTCACAAAAAATTCAAATAACCCACAAAACGTTCGAGCAGTACACTACAGATATACAGATATACATATGTACATATGTATGTTTGCAAATGTATGTATGCTGATTACGTGCACGAGATCAGACAAAGTACACAAGTATCAAGAGACACATTCAATAGAAATTGGCTTTATTGGACATTATTCAAATGTAGAAAAAGAGAACTTAATAATTTTGAAGAATAAATAAAGAGTGTACATACAAAGTCTGTATGCTTATAAGTAGGTGTATAGGCGAAAATGTCGGTACATATGTACCGACCAGGGCGACAGCTGTCCCTTTTGGTCAAGTCAAACCCCTGCCGCATTCAATTTATTTGGAGCAACCGCACTTGGACTTGTTCTCGGTGCCGCACTTGCAGTCAGTGCCGCAGTTGCAGGATTCCTTGTTGGGGCTGGAGGCGCATTTGCAACCTGCCGAAAGGACACCTCGATTATACAAGGATAATGAAGGATTAGAGTTATCTTACCGTTTCCGCATGGGCAAGGCATCTTGCAGATTTGTTTTTATGTGTCACAACTGGGGGGAAACTTTGAAAAAACTTGTTGGTTTTTCTTCAACTTAGATGATTCACCTTTGCTGCAGAGCGTAACTGATGTCGAATTGTGGATGTTGCCCGATTTTATACACTTAAGAAACGCGGCTTTCCACACGGCGCTTGATTCTAGTTTTGCACACGACGACGAAAACGACACATTAGCCGGCCGGCCGGCCGGCATGGGTTAGAGCCGTGTGCAAAGGGAAAGCGAGCGAAAGCTTATAGTGGTTTGTGTCCCGGATAAGCTTTTAGCCACTATTGGTGTTCGCAGTGCGCAAATGCCAGAAAATGCTTGCTGCTGAATGGGCGGAGGGCGTGCGGGCGTGTGCGCCTCTTATCGTACAGCAACGTTCCCAATGTTGCCGTTGTTGTCTGTCTGAACGTCGCTCTGGCCGCCTGCGCTGTATGGGGACTAGCTGGCTAGTCAGTTGCCTGTGCGCCAGTGTTTTTCCGATTCCACAGCACGGCTGCTGCGACATTTTTGCAACGAATTCAATTGCAACGAAAATGCAAAGGCTGCAAGTAAATCTAAAACGCTTCACTTAGCCAAAAGGCAACCAGCCACACTCAGGCAATCTTAGCATAATAAGGAGCAACGAATATTCTTATTCTCTAATTTGTTTTGTGTTTGCCGTGTATTTTTGTGGGTGCGGATGTGTGTGTGTGTGTGTTCTGAAACTGCAACACATATAAAATCGATAAATCCAAGCCAAAATAAAATAAGGCAAAAATCAACAACGGGAACGGGCTACAAAGTACGTGTATTAGTATTGGAGAGAGTGGGTGTGCGTGTGCGTATGCGTATGCGTGTGTGTGTGTGTGGATACGTGTGTATTTGTGTGCCTGTGCGTGGGAAAGAAAACAAAACGAACAAAACAGTGAAAACGACAACGGCTGCGTAGGCACAGGAAGTGGCAGCAGCAGCGGCGTTGACGTCGGCGTTGGCGTTGGTGTTGGCAGCAGTATCAGGACAAAGCCCGCGGAAGTGAACAGTTACAGTTAGTGGCAACTTTAACCTGCGACCCCTTCCAAATAAGCCAAAGCCTAACAAACACGCCATTTGTCCGACAGTGTTCCCCCAAAACTAGGCAACGATATATGTATATACACATATACCTGTGTATGTATATGCATGTATGTGTGTATGCACATATGCGTGTGTGTGCGCGTGTGTATATTTAGTAAGCCTACGCATTTATTTTAGTTACCGAAGTTTAAGCACAAAAAACGCTTGCACTTCAAAGCGAATATTTATAAGCGTACCCTTCCATTTCCTTTCATGTTGTGCCCTGTCCTGCCCTGCCCCAAACCGACCGCTATACTACACCAACGCCAGCATACACACACAAATGTATAAATGTGCACACCCACATACATGCATACATACTTGTGCCGCGAAAACAACTGCTTCCCTTTACAATCCGCAAGTGCGTTACCTTAATGCGCCTTATCATTATGTCCAATGATGAAAGTGACGATCTGACCTGCGGTAATTTTGAAAAAATCAATATTAGCACCTGGAATTAGCGTACACATCGATGTGCAAAAACAAACAACAACAGTTGAAGAACAAAATCAGTGTTGTTTGGCACCTAACAGAAAACCCTTAAACTCCCACACCATTCCCATCCTTATCCCACATTATCGAACAAAAAGGCAGACACGCGCGTTTGTGTGCGTCGGCGTGATGAACACATGATTTGCTCTTAATCGTCGTTGCAGATAAACCAAAGTATGGAGCTCAAGTAAAACATTCAATCAGTTGACATTAAACAGCTAGCAAGCTTCCCGGACGAGCGTGAGTGAGCGAGCTTGGGAGCCACAGCCAGTGCGTGACTGTGAGTGTAAGTGCGTGCAATTCCACACATTGAAAACTTGCCAAAGGCTCAAAATGACGGAACAAAAGAATCAAGTCACACGTGCCATGCCGGAGCAGAGCAACGACTATCGTGTCGTCGTCTTTGGAGCCGGCGGCGTTGGCAAGAGTTCTCTGGTGTTGCGCTTCATCAAGGGCACGTTTCGCGAGAGCTATATACCCACCATTGAGGATACGTATAGACAGGTGAGCGTTGTGATAGCTGGAAACCATTAATTTGTTATTAAGCAATGCCCCGAATAGAACGTGATCGCAAATGTGACCTACAATTACAAGTATAAATTTATTATCATAAATGAAATATTTGAAATACAAACACATAAGTAAATTATAACAAATATACTCTAATATGATAATAAATAAACTGATAGTATAGGGAATTTTTAGTTCCCAATAAATATATAGACGAATTTAAAGTGGCAATGTTGATGGTATCTTAAATTGCAAAACCAATCGACTTGATCGAGCCGGTGGATCATAGATGTAATGCAAATTTTTCTCTTAAACTTTAATTGCGTATTTGCTTAAAATAGAAATGCTGCTGGACTCAATGTCTATCGGTGACTTAAACATTGTGAAGAATTTCTGCATGATATCATAAAGTATACCGTCAAAAGAGACGGGGAAGATATATAATCAGAACAGCCGAAAAACACTTTTTAGATTTAGAAATCTTGTGGCCCGCTTGATTTTCAACTATTAGATTTTAACAGCAGCTTTTGACGTATGTTCATATTTGAACATTTATAATTAAATGTAAGAGCGGTTTAATTATAAAGAGTTTGTTTTCTGGATGCTTCTTTCAGGTTATCAGCTGCAACAAAAACATTTGCACGCTGCAAATTACAGACACGACCGGCTCGCATCAATTTCCAGCAATGCAACGTCTATCTATATCTAAGGGGCATGCTTTTATTTTGGTCTATTCGGTGTGCTCAAAACAAAGCTTAGAGGAGCTGCGGCCCATTTGGGCGCTCATAAAGGAACTGAAGGTGAGATGAGAAGCCGACATACATACATATCTATGAATACTATATTGCTTTGAAATGATTTGTAATAGGGAACCGATATACCCAATATACCGGTTATGCTTGTGGGCAATAAATGCGATGAGAGCGCTGAGCTGCGTGAGGTCTCACAGATAGAGGGCCAGACTCAAGCGACGACCTGGAGTATATCGTTTATGGAGACGTCGGCCAAAACCAATCACAACGTGACCGAGCTCTTCCAGGTGCGAAGTTCAGTGCATTGCATTCTGAATCGATGTTAATTAATTGCTTTTTGTACAGGAATTATTGAACATGGAGAAAACGCGTACGGTTTCGCTGCAATTGGACACGAAAAAGCAGAAGAAACAGAAAAAAGAGAAGAAAAACAAGGAGACGAACGGGGGCATACCCGAGAATGGGGAGGCGAGCGCCAGTGGGGCCAAGGAGAAGTGTCATGTTATGTAAGGCATGGACGACATCTTGGCCTGGGTTGGACTAATACTCGGTTTGGGACTCGCAGCGTGATGTTGATGTTTTACCACTGGTAGTACCCGGATACTCAACCAACCAACACCCACCCACCCACAAGCACACATACACGCGCACACACACTCTAAAACCCATTAACTAAAGGCAAGCCGTTAGCGGAGAAAATGAAAGGAATTGGCTCTACAAATACAATTACAACAGCAACAAGAACAACACAGACATATACATAATGGGGACTGATGATATCTGAGAACAGAAGAAATACCACTCATACATATGTATACATAAATGGATGTATCTAACTATCTGGCTTACACTTTTCCATCATAGACGGAACTTAATTAGACAGATTATAGTTTGCATAGCTATTTTGCTTTTATTTGATATTTATTGTTATGATCGGTCCCTTAGAAGAGCATATTCGACTTAGTTTCTGTTTTCTAAAACAAAATCTGCATCTGCAACGTAACTGCATACATATCAAAGAATATTTACATACTTGCATGCCACACTCAAGTTATATACTGTTCATACATTCATTCTTGCAAACAGTTAGAGAAAGTTAAACATAACGAACATACATACCAACAAACATACATATAAATATCTCTAATGGAAAGCCAAAGTACCTACTTAAAGACATAACAATTTACCTACTATAGCATATACTAACAGAACTTCTATATTACAAGACTCTATATACACATACGAGTATGTATGGTAGCGCCAGAGACAATTGGGGGGCGTTTGCGTCATAATTTAACTGGAATCTGGCCTATAGTTTATCAGTGTGGTATGGATAGTTGAAATACAGCTTTTTAGAACAAATACATATGTACATATATTTTGCTAAATTAGTTGAAAAGCATTCTCCAGCATGTCAAAATTCCAATTGTGGCAAAGATGCCCCCACAGACTTCTTCATAAGTACGAGTACATACGTTACATCAAAGAAAACAAAAATTGCTCTATAACTATTTACCGCCAAAAAGCAAAGCAGAACAATTTCATCAGCACATCATTTTAAATTGTTTGTACACATCAATAAAATGTATAAATACTCAAAAAAAAAAACACACACACACAAAACACATAACACACACAACTTAATAGACACACACACATACATATAGGAAAAAAGGGAGCGAGAATAATGAAATTGCGTGGTTTTTTGTCGATTTGTATTGTTTTACTTTTGCGCAATTTAAATGTGACACTGTTTTTGTATTATAATTGATATGTACAACTTACAATTATTTGCTGAAGTTTTTAATATCTCAATAATATGTAATATGTGTATGTATTTAACACAACAATAATGCGCAAATCGTGTATGTATATACAAAAAGTAGCTTAAGTCAAATGTTGAGTACTTTTTAGTCACATTGGAAAAGAAAACAAAAAAAAGAAGAGAATCCGAGAGGGATGTGAAAATCAAGCTATATATTAATTAATTTAAAAAGCACTTAAAAAACAACATACATCGAAGGATATTTGAGAGAGAACATACATTTTTGAAATGCAAAGATATAAGTTGCCTGTTTTGTAAAAACAAAAACAAACAAATAACTAAAGTAAACAATTTACTTGCGTATTGGTAGTGAATAGTTTTGAATGGTTGGCCATGTGGGCAAAAGTTTTAATCAATTAGCTGGTTTAATTGTTTCGCCTTTGCTGTTATTTGATATTAAGGGGCATTGGTTTGCTTTTATTAAAAAAAGAAAACACAAATACAACCATCAAAAAAAATTAATAATAATAATTTACATCTGCATAGCCTAAGTGCTAAGTTCATAGAGCTAAAGCGCATGGCACACGCTATACATACAAATAATTATATTAATTATGACTTTGCTCATTTCTTAAATACAGAATAGAAGAGCCGTAGCCGTATGTTCATTCTTAAAGTACAGTGGTGCATAGCGAACAACAATATGAACATACATTATTGACAAATGTGTACTAATATATTGTTGAATTCATGTAGTTTTATTATTGTACAAGATTTTGATAGTGGACCAATTTGCGTATAAGATTTGAAATCTATGTATTTAGAGAAAACTTCTAAGTTTGCCATACAACAAACAACCATTACTATAATTATGGTTATGCCAATCAATGTTTAGTTTAGCTTAAACGTATCAATATTATAAAATGAATTATATTGTATGGCATGGGTATTGCATTCTTATTAGCCTATCGTTTGTGATTTTGTTATTGTTTCGTTTCGCTTAAACTTATCTTAAATGTCTCTTTAGGCACTGTGTTTAGATCTGTTCGCCTTTCGTATCCACAAGCTGGTTAAGATTAAAATGTATGTGCCGATGCATTGGAATACATATTTACATTTACACATATTGTAGCCATGCATAATATAACAATGTTTTGCATAACAAGTGAAATGTAATAAAAATAAATAAATTTACATATTTGAATGCATGATTTAAAATACAACGAATAAATATATTTACAGAAATTCTTTTTTAATTTGTAATTAAAATCTTATAAAAAATATGTTTATACATGATACAAAGGAAGTACGTATATAAAAGTTTTTGCTTACATTATATATTACAAATACATATGTACATGTATGTATATGCACAGGCACACTTACAATTACATGTGTATGTATGTAGTGTCATGGTGCAAGCTTCGCAGCATGGCGTTGTAAATAAATCAGCTAAACAGGCCGGCATAATATATATTTAAAGTCTACATACATACAATTGCAAACAAATTTTAGGCCTTTTAAGTGACACTGAAATCTTATTGTTGAAGATTTACCTTATAACAACAATTATCGTGCGAAAAGCGAATAATTACACGCAAAATAATAATTCCAATAAAGAAAATTTAAGTACGACAAATATCAATTGGTAAATAATTATTTGCGAACCTTATACTATTTGCCATAATATGACAATACGGTTGGCGGCTCAAAAACTGGGTTAAAACTTAGTTAAGACAATTAAAATACAGTGTACATTTTACAGCTTTAAACACTTAAGGACACCTTTGTATCACTCTCATTATCACTATCATTAATAAGAGTGAAACAAGCCAGTTGTTTAGCATCGGCTGTCGAACTGTTTGTGCTGCTGGAACTTTCGTCCTGTTTCTTAGCATCTACTGACGTTGGAGCTTCTAAAGGTTCTAACAGCTCTTGTACGCCCGATACGGCCGGCAGTTGTTTTTGCTGTTGCTGTGATGTCGCATTTGTTGCATTGTTTGTGGCATTTATAACATTTAGTAACATCTTTAGATTTTCACCTGATAAACGATCACCGCCTGCCTCATTGTTTAAAACGGCCTGTTGCACATCCGTTCCTCGGGAAGAATTTTTATTGTGTAAAAGTGCAGCCCAAGCCTTAGGGCTGAGAATATACTTGAATGTAAGTTTCACAATGTAGCCCACCAAAGCGACAAGTGAAACTAAGGCAACATAATTGTACGGAAACGAAAGTCCAGCTGTGTGATATAAAACAGAACTTAATACGTTTTTAGCTGACGAATGACAAAAACTTACAGCGCAAATTACTTAAGGTATGCATAACCTTCTCGAGAAACATTTCCAATTGCTTCAGAAACAGATCATTTAAATACATCAGTAAAACATGATCGGGTCGGCAATATGCTAAGTTAATCTTGCTAGATTTTCTGAAAAAAATTTAATTTGTATTAACAGATTAATATTAAAATGCAATTGTATTGTATTTATTAGGCTCGAACATTGGCTTGCTAATTACCAAAGCATTTTCGTAAACTTGAATTAAATAAAATGTTGCTGGCGCATCTTAGATATTCTACAGCTATTATTTTTTTCTGATTCTATGTTTTCTAAGGAAAATGTAATGAGTTCTCCATTTAAATAATTTATCTAGCTACTCACCTTAATTGTTGCTTTTGTTGTTCCTCAATAGTACCACTCGAAACAAATTGGTTTCGTAAACGTGCAAACCAAGACTGATCAGCGTTATCCAAAGTAGGCTGGTTATTTTTTTCAAGAACATCAATCATTTGTTCTATTTCTAATTTCTGTCAACAGACGTTTTATGATCAAATTCTTTATGTTAAAAATACCACATATACACATACTCTGTTGCACTCCAGATAAGTGTGGAAATAGCCAAAAAGCGCAATTCCGCCTATTACAACTGTTAAGCCACGAAGCCGGAAACGCCTTTGCACAATCCAGCCAGCAACAATAGCAAGAAGCACAAACAATGTAAACTGCACCTAAAGCACAGCAGTTTAGATTAACGAAGCATAATACTACAGTCAAATATGGCAAGTTATACCTCGGATATTTTAAGCAGCTGCAGGAAATCCTTGAATATATCTACAACAAGCCCGCGGACTCCGTGCCCCTGGTGAGCATAATCACAGCCTTCCTCGCCGGCAAACAAAGGCGCGGCCTGCACATTCTCCATTATTTTCGTAAGCAATACATCCAGATCTCGCACATCGTGTGTCGCTTCAAGCTCAGCTAGTTGTGCCGGAAGTAATGTAAACAGTAGCGAGCGCTTGTACGTTGCCGAAGCTTCGTTGTACTAAAATTATTTGAAATAGTTTGTAAACATGACGTCATGCGTCTTAATATGGTCGAATCAAGGCATTGAACTTACATGCAATCGCTTGCGATTTAATAGCAAGTTGACAAACTTCCTAAAGTATGTCAGGGCCAAAGCATCCTCAGTGGTCCCTACAGAAGGCGCAGGACACTGACTGCACTGATCCCCATGATAATGCTCTTCTGGCGCCAGCTGTAACCAGGCGGCTTGTGGATCCTCCCATACGCCATGGCTACCACTCTGGCAGCACACGTTTTGAAATATAATTAAAAAACAAGAAAATAATGCATCTGTACGCATCATTTAATTCGTATGACTCGACTACCACTTAATATAAAACAGGATAAACAAATGCTGCAGCTTAAGTACGCGGCAGTGCTTTGGCGCTGTTATTACCACACAGCTGATTTGGCGCGGTTGGTAATCAGTGCTGGCAAACGACTGAATCTACAAAAAGTTAGCTATGCCAAAACTTCCAAACATATGAAATTTCTGAAATAGTAAAACAAATATCGTGAAAACAATATGTATCCAATTTCCAACTAATCTCATTAAATTAAATTAATGAATGAATACTGTGAACAAATAACGATCGACCCAATAGGTTGGACTGATTGTACATATGTGGGAACATACATAATTCAAAAATCAACTTCATAGAACATCTGGCAGCACTTTAAAATACTAACGATGATTGCAAAATTTATCGACTGGGAAATCCACTGATTATAGTGCAACACCGTCTATCTAATGTGCTTACATATGTATACTTTTGTATATGCCTGTATATAAGTCCCGTTTGAATTGGAGTAGCTAGCTAAAAAAAGCACGTTGCCAAATACCTAAGATGTCGGTAAAAATATGGCATCTATTAGTAGTTGCAATTTTAATTGCAACAAACGTTAGCGCGGACAAGAAACAAAGCAAAAAGTACAGCCGGGAAGCAAACAGCCCGCATTTCCAACAAGTGGTGGAGGAAAAGATTAATGCGGAATTTAAAAACTTGCAGCGGCCATTTCGCATGGCGAAGCTGAACTTAGTGTGGTCAAAGGCTCAAAGCGTAAGTAAATTTCAATTTTATTCGCACACCCGACTTAAACTAGCGCTCAATAATTCGTAGAGGTTGACTGAACCGAAACTTAAGTCTTTGTACATGGAGCTAAAGATACACGACAAGGAAGAGATTGCTTGGAAGCAGTTAAATTCCCAACATTTGGACAAGGATGGCTTAAAGGAGAATGATCTCCGGCAAAAGCTTATCGGTATTATGAGCAGCTACGATCTGTTGGAGCATTTCGATGACACTCAAGATGTGGAGAAAACTAAACCATTTAAGGTAGACATGTGATTGTGTGGCAGATACAATAGTTTAGTAACTTATTCTTTTTGGACATTGCGTTACAGAAATTTCACGATCCGGAGGATCGTCATAAAAACAAAAGTTTATTTAAGGACAAAAAATTGAATAGGCTGTGGGAGAAGGCGGAACTATCTGGTTTCACGTCTGATGAATTGAAAACTCTCAAGCAGGAATTCGATCATCACCAAGATAAAGTCGACATGTACTACAGCTTATTGGACAACATTGGCACATTAGATACTGATAAGCACGAAAGTAAGTTTTAATGACGTGGGTTTTTTGTTTTGTTAAATTAACTGCAAATATAAATTCATTGTTCATTTATTTACTTTTAGATGCCATTAACACTGAAGACTTGGACAATTACAATCTTATTTCTAATGATCCCAATGAAAATGAAATAAATACACACGAACAGAATATCAAGAAATACGAAAATAATATTAACACATTGCGGAGCCATCATACGGGAATTAAGGACCATTACGATCGGTTGGAACGACTTGTTTCTTCCGGACCTCATAGTCAAGACTTTATTGAACCTAAGGTTCAAGGTTTGTGGCGTGTTGCGAAAGCGAGCAACTTCACAGAAAAAGAATTGGATTCCATTAAGACAGAGCTACATCATTTCGAGAGTCGCTTATTAAAGTTGCGTCACTTGCACGCGGAGCATGCTCTGCACAAAGAAAAGTACAAGGTAAACAAAATGACGAAACTTGTAATATTCTCTTATTATTACTTTCCCGCTACTTCAATTACAGAATGATAAACATAAGGACAAAAGCAATCGCTTTGAGGACATGGAAGATCAGTTAAAGAAACAAACGCGCAAAGTTGAAAAGTTACAGGAGAACATTGAGAAAACCATTTTTAAGCACACAGAACTTTGAATATGTGTACTTGGAGGCCGTGCCAATCGAAGAAATTATTTATAAGTAATTTTGTGTTTCAATGCACAAATATCGTGAAGCAATTATTGAGTTATACACTTTTTTGCAATACTTTTTTATACCAAAAGTGCTAAGCTATAAGCAGTAATAATATGAAGTAAAAAATGAATCTAGACCAATACAAATTTCTCCGTTTGATTTAGCAACAAAGCGCTGCCACCTTATTTTGAACTGGCGCTGCCAGCGTATGCACAATCGCGGTGAATGGCAATGCTCAATGAAGAAGCATTAAATAATAATAATGGAATTTGATGCAGTTAAAACTGTATAAAGTGTTGTGATTGTTTTAAATTATAGGTTGCAATGTATCTCGTAACGTCTTCTGTAGAAATGAAAGCGCACGCGTTACAAATTTATTATTGAAGTATACGCAGCGTTTTCTGTACATGTATAAAGAGGGATGGATGAGTACCCACCATTCCGTTTGGAGGCGCTGCTATTAACATTAAATATAACGCTTACGCTTATTGTAATGCTAGGCGCCTGTCTGTGTTGCAAAAGGAAAGTGCCAAAGTGAGTTAAAAGCATTGTTGCTGACAGCGTCCAGTGGGTCCCAATCCAATAGAGAGAAAGTCGACCCATATTGACGTCACAGCCCACCGCCCATCTGCTGCAGCTGGGCGGTAGTTACACTTGGCTGCACTTACGCCCAAAATATGTGCACTATTACATTATAATTTCTTGCAGAAATGATATGCTTGGACTGGAGGGTATGGTCAAGCTGAAGAATCCTGACGAAGTGATTGTAGTTAGTAGCAATAATGCCGCAGGCAACAGCCTAGTACGCAACAGTGAATCACAGGCAGAGCTAAATGCATCTACAGTATCGAATGCTGACTCAGAAAAGCGGTGCGTATTACAAGTAGTGATTGCTTGTTCCATAACGAAGCAGATAACTTATTAAATTTTTGCTCATTCCAGTTCAAGTACAGCGGCGCACCGCAGCTTGCCGGACATACCCGTGGCCGAGAGTAACGACAATGGCTCTGAATTGTATGAAACGGTTGCTGACAAACAACTGTTGGATGCACGTAACGAGCGAAGTCAAAGTCGTACGTAGCAGCACCTTTTATTGTGGCTCTTTAAATTGACAACTGTTTCGATTACAGCTCAGCCCAGCTTGAAGAAGCAGACGAGCATATCGCAGCACAGCTCGATTAGCCAAGCGGACGATGTGAGCTCACCATACTCGCGTGTCAAGGGCTTGCCCCACGATTATGCGAAAGTACGAACCACCGAGCATCCGTATGCCCAACTAAATGCGCCGTCCACCTCGGGGGCCGCGGCAACAGCAACAGGCGCTAGTGCATCCAACGCGAGTGTAGTCGCACAGCATGGAGCCGATGGATTGCAGCGCGGCTCGCAGCACAGCGAAGGGTCCGCACAGCACATTAACGAGGCGCCTCAGGCAGAAATTCCTGCAGCATCGGCTATTGCGGGCATGATTTCGGCAAGTCAAGACTTGCCATACATGACGCCGCCCATTGCGGGTCAGCATTTTAGTGGTGACTCGCAGGACTCATCCAGTAAGTACAATTAATTACAGTACTTAATTTATTGAATGGGATATAAAACGTGCCGGCGAACGAGAAACTGATCTTAAAAAAGGTAACAGAATGACTCGTTAACGAACAAAGTAGGACATTGAAATACAGATTACATTGGTAGGAATTGATGATTAGTAACAGACATTTATAAAAATATTTACAATATAAAATACTGCTTTAAAACTAATTAACTATTGTTATTACCCATTTACAGAGGGTTACACAAGTATTAGTGTGCGAGAGCCATTGGCCAACATATTGGCGCAGCAGCCAGGCGGGAAGCCAACGTCAAGAAATGCAGCACTTTCTCGCAATGTAAGTGATTCCCATTACGCCACCGTCTCGGATGACTCAGATGAAACTTATGCCGCAATTGAGGATCCGAATAACAGAAATATTCCAAATGCCACCGACATTTATACGAGTGGCTCCGAAACCTACGCACAAATTCAGCCCATGCAGCAGAATCCGATTATCGTTGCCGTCGAAATTAACCAGAGTAACAATATGCAGCCATCTAGTTTGATGATCGGTAAAAGTACGGCGGGTATTAGCACGCAATTGATGCTAAGCCATAGTGGTGGAAGCTCAACGCATAGGCCACAAAGCAGCAGCATGGAACACGCTGGGCCCATTCCACCGCCTGTAGACAGTCTGCGCGCACAAATGCACTCGCGGCAGGCCTCCTCGTCTTCTAATAATAGTTCATCGGTTTGCAATCTCGGATCGCCCAAGCCAGAGAAGCGGCAAGCAAATTCTCCCCTGCCTCCAACACCGAAAGGCAGCAGTCAGGCGCATCAACATCATCTGCATGCCACAAGCAACAGCAATTTAACCTCAGGTCGCAACTCGGTCATTTCTGTGATCGAGGCTAGCGCTGGCGTCGAAGCTAACGAAGCGGAAGTGGTGGATGCTTCGCCGCAGCGCAAGCACAGCAAGAGCCTCAGTCCCTCTAAAGATATTGAGGGCATGTATGCTAAGGTAAGCGAAATGCAACTATTTCAATAGTACCCAACTAATGTGTATCATCGTGTAGGTAATGAAAAAGCACAAGCTTTCGCGAAATTCTCCTTCCTCGCAAAGCAATTCACCAATAATGTCGCGCAAGCAACAGCACCATGAACTGGGTATAAGTCCCTTAGATAGCACCGCTGCCCAGCTTATGGATGCGCAAAAGATTTCAATAAATTCTGAGCGAAGTCGCGTGCGCAGCAATAGCTATTCCGCAAAGGATCACGGCTATGAAACCATACCCGCCGATGGACATAGTCACCACGGTCAGCCCAACACAAATACCGCCCTTCACGAGAATCGCAAGTCCGATTGCTATGCAGCGAACATGCTGCAAAAGGAGCGACAACAGGAAACAGGTAAACAAAATGCCGCCTCCTCTCGATCTAAGCTTCCACCAGCTGCCAACTACGTCCTAATAACCGTCTCTGTCTCTCCCCGTGTCTATTTCTTAAACCAAATGCCGATTAATGCCAATTATCCAAAATTAGTTTTGCCAAAATGAGAAATTTACGCGTTTCTTCACTCGAAGCAACGAAAATTTCAGCAATTTTTATTTGGAAGTAGCAGTGGTTAGTATAAATATTCGCTGCCGTATTCTTGTTGTTCAGTGTCTTTCAGCTCTTTACGTGAAATGATCGTAGCTGGTTAACAGAAATTACTTAGTTGGTTAAGCAGTAATACTTGTCGGTATCTGGCCAATTTAAATGGAGCTTCGTTTACTTTTAAAATCTAGCTCCTCCTTACTTTATTAAATTAAAGTAAATAAGTTTCCATTTACGATCACTTCCTGCAAAGAAAACAGTGGTTGTATAATGTTTGCGTAGACCTTCAACTGATTGACTAATCGCATTGTTTGTGAATTGCAGCATCTAGCGCACAGATACACACAAACGCCCTGTTGGCCAACAACAGCAGCAGTCACAACAACCACAGCCACAACCACAGCAAAAGCATCGGTGAGAAGCACTACGAGACTATTGTTAGTCCGCCGACGCGCCACAACGATCCTGGTTACGAGCAGCTACAGTCGCCGCATGACGATGATGCGAAGAAATCTGAATACGACCCCAACTACGAGGTGCTAAAAAGCCGTGATCATTCGGACGATGGCTATGCCAAGGTGCTGGAGAAGAAGCGCGCACCCAACCTTCTAGATAGCGACGCTGTGGATAGTAGCAGCGGCTATAGCACTATTTTAGGTGCCGATGCGAATCACAATTATGCCAGTATTTTGGAAACCAAAGCAGCTGCTGCTGCTGCCACACCTGCCAGCGCTATTGTTCTTATCACAGGAGAAGGGGAACCATCAGCTGTTGCAACCGCTGTAGAGACTGAAACGGAGATAGACCACTATGCTCGGATAGCGGAGACAGGACACCATCTTCCTCCAAGTGTGGTTACCACTCCAGGCAGTGCCACCAGCCATTTGGTGCTGACGTCACCTACATCGCCGAACGGTTCCTCGCTTATGCATCACAGCTCATCAATAACAACGGTGACGACCAGCACAAGCAATATGAGTTCGCGACAGACGCCGATTTCCTCGCAATATGAGTCGCTAACGGGCAGTGAAACGGATCCCAACTACGAGTCTGTTTGCTATCTGAACACGACGACTACAAACCCAACGACGACGAGCAGTGGCAACAGCACAAGTGCGGAGCACGCCTATGAGAGGCTAGAGACAGATACCCAAGCCAGCAGTCCGCTAACTCCGGATGCGCTAGAAGCGCGTCAGCATTTGAACAGAAGCGGTAGCAGCAGTGCCGGAGGTTGCCGCATGCCTAATGAGGGAATTGTAGATGATTACTTTCAAGTGTAGCAGTGAGCTGGATCTCAATGGTCGGTCGGACCGCTCCACCCACACATATACACACGCACGTACACCCAGCCGTTTTGCTTAGCAACCGTTGCACATACATACATTATTATTCATGCACATATCATTGATTGCACAGCGCTCGCTTGTTAGTTTTAGGCTTGCAACTTAGTTGGGCTCAGCTCTTTATGTTACACAACGCACATACATACATACATGCGTAGATGTATGTAAATATTTACTTACCATTATCTGTTGTTTGCATTGCTTTATAATCGTTATATGAGAGGGGGTGCGTTCACAAAAGCAAAGGCAAAGCTTCAATTTCAAAGGTAAATTTTCCTAACTTCACATCAAGTGAAACTCCAAAGAGAACTTCAAAACTTAATTCGAATGACAGTGTATTAAACTTCTCCAATTTCGCCGGATTGAAAATTGTATTTTATATGTTAAATTGTGTATTTTATGTTGAGTTGACACCGCAATCGCAAGACGTTGAGAAAATGAGGCTAGGATTAAGTTCAGATAATCTGATTAAAAATGTTACGTTCATGAATATCCTTCTATAAAATCTATAATTCTAAGTTCACTCTAAGTTCCATTGTTGCGCAAAGTATTTCTGCTTTAAGAATAATTAACTTTAAGCAACAAATTTGATTCTCGATTCTATTAACTGTCACGCTGCCAAGTTAACTTTAATGTACATTTCCTGTGACAGGTGACTTTTCTCATATATACATACATACATATATCAGAAAATACAATACTACATGCAATCTATTTTACTAATCTAGATATCATATAATTTGGTTCATATCTTAAACATCTGAATGAAAGTACTACTTTAAATGCCGATCTTAGGCGAATCGAAATCAGTAAATCAAAATATCACTATATACGACTAACAATGATAGAATGGTAATGTTGCTTAACTTGCATTATCGTCAACTATAAGTGGGAATGGTTCTGAACTTGCTTCGTTTACTGTTAATGAAATATCTGCATGTACAAAGTATTCTATTTTAATTGCGAAGATGGACAATGAGTACTTCCGGCTGCACAAATATGTTACATATATGTATGTGTGTGCGTACATACATTACGAAATTCCAGTGCATCGTCCTAGATTAGATAAAGTTGTATTCAATAAGGCGCCCTCCAGTTTAAAGTGCTTTGTTTTAATTGATAACTACCGTCGGGTTATTTCAAAGAAGCATATTATATTACACGATATGTATACAGTATATATTTTTATATGTTTGGCATTTTTGCTGCGTTCTTAATAGATAAACGTAATGCGTTCATGAAACGCAATCTACTCGTATTTGATAAATGTTATAGCCACAAAAAAAAAAAACAAAAAAAATAAAAACTTATTAATAGAAATCACTTCAAGTATTCAAAAGAAACTATGCCTAATGTTTAATAAACAACCATTGATAATTTTGACAAACGCACGTTTTATTTTTAATACATACATACATATATCTAGCTATGTTTTATTACATTGAATAGGGCATCAGGAGACACACAAAAAGACATAAAAAGAACGAAATAGGCGACACACTATATGACTTTTTGATATACTATATAGTATATATTTTATGAAGTGCATTTAAGAAAACATACACACATATCTATACCGGTACTATATAGCTTTCGGAGTACTTCAATTTCAGTTACAAAACAAGTTTAAAACAATTATTTTTTAAGTTGCTTGTTTCTCTGTTATAACTAGATCATCTAGTCATAAAATGTAGTCCTTTTCATAAAACAGAGGCCGGAATGCTGAAGCTTAGGGTCTTAAATCTCGGAATCTCAATCAGGTAGAAAAGAAGTTAAAAATATATGGAATTAAGGAATAAATGAATGTGCTGGAAATAAGGCCGTATAAAAGACATGTTCGAAAAAAGTATTGTATAAATCGGAAAAATGCACTTATAATAAAACTAGCATCAGCCCTAAATGCTGTAACCAAACAAATAGTTTAAAAATATATCGCTTTTTCGTAGTCTTAATGCACTTCTTAACGTACCCAATCCAACCATCGAGCCCTTACTGAAGATTCAACGATTACATTTAGATTGCGGGAGACATGGATAGAGAATAGTCACAGGCGCGTGTGTGCTCGCTGTTTAGGTTGGTGCGCCGTCCACATCCTCACCAGCTTCAAGTGTGAGGCTGGTGAATCGTGTTACCCAAATGTAGATGAGGGCACACAGCACGAATTGCAGAAATATATATAGATAGTCAAAGATCAGACTACACCTGTGAAATGTAAACGATGAAACGCGCCCGACAAGCGCCGAAACTGCCGCTTCCGCGTTTCATTCATTGAGGCCATCAGCGGCTGGTGCTCCGGGCACCTGTGGCAACGGCGGTGGCTGTTGCCGCTGCTGTTGCTGCTGAAAAAGCACCTGAAGGTGAGCTTGCAGGGGTGGTGCCGGCGGTTGTTGGTTCTGCGCCTGGACCGGCGGTGGCGGAGGTAGCGGTTGCTCGCGGTTTAGTAGCGCAATATTACTAGCCTTCATCCGCGCTATGGAGCCGCTTGCGGTGCTACTGGCTGCCAGGCCGCTTCCCACAGCCGATAAACACGGCGACATACAAGGAGTCGAGCATGATGAATGGCTAATTTCACACTGGTCAAGTAGGCGGAGAAGCTCGTTGGTGTCGGGTCCGCCAGAGGTTTTCTGCTGGGGTTCCTCCTTAGACAACAGGGCCAATGCAGTGGTTAGGTCCCACATCTGAATGGCGCCATTGCAATGACCGGTGAGTATGAAACGCGAGCCCATCCTTGACGATACCTCACACTCGTGCACACAGAATGCTGATATGGTGGAGCCGTCTACCGATCTTATGACACAGACGCGATCTCCGTTTGATGCTAAACGCACATACAGCTGATCCGTTTCAGGCACTACTTTTTGGACAAATATCATGTCGTCGTAATCGCCATAGGGCCCAAAATCATTGCCAGCCGCATAGCTGTAGTTTGTTTCGGTGGCCTCTAGCGAGACTATCTTGAAAGAGGCCTCCGGCGTCGAACCGGGCTGTGTAGAAAGCATGCCACGGAAGCGAGTCAGACTCCAGGTTCGTACATGATGATACTCGCTGCACACTGAGACGAGATATTTCTCCGAAAGCGTTACCTGCAGTTTCAAGAGATAAATTATATATGTACTTGCAATTACATTTTTACCACAATCGATACTATGAAATAAACTCACTTATTAAGTTATATTTCTAAGGACTTTCTTACTAACCTTGGTAACTGGACTCTGATGAACGAAGAACGTCTCGAAAAGATGTGGCCCATGGCCAGCAGTTTCGGGATGCTGCACAATAATGCGCACTGCACCGGACTTTGTACCATATGCAATTTCTATCCAATTGCCGCTAATACTCGACGTCTTTGGTGTTAGGTAAACGGATATGGCAGTAATGGGATCTAATGTGGTGTCCTTGTACAGCTCCGTGACCAGCAAATCATTGTCCTTCATTCGCAGCGGAAATTTTTGCATGTCTGTCGAGGATTAAAGTTAATGAATGCGTAATTGGTGGAAATTCGGTTAACCCATTTACCTATGTAATAAATGGACCCATTGTTGCAGCCAAGCAGCAAGAATGAGCCCGCCGAATCAAAGGACAATACTGGGACTAAGTCCTGTATTTGCCAGTGTTGGGTCATGGCGTGCCAGACGCCAATTTTGCCTGAAGATGACAGCGCTACTAGCTGGCTGCCAATAAAAAAGAGATATTCGACGCGAACATTCAGATTAAAGGTGCCTATGTCGGTCTTGTTGCCGCCATCCTGTATACTCCACAAGCGTATCTGACTACCATATGAGATGGCTACCATTTTGCTGGGCACTGGCTCCGCCGTTGACGTGTTTACTTTTGAGTTAATGGCAATGCGTTCAATGGTCGCATCGATGTGGGGTGACGTGAATACTTGCTGCCAACCAGTCGAGTCCTTTACACGATAGCAGGTTACGAAATGCGCGTATGCAACGGCAATCCAATTCTGATGCGCCTTGATGATCTGTACCCGCATTGGATCCATCCAATGTGAGCTGAGGGTGGGACTGAAAACCATGCCTACCTCATTTTTAATAACTTTATTTAGGTCTGCAGATGAATTGCGGGAATGTCGCATGAAATCCAGCGAGGCATTGCGCGAGTGTCCACCTGTAGCCCACGAACCCGAAGCAGCAGATGCATTGGTGCTAGTCACAGCATTAGTTGCCCGACCACAGCGTAAATCCCACGAGGAGTTGCGTGAGTGGGAAGATGAATGTCGCGATGATGTTGAAGACTCAGGCAAACGTACCATAGAACCCGGACGTGCAGCCGCCGTATTGGCCGATGTTGAGGGTAGACATTGCTCTACCAATGCGGTACTACAGCTTGCGCCCTCAACAGTGGTCTGCACTGTATCATTGGGCGGCATTGCGGGTGCGGTCAAAAAGCCATAGAACAAAACATCGCCACATGAAGAGTGATTAAGATCCTCGCACAAGGCCAAGCGCTTCGTGAGTGGAGTTATGCCATAGTATTCCGCCTCGTGACGTAAAGACCGAATTTCGCAATGCTTGATGTCAATCTCTTTGGTGCGTAGATAGTTGAGTATAATGGAGAAGAGTGTGGGGTCTCTATCGATGAATATGGCATTATGTTCATCGCGCAAACTGGAAATGCGTCCACTCAGCAGCGCCGTAAAGAATGTATCCGGAATCCAAGTAAGGGTTTGCCGTGAGGTTGAGAAGCTGCCAATTGATAAAATATAAGTAAAACAGGGTCAGAATGGTTTGCATGCGTCAGCAACCAGGGGCTGTACCACTTACCGCTGACCCCCCACATTAAGATTAACTAAGTCGCCATTTGCACTATGAATAATGTAGGACATGTTCATCACACTCCCTGTTGCTCTGTCCGCGCACCTTTTTCACCGATTTCTGTGGCTTCTACTTGGCCCCCTTACTGCACCGTTGCAGCAAGTACGGACGCACAACGTTGGCCGTTGCTGGCCCGTTGTCGACTGCTGGCTCCAAACTGTAATATTTCCGTCTCCGCCCGACGTTGTTTTCCACCACGGTCTGATATTTATTCGCTTAATTTAATGCCCAGTACACTTTATTTTTGGAATTACGTTTTCTTTATTGACACAACTGCAATGCGCTACACCAATATACACATGTATACAAGTCCCGTTGTTTCCTGTCCCTGCCCCCCGAAACTGTATATGTTGAACTGCTGTTGTTTTTGTTGACGTTGTCGCGATTACGACTTCGATAACGATTGCAATTATCAATTGGAGCTAACGAAATCGCTGCTGTGATTTGAAAGTCACATCAAAAACGAATACGGGTATTTTTAAATATGTACATGCTAAAAAATGTCATCAAGTCGAGCATACACTAAATTTAAATTCTTATACATACATATTACATATCAGCGTTATCTGATGCACTGGATGTAATATATTTGCTCGTTTAATTTCTGTACATATTTGAAGAGAACGTTTTATAAAAGAATTGATTAAGCCCCATCAAATTATGAATAGAAATAGGGATATTAAAAGAAACAGTAGGTCGGGGCGGGGCAGTCGGATTTTGTCTATTTTGTTTTTCTACAAATATAAAAAAAGTGTGGCTGCCGCCAGATATTAGTAAAGGCAGTGGCATAAAGTTCGTAAGGATGCCACCCAAGCTGACATGCACCTGTCGCCAGAAAAAAGAAGCTCGTGTACATGTTATCTACACGGGGGGTACCATTGGCATGATGAGAGATGACGCTGGTGGTGAGTTAATTCTCAGATAGATTATTGATCTGTACTTAACTCTTTCTCTCCGTACAGTTTTGGCACCCATGCCCAACGAATTGCCTAAACGCTTGCGCGAATATCCAACATGCCACGATTGCAAATACCAACCCACCTATTTTGAGGACGAGGAGCCGCCTCTGGTTGTGCCCCCTGTGGAGGGTGCTCCGTATCGCGTGCTTTACGACATTGTTGAGTATACCCCCCTACTTGATTCCAGCTCCATGGGTATGGACGACTGGCGGCGCATAGCATGTGACGTCGGTGTAAGTATATCACTTGTGCCGTTCCCGTTCGTGGTATCTGTATACCTTATAATAACATGAATTTCCTTTACAGGAAAACTACTACCGATACGATGGCTTTGTCATACTACATGGTACGGACACATTGGCTTACACTGCCTCGGCACTGGCTTTTATGCTTGAGAACCTGGGGAAACCCGTTGTTGTCACTGGCGCTCAAATACCCATCTTTGAAACACGCACCGATGGCCGCGACAACTTTCTGGGCTCATTGCTCGTGGCCGGCAATTACAACATACCCGAGGTATTAGTATTCTTCGGCAACAAGATTCTGCGCGGCTGCCGCACCACTAAAATCAGTTCGGAATCATTCCACGCTTTCGACTCGCCCAACCAGTCGCCTCTAGGGGAAACAGGTATCAATATCGAAATCAACAGTCGCCAGATTTTTCGACCTTGCAATTTGGCTGAATTCTCCGTTCATGATCGCCTTGAGCCAAATGTTAGTCTATTGCGATTCTATCCGGGCATAACCCCCCAAATTGTGCGTGGTGTTGTCAGTGAACCGATGCGTGGGGTGGTCCTGCAGACATTTGGAGCTGGCAATGTTCCCACCCAATCCGAAGAGCTCCTGGACGAATTACGCTCTGCTGTCGATCGCGGCGTCCTTATCATAAATATAACTCAGTGTGGCAACGGTATGGTGGCTCCAATCTACGAGACTGGTAAAGTATTGACAGAAATGGGGGTAGTTCCGGGCTACGATATGACTCAGGAAGCCGCCCTAACGAAGCTAGCATACGTGCTTGCCAAGGATGACTGGGACATTTGCAACAAGCGAAAGGTCATGACCCTAAGCATACGTGGTGAGCTGACAACCAACAAAGTGGCCAAAATTAATGACATCGATCTGGTTGAAGGAGTAGCGCGTACGCTCCACTTATCTACCGCTAAGGAGCGCGAGCAAATGTGTCGAACGTTCTTTCCTGCTCTGGTAGCGACGGCTGTACTGGAGGGCGATGTGCAGAAACTTAGTGATCTCAGGGAATATGGTGCTGACTTAACGGCTACTAACAGCGACGGGCGTACGGCTCTACATTTAGCCAGCTATGCGGGTAGACTAAAGATCTGTTGCACCCTGCTGGCTCATGGCTGTCCCGTCGCCGCACGAGATCGCTTTAATCGCACGGCCCTTCACGAGGCTGTGGACACTGACAACCATTTAATCATTCAGCTGCTGCGACAAAATGGAGCTGAGCTGCGGGATCCGCCCGAGGTACAAGCAGAAGTATTGCGCGCCCTCGCCGAGCGTCAGGCTTGTAAGCGTCTTGAGTCCTTTCGTCTAGCAGGCGCCAATCTCACTCTGGCCGATCGCACTGGCCGTACTCCACTCCATTATGCCTGTCAGCTCGGCCACATCGAGGTCGTCGAATACTTGCTGCCATATTACCCCAGTCGTTATATAAAGGATGAGCTTGGAATGACTCCCATGGATTATGCCAAGGCGGCGAACAAGGACTATATAGTGACGCTTCTGCGCGCCAGAGACAAAGCTGATCGTTCCGATCGATGTCTGTGTGGCGATTGAAAGGGCAAAATTGGATTAGCTAAACAAAATTAAATCGCTTACCAATGATTAAAATATTGGAGGTGTTTTTTACAAACTCCTTTATTAAGATGGTTGATCAATTCAATTTGGATAGCTTCTTATTCTTATTCTTGTCCTAAAAGTATAAATTTCTCATGTATATATATATATATATATATATATATATATATATATATATATATATATATATATATATATATATATATATATATATATAAGTGGAGCGTACGTATATATATATATATATATATATATATATATATATATATATATATATATATATATATATATATATATATATATATATATATATATATATATATATATATATATATATGTTACCAATATGTGTTACTTATATATAGCCGGGTGGAAAAAAGTATGGTAGATGTACGTATCCCTAAATGAGCTATTAGTTGTTTTGGATTCGTTGTTAAAAGCTATACTCAGGGTATGCGTTATTCAAATTGTAGATCTATTTCCAGATTAAAATTGTTTCTTGATCTCGATGTTTCACTCCGCTTATATACACAGTATTAGACACTTTATTCCTATGAGATAGTCTAAAAGCCACTACATAAGAAGTATGCCTTGCAAACGTACTTCTTAGCTTTTAAATAACAGATATATATAATACATATATCGTTCATTTATATGCAACCTATAGCTTGTCGTCTGCTTCATCGCTTTCTGGGCGTTACAAATATTGCACAAAACACAATATACCATTCATGCAGAATGATTAACTACTTAATTATAATTTTCGAGGTTTAATTTTAATTTTCATAAATAAAGACTTCTCGAAACTGTTCGTCTATCTGATTTCCCACATGATATTTATATTATAATAATAATTGCTTTCAGGTTTTTGTGCCATTTGCGGGCACATTTTTGTAACTTTCCTAGAAAAACCAAATGAAAAACAATTGTTGTTTTTTGTCAAATAATTGCAAATATTATTAGTTTATACCTTGTGTATATGTGTAATTAGCTGCTGTCTGTGTGTTTCCACTACGAATTCGACAATGCCATTCATATGTATGTATATATATATATATATGTATATATATATATATATATATATATATATATATGTTACCAATATGTGTTACTTATATATAGCCGGGTGGAAAAAAGTATGGTAGATGTACGTATCCCTAAATGAGCTATTAGTTGTTTTGGATTCGTTGTTAAAAGCTATACTCAGGGTATGCGTTATTCAAATTGTAGATCTATTTCCAGATTAAAATTGTTTCTTGATCTCGATGTTTCACTCCGCTTATATACACAGTATTAGACACTTTATTCCTATGAGATAGTCTAAAAGCCACTACATAAGAAGTATGCCTTGCAAACGTACTTCTTAGCTTTTAAATAACAGATATATATAATACATATATCGTTCATTTATATGCAACCTATAGCTTGTCGTCTGCTTCATCGCTTTCTGGGCGTTACAAATATTGCACAAAACACAATATACCATTCATGCAGAATGATTAACTACTTAATTATAATTTTCGAGGTTTAATTTTAATTTTCATAAATAAAGACTTCTCGAAACTGTTCGTCTATCTGATTTCCCACATGATATTTATATTATAATAATAATTGCTTTCAGGTTTTTGTGCCATTTGCGGGCACATTTTTGTAACTTTCCTAGAAAAACCAAATGAAAAACAATTGTTGTTTTTTGTCAAATAATTGCAAATATTATTAGTTTATACCTTGTGTATATGTGTAATTAGCTGCTGTCTGTGTGTTTCCACTACGAATTCGACAATGCCATTCATATGTGAAAGTTTGTAAATAACACATTGAAAATAGCTTAAGCTTAGTGTACAGATATATGTTTTTAGGTATTAAAGTTTTACAATTCTATACTGTTGCCGAATTGTGATTGTTGAATTGTAGTCAGCAAATAACACACATTTTGTTTTAGTACGTTCATATATTTGAAATATATAGTATGTATGTATGTATGTAGGATATATCGTAATTATGTGTATATATGTACGTCTTATAAATGTTCAGTATTAAAGAGCAAGCTAAAAACTACGAATTAATGTTTGTATATATATTTGTAGTATGTGTGTATGATAGTTGCCCAAAAAACTCGCTAACACCTTAAAATTATATGAACATATAAATTAAACGTTAGGCAACATAAACAAAACTAATCAAAAAGGCTTGCCAGCGGCAAAAATAAAACGTGTATGCAATAAAATCAACTATGCTATAAGTTATATAATATTTTTATATGTTAATTGGTACTTAGGTTATGGCTTAAGTTATGTTTATGTATGTGCTTTTTTTTGTCCATACATATATAATTCGAATACTCGGCCCACAAACATATCTGTTTTAACTTACGCTAAAATGACACATAGTTATGTTTAGTTTTCGTGTTCGGGTTTATCGGTTTTTTTTTTTTTCTACAATTTTTATCTACGACAACATTTAGACATGAATATTGCTCATTTTTTGTAATCAGTTGTAAATATCTAAAATTGAATGCGTAATGAACATTTTTGATTCGTATCTGGTGTGGTGTTTAAGTGTGAGTGTTCCTTTGTGTGTGTATGTGTGTGCTTTTTATATTTTGTATGTACGTATATTTAAGTAAGTTTCTAAAGCAAAACTGTTGCCTTTTAATACATAATTATTAATTAGTTTTAGTATTAGAAATTGCTTTTCGGATTGCAGCTACGTTTATGGCTAAAATACATTTTCGTAGCAGTTGATTTTTGTTGTGTTATTGAATAAGGCCTACTATACTATCTTATAAACTAACTTGTTCTTCACTGGGTTCTTGTTTCATTTCATTGAATTCGTACAAAAACAAATGCACATTTAAATTTTGTTTTTCGTTGTGACGTAAGATATTCCGCATTTCACTTCTTGATTTCATTCTCTTCTCGCTTGGGTTGCGGTTTAGGTTTGGGTTAAACTAAATTGCACATTGAGTTAATTTCGAACGCAAGTTAATTAATTTATCATTATTTACATACAACGAATTGTATTGGCAATATTGTGTTTTTGAATATTTACAGCAACACGATTGATATTGTTAAATAATTGGCCGTGTGCCCCTAGTGCATACAATAATGAGCTTGCGACTTAAGCTAAAGCTTAAACTACAGAAATATGCTGCTGTTGATGATGATGCTGCCGATGCTGCTGCCTTAGTTGACCATTAATGTGTGCGATTCAATAGGCGCCGCCGAATCGTAGAGTGTATCCGTGTCCTGAGTAGGCTCGCCTTGCAATTGACATTGGTTCGATAAGGTGCCAGCACCACAGTCGCAGAAGAAGCTGTGGAAGTAAAAACAAGTCATAATTTAGTTATGTTAATATAATGAAAACATGTACAACTATATTTCTAAATGTTGAGTGGTTCTTTTTAATGTAGGCCAGTTATTGATGTCCATTAGTCTGTGCATTTTAAAGGCGCTGAGACATCGCAAAATATGACTCATCACCATGTACGATAAAGGATGACCAGCCACACTTTCCACTTACCGATCATGTCTTATAAATTCGACATCATGTCCTGCATGACAATTTTTGATACAGTTCACGCATATGGCATTGCGATCCGTTGTGTTGCACGTTTGACAGCGATAGAAATCGTGCATGGGAAACGAGGTGTAGCTGCTGATCTTGTACAGGCACTGCCCGCTGGAGACCGCTTTCTCCACCTCGTCCTCGTTGTTGAAAATGTTATTGCCGCGCGTAATGGGTTGGACGCCGCTTGCGAGGCAGAGACCACCAAACTTGTTCTTAAATATTTGATTGTGCTCCAGCGTAGCAGTGGCATTATTTGTGATTTCCACACCAGCCGCTTGACCATCGTAAATGCGATTACGCCGAAGAATGGGATGCGATTGTGTTGAGATCAGTACACCGGCCTGCGTATTGCGAAAGATATCGTTCTCCTCGAGTATGCCTTTGCCGCCGTTGAATATGCAGATTCCGCCATCGCGTCCATCGTAGATTTTATTGCGTTTCAGCGTCGGATTCGAGTCCGTCTTGATCCAAACGCCGGCCATGGCATTGTCAAATATCTCATTCTGTTCGAGCAGACCGAGCCCACCATTGTAGACTAGGACGCCGCCGTTCTGGCCGCCCCATATCTTATTTCCACGTATCACTGGATTGCTACCCGTGCGTATTTGCACACCCGAGTACAAGTGATTGAAAATGTCGTTGTCTTCCAGCTTTCCATGGCCATTGTCATAAAAATAGACGCCGACCTGTTTGCCTGAGTGTATGCGATTGCGACGCAGCACTGGAGTGCTGCCGGTGGTTATCCACACACCCGCCAGAGTATTAGAGTACACCTCGTTCTCCTCAATCAGGCCCTGGCCCTTCTCATGCACATAAATGCCGCCATGCTGCCCATGATGTATCTTATTGTGCCGCACAATGGGATCGCTATTGGTTCGTATTTGTATTCCGGCCAATGCATTGCCGTAAATGTTATTGTGCTCGATGAGGCCGCGACCCTCGCCGAAGATATACACACCGCCCTGATGGCCATTATATATCTCGTTTTTTCGTATGGTCGGGTTACTGTTTGACGTTATCCAGACACCTGTGGCACATCAAGATGCGAATTATTTAAATGTGACGGAACGCCTATTTCTTCTTTTAGTGTGTCTGTACTTACCTGCAAAGTTATTTGAGTGAATGCGATTTTCTATGAACTGCCCCAGACCGTTCTCATGTACATAGATGCCGCCCGTCTGACCATGATGAATCTCGCACTTCACCACTGTAGGATTGGCGCCTGCCTTTACCTCGAAGCCTGCTATGCGATTATTGTGTATGTCGTTCTTCTCAAAGTATCCCTAAAAATTAATATAAGTATGTAAGATAAGAAACATTTTGATAAAATTCGCTCAAGATTTTACAATTTAATGAAACTTTTAGCCAACATGAGATTTTCAAAGAATTAAAACTTAAATAATAGAAACTAAAACATAGAATTAAGCCGATCATTAACCAATTCGATTAAAGTATTAATTTGTGACTGAGCGAGACTTTTAAAAATGTTCACAGTCAAAACATAACGGAGATACTTCCAGCTAATGCTTTTTGTCCTCTGAAGTTAATTTCGTGAATTGTAAATTGTGTGTTAAGATTGGAGGTCGTTATTTTAAGCTTACCATGCCATTCTCAAAGGTGAATATGCCAACGTCGCGTCCATGATGAATGTGATTCTCACGCATGATGGGGCTGGCAAAGTTCTTTACCCATATGCCGGCCAAGGCGTTGCGGCTGATTTCGTTGTGCTCATAGGTGCCCTGAGCAAAGTCCGTAACATAGAGGCCGACATTTTCGCAGTCGCTGATGTCACAGTTTCGGATGACTGGATTGGCATTTGCACCTCCAACACAGACAGCGGCCCCCACCACAGATGTGGAGCGTATTATGCAGTTGTCGACAGTGGGCGAACAGTTCTCACCAATGTCCAGGCAGTAGTGCTTGTGATGTGGCACTGTTGAGGTGACTTCCGGCGAGAATTTCAGGGTCAGGTAACCGACATACGCGTACTTCGCGCCCTCCACGAACATCACAGTCGACCCGGCCTCGCGCTCCAATATCACCGATTCGGCGACATTACCGGGTGCAGCGCCAACTAGCGCTACATCCGAGTCAATGAACAAATATTCGCCTTTGTAGTGGCCAGAATGCAGGAATATTAGCGTACCGGGATGTTCCATTGGCGGAACGTTATCCTCATAGATGTTGGCCAATGCATTGACGCTGGCGCCGTTGGCCCCCGAAGCCGCGCTGGTATTGGACAGACCTGCGGTAACATTACCGGCGCCAGCGCCGGATGCAAAAGCCGCTGCGGCGCGTTCCTCAGGATAATCCAGAGCCGCTTGTATGGTGTTGAAAAAAACAATACTTCGACCGGCATATCGCTTTTCTTGATAACCAGGACGCACATGCACACCGCGATGAAGCTGGTGGAAACTCTCCTTCCATGGATTTGCGTACTCAGACTCCTCGGGTTTCTCAAAGACAAATTTGCAAATTTCTGGATTGAACAAGGGCATGTCATACTCGAAGACCGACTGGTAAAGGCGTTTCCAGAGCTCGGTGTCATTGGCAATGGTATTGAAGCGCTTGCACACAACCGCCAGACGACACAGGTCCTGCTCGAGCAGGTACGAGAATATGGCCAGCAGCACTTCATCGGGCAGCTCATATTGCAGATACTGGGCGGCTGTCGGTCCTGTGGGTGATGTGCTGCCCAGCTCTGTTGTGGGCACGATAGTGGCATCACCGCTTTGCGTATATAAGCGCCGTGAACGTTTCCGCGCCGGCAACATGTAGCTGTTGTCTTCATTGGCCGATGATGCTCCGCCAACGGGTAGTGCACCACAATGCTGCTGCTGCGGTACTGAACTGTGTACGTTGGGGGGTTGCGCCAGTGTGGCGCCTGTGGTGGGTGCATTGTTAACAGGAAAAGTGGCGCTTGTTGAGGGTGCTTGCACAATGGCGGAAGAGGGCGACGACGAAGACGATGACGAAGACGACGATGACGACGCTGATGGCGAGGTGCTAGGATTCACAAGCGGCGGTGAGCTACTTGATGGACCCACGAGTATAGCTCCAGGCTGGGCAGTGGCAGGCGATGAAGACGAAGTGGGTGCACTGGAGCACCATTGCTCGTGGCTGCTGGCAGAAGATATCTTGCGGCGTAAGTCGTACGGTGACTGATGGCAACAAGAGGTGTTGGCCTGACTGGACGCGGGCAAAATCGAGGATGAACCCGTTCCCGTGTTTAGCGTGGAAACAGTAGCAGACGTGCTGGGATAGTTGGAAGAGCAGGTCATGTTTGCGTTGCTTGTGGCGCTATTGTTGGCACAGTTGTTGCTATTACTGCTATTCAAGCTGCCGGCTGCTGCCGATGAAGATGATGTCGCTGCTCCTGAGGAAATGGCTGCCGCCGGAACTGAGCTTGACGTCGAGGCCACACTGCCAGCACTTTCTGTTGTGTCCATCATCTGCAGTGTATTGTAAAAGTTTCCCAGATTTTGATTTCCGGAAAATGTGCTTCCTGACGTTGAGCTGCCACTGGCGCTACTACCGCTGCCGCTGGTCGATTGACCGCTGTCAAAGTACTCCGAAGAGGCAGCGGCGGTAGAGGCATTGGTTGTAGACATGGTTGAGGTGCTGCTACTGCTGCTATTGCATGAGCCCGCACCAGCACCGGAGACAACAGCATTAGCCCCAGACGATGTAGAATTGTTGTTTTGGGAGGCGGAAGCAGCTACGATGGCGCCTGCACCAGACGCATGCACATTTTGTTGCAGCATTGGATCCATTATGTTGCCTGTCGGACGGTTGGGCATGGCAATTCTGTTGGCTCCTTTTCGTCTGGAGCGGCGCACGTAGGTGCGCGATGATGTAAAGGAGGCGCTAGGCATTTTTGAACTATTTCGATGGAGTTGAGGGAATTTTTGGGCGCAGAAGAAATGTCTTTTTCGATTATCTGTTACCACTTCCGTATTCGTAGTTTTCACAATTTTCCAACCCCATATGCACACGCACTCACACTTGCATACACACACACATCCATATACGCGTATGGCCGAGGGCTTTTCTCCTTTCACTGGCGCTGGCACCTGGTATATGCATTTAGTATTTCGACACGGACACAGAAACAGCCACTAGCCAACACTTCACTTCGCTGTTATACTTTATTTAAAATAATTTCAGGCTGATTTCTGCCTATTAAATGTAAAGTTTTCGGGTTTTCTATCTATCCTTTGTTTCGCTCATTGTTTCTTTTGTTTGCTCTTTGCGCCCTTGCTTCGTATTGGCATCTGAAAATTTCCTGCAGCTTTCTTTTAAATTTTCGCGCATTTAATTGTTGAAACCTATACAGCTTATTATTGCAAGTGCATACATTAGCCTAAAACTGAACGCCTACGATATTTTCTGCAATTTCGGACAGCATAAACACCACAAAAAAAATGTTTTATCCGCAAGACGGCCAGCAGCCTATCACTAATTTTACACTCGCGATACACAGCGCCGCTATCGATAAGCGCAGTGATGCTTAGAAATCCTGTAGGTTCGACTTTCTTGTCAACACTGGCTACAAAATCTTGTAATATCGATTGTTTTATGTATACTCATCGATACACTTTGTTTCCCGCCTTTAGATGCGCATTATTTTTGCAGTCAAGCAGCGGCGCAATTGTGAAATTATAGCTTTTGCGATTTTTTAAAGAGTTCCAAACATAAAACAAAATGCCAGGCATCGCGCCGTTATCTACGGGTGTTATTGCAGTAAGTTTATAGATATTCCTGCAGAGGTAGCATTTATTAATGTTATTATCAATTCTAATTATTTCAGCGTATCATGCATGGAGAAGAAGTAAATCAGCCGGTTCTACAGATTCTGGGTATTAAAAAGATCAACAGCAATGCAGATTCCGAGCGTTATCGTCTGCTTATGTCAGATGGCCAGTATTACAACAGCTATGCCATGTTGGCTAGCCAGTTGAACGCGATGCAGCATGACGGTCTGCTCAAAGAGAACACCATTGTTCGCCTGGACAAATACATTACTTCCTTGGTGGGGAAAAACGATACGGACAAGTGAGTAGTTTCTGGAGTTCGTAGATGGAAGGGGTTTCATGTTTCTGTTTCCAGACGTGTCCTCATCGTGACGGATTTGACCGTTCTAAATTCTGGTGCAGAGGTTGGCAAAAAAATTGGTGAACCGGTTACTTATGAAAATGCTTTAAAGAATGGGGCACAGTCCAAGCCTTTGGCCTCTTCCAGTGCACCGGTTCAACAGAATAAGCCAGAAAAGAAGCCAATGCTTTACAACAACAATAATAACAATACACTAAATAGTTCTATTAATGCGGGATTAACAAGTCCCATAGCCAGTCTTAGCCCATATCAAAACAAATGGGCTATTAAAGCGCGTGTAACTTCAAAATCCGCTATACGCACCTGGAGCAATGCACGCGGGGAGGGAAAGCTTTTTAGTATGGATTTGATGGATGAATCCGGTGAAATACGCGCGACCGCTTTTAAAGAGCAATGCGACAAATATTACGACTTAATTCAGGTCGATAACATTTATTACTTTTCCAAGTGTCAGCTGAAGTCAGCAAACAAACAATTCTCACAACTGAAGAACGATTACGAAATGACCTTCACTAGCGATACAGTTGTGCAGAAGTGCGAGGAAATGGATGATGGCGGTATACCCGAGATTAAGTACGATTTGGTTCCCATTTCGCAAGTAGCGAACATGGAAGATAAAACAGCTTTGGATACGATTGGCATTTGCAAAGAGGTGGGCGAGCTGCAGACCTTCACCTCGCGCACAACCAACAAAGAGTTTAGGAAGCGTGAATTGACTTTAGTGGATATGAGCAACTCGGCCGTCACTTTGACTTTATGGGGTGATGATGCCGTCAACTTCGATGGTCATGTGCAGCCTGTAATACTCGTGAAGGGTGCGCGCATTAATGTATTCAACGGCGGCAAGACTCTGAGTATGGGTGGTGGCTCTACTATTAAAATAAATCCAGACATTCCGGAAGGTCACAAGTTGCGAGGTTGGTTCGACAATGGCGGTGGCGATAATATAACTAATATGGTATCGGCGCGCACTGGTGGCGGAAACTTTAACACCGAGTGGATGACCTTGCAAGAGGTGCGCTTGCGAAATCTTGGAGCCGGAGATAAGCCGGATTACTTCCAGTGCAAGGCTGTTATTCACATGGTGAAGCAAGAAAATGCATTTTATAAGGCTTGTCCCCAGAGCGAATGCAACAAGAAGGTCGTCGATGAGGGTAATGGCCAGTATCGATGCGAACGTTGTAACTCTTTGTATCCAAATTTCAAATATCGTCTACTGATTAATGTAAGTTAATTTGAGTTTGCATCCATATATGTTTTATGTTGATATTGTGTATATTTTGGGCAGATGAGCATCGGGGACTGGACCGCAAACCGCTGGGTTACTTGCTTCAATGAAGTTGGCGAGCAATTGCTCAATCACTCCGGCCAGGAAGTTGGAAACGCTTTGGAGAACGAACCAGAAGCTGCTCAAGCCATGTTCTCGGCGATTAACTTTACTTCACACATTTTCAAGCTGCGCTGCAAGAGCGAAATGTATGGCGATGTGACCCGTAATAAATTATCTGTGCAAGCGTTGACGCCCATAAATTACAAGGAATATAACAAGTACTTGCTAAAGAGCCTAAAGGACTTAACAGGTATTGGATCCTCCAACTGAATTGAGAAAGCGCAGTGCGTCTATCAAAAACACAGCTATCTGAATAAGTAATGATTTATTATTCTGAACCAAATCATTAAAATTAATAAATACTGCATATGTTTATAACGTCTCATAAAAATACATTCCATAAGTTTATTGAATTGGATGTTTTTAGTAATATTGAAGTGCCATAACAATTGTTTGCCCACAGTTAGTGTACCAGGTTCATTCAAAATTTTAGAGTCTTATACGTAATGTTTGATTTCGATATACTCATTGATTTGTTCCTATTGTGTGAAATTTTGAATGAAAAACTTTAAAATTAAACAAATTATGTACGATATCAAAACCAATAAATTTTAGCTTTGGAGAAGACACCAGATCGGTACACTTTGAATTAGTTGTGAAACTAAGAAAGCAAAATGACAGGCATTGCGACGTTATCTACGGGTGTTAGTGCAGGAAATTCGTAGATGGTGCTGCAGTGTCACCTACAAGTATAACCAGCATATTAATTCCAATTAAATAATTGCGCACCATGCAGAGAGGAAGCGCATAAGTCGGCTCTGCAGATTCTGAGATCAACAGCAATGCGTTACCGTCTGCTTATGTCAGATGGTCAGTACAACAAGAGCCAGTTGAACGAAATGCTGCACGACGGTCTGCTCAGCAGTTTATGCGAAATGAGAATTCTAATAATTTTCAACAAACTGAAAAGCGACAAGTGGAATTTTTATATATATTCGTAGCATTTGCATATTCCTATACAAATTCGCTATCTCTATAAGTAAGGAATGATTTAGAGGTGCTTAATGTTTTGCGTCTGTTGTTATAATAAAGTCTGAAAGTCTGTATCAGAAAGAATAGAATTGATCTGCCATGTTGGTAATAAATGAGAAGAACAGACTTTATCAAACGAATAAATACTTCTTTGTTTTTTTTATACACAGTATCCGAAGCGTGGATTTGATAGGTTTGTGAATATGACCGACCCCAGACGGGAAAAATAATTGGAGGATGTCTATGGCTTAATACATATGTAAGGTTATATTTGAATTAATATTGAGTTGCCATTTCAATTGCTCTTTGTCGGCCATTTGCTTGCCAGAAGCCTTCGGAAAACTAGCAAAATTCACGACAATATGAGGTCTCAAAGGAGTATTTAGAATGCTTGTTTTTGCAACATCTTGAAAGACGTTAAAATCGTTTCTGTATCTGTATTATAGGAATGTAAGAGGCAGCCCTACTTTAGAACTTCGGGGAAGTATGTACGCTGATGTTTTTTTTTTCGGACAGTCTTGCCGATGCAGAATCACGTCATAACCAATGAACCCGTCTAATAAATATGCACATATGGTGAGTGTATTTTGTAAATAGTATGATTTTTAATTTGATGTACATTTTGATTGGTTTTAAAGAATGCTCTTTTCGATCAAATTATTATTTTGAAAGTTATGTATTTATTTTGGCTTGGTACACAGGCTATTTAATAATCGGGGAGCTCAACCTTTGGAATACAACTGTAAAATATACGCTTGCATTTCTTTATTTTGAACATATCGTTAATGATAGATATAGCTGAATAATTTTGATCGAGTTTTTGTTGACTAGTTTTTGTTTTTCGTTTGTTTAATTGTTCATTAAGTTATATTTAGAAGCAATCTAATCGTTTGTATTTGTATAAATATTATAAAAAATTTACAAAACTAAGAATTATTATAGGTACGCGTCCAGTTTATATATTTTAAACTCCGATGCATATGTTTTAACTTTATATACATACATATCTATACTTGCTATATATATCAATATATATATATAGATGGCTATATGTTTTAAATATTTCATTGGGTACATAGTATGTGTATTATAAAGTAAAACTGCATTGCACACTTCGTCGGCATTTTTCGTAAGCATATGTACTTGTATGTATTTTCTTTCGTTCGAATCTTTATATAGAGCTAGTACTTTTGGTTTGACTTTTGATTTGTATATTGCAGATTGTTCGTAAGACCTTTATCAATCTTTTCTACTTTCCTTCATATATTTTATAAGAGATTTGTTGGTTCACTTTATTGATCGAGCTGAGTAACTTTTCAGACAACACCACGTTTGCAAACACAATATCTAAAGCTAGAATAATAAATACAACTAAACTAAAAGTAAACAACCTTTTCGAAACAAGCATTACAATTTGGCACTAAATTCCGCTTGCTGTTCCTACGAGCATCCGCACATCAATCAGATTTCCATTATTTATTGATCGGAAGATTTCATTTCATGAAAAATGTGAGGTATGAACATTCATATAAATTGATTAAGAAATTCATTGCATATACTATATATGTATGTAAATTATGAACTAAGGACTCGTTTACAGATACATTGATAGAAGACAGCAAAACCTAATTTTAAATTCATAACCAATGGTGGATAAATTAAATAGAAAATTGAATTCTCACTCTTGTGCGGGTGGCCGCAATGCGCTCAGCGCTGGGTGTAGGGAAAATCGGTCTGCGCATGCGCATGGCTATGTGTATGACTGTGCGTGTGCGCGTGGCAATGGTGTTGGCAGCTTGGCAGCTGATCAACAGCATAGCTGTAGGGTACCTCTTCTTGAGGAGCCGGCTGATAGAGTTGCCGCTCCAGAGTTGAGGCCGCCGACGACATGGCGCTCGTCGCCTGATGCTGCACCGAGAAGCTTAGGCCGCACGAACAGTGCTCTATGTGCGGCGGGAGGGCTGTCGGAGTTAGTGTGGGCGTGGCATGCACGATCGCCTGCTCGGTGATGAATGTTGGAGGCGGCGAAGGCGATGAGAGGCAGTCTTGGCAATAGTGCGTTTGATAGGGAGCGAGTTCTTGGCTGCTCGGCTGGTAGTGTCGGGATGGATAGGGATGGGGTGTGTCGCTGCCCCTGAGAATCGTTGGCGGTGGTGGTGGTGTCAACGAGTGTGCCGGGGAAGTGGACCCAGAGGTTTCCGTACCTGTATTCGATGCCGTGGTCGTTGTAGATGAGGATGGTTTGTGTGGCTGATGCGGCTGATCGGGTGGATGATGGCAGCGACATATTGTAACTCAAAAAGTGCCGCCATCGTGTTGGTTCGATGACTGAACAGCAGCAGCAATAGGTGCGGGTGCTGCAGCGACAGCAGCCACACCATTCAGCGTCAGGTGCTGTGGCGACACTTGGCTATGGCCTTCAGTTTTGTTGCTGCCGCTGCTGCTTTCGTCGTTCTCTTGCTGCTGCTGCTGTTGTGATTGTTGGTGATTGTGTGCTTGATGATAGTGTTGGTTGTTTATGGAATGATTGAGTTGGATGCCAGACGCGAGCACCTCCTCATTGCCCCCCATATCGGGAAGGCCAAGCACAGTTAGTGACTTGGGCGGTATGGGTGGCGGCGGTACCGGCAGATCCTCCACATTATATGAGATTGCAAAGCTCTCACGCTGCGTTATGTGTAGGGGTGTGGGTCCACCACCGTAGAGCATATTCATGCTGCCGTCTGAGCTCATACGACAGTGCTCGCGATGATGTACTGTGCTCACGGAATTGGAAGAGGACTCTTCGCTTAGATTGTTCAAATGGTTAAGCTCGCTTGTTGTGGAAATGCCCGAGTCGCGAAAATCATTCGGAGCATAGCAAACGTTTAGATGGCCACCACTGACATCTTGTAGAATGGGTGGCAACGAGTGCGGCTGCTGATCCGCTTCGGGATCGTCGAAACTAATATCTACGACAGAGTATTTTTGACCATGTTGCTGTTGCGTCGAGTGGCGTCGGGGTATGCTCCCTCCTTCCGTGCTGGAAAAATCATTGAAGATAAGCGGATTGGAAGCACGTTTGTCGGGGGTAATGCCACGCGGTGGTAGCGGTGGCGCAATGGGTGAGTCTGGATGCTGTCGCTTAGGCGGCACCTCTGGGCTGTCCACAACTAGGCCATTATTGCCGGCAATAAAGTTCTGGGAACGCGGCCGATTGGGTATCGGGGGTGCATCTGTCATGCTGCCGCTTCGCGTTAATTCGGGTATGCTCAGGCTTTCTTTGCTTAGTGTTTGATATGAGCTGAGCGCATCCACTGGACGCGGAGTCTCACCGGGGCGTGTGTATATTTCGTCCAGTTCATAGGCATAGTTGGGATTGGCAAGGATGTTTGCGCCAGCGCCTTGTTGCTGAGCTGTCGACGATGAGCCGGTGCTGCCCAAGCTAAGAGTGCGCTTCTCTGTAGGGAGCGGTGGTAGCGGTGTATTTACGATGCTCTCGGAGTGCTGCCGCTTGAGGCGACCCATGCCCGAAAGACTCTGCTTCAGTTGCGAAAACCGTTCCAGCAGGCGATTGTGCAGTGGCTGAACACCACTAGGCGCCAGTTGGCCATGCAGCTCGAGAGCATGTTCCAGGATCTGTATTTGCTCCAGTATCAATGTTTTGAGTCGCTGCACTTTCGCCTGCTGGCCAGCACCTTGGGGAGACTTGAGGAAGTGTTCAGAAAAGAAAGCCTCTTGATATTTGCTAATGCCACCCATGACGTTGGCATCAATGGTACCCTGTAGACGCATGGAGAAGGGGTTGATGTTACGTTTGGGATCACGTCGATATTGTACAGTGAGATCGGCAAGCTCCTTGCCCGCATTACTAATTGTCTCGCAGGCATATTCAACGGGGGTTATTTCATGCACGGACTTTTGCTTCACCTCGAACCAGCGCAAGATCCCCGGTAGCGGACAGGTTATGTCCAGAGTAGTGCGTTCGATCCACAGCGACTTGAATTCGTTGTCTTTGTCGATGGGTTCCTTATAGATGGGCCTGTCGTATATGAAGCGAGTTATGTCATTCACCTCATAGAAGCGCGCTATCTTCTCCGGCACCGGTAACATGGCTGTCTTCAGCGCGTGCGCATCACCCACCGGCCGCACATTACTGATCTGTATGTATTGCTCGGGTGCATTCAGAATGGCTGCATCTGGTGGACTGTTATTGCCCAGTATTTGTGCAGCAGGAAATTCGGTTTGCAGTCGCTGCGTGAAGGCGCCAATGCGCTCGTACTCCAGGCCACGATACACAAACTGTTTGTTCTAGAAAAAAGAATCCGAGCCTTTGGTGTATACTATAAAATAAGTCTGCAAGAAGAAAGACCTACCCGCACAAAGAGCGGCAATCCCATGCCGTAAAAGCCAACACGAAAGTATTCCGGCTCCGGTCGCAGCTGTGTTAAGATATTCTGAAAGAACTTGGCCTCCAGAATGAGGATTTCGCTGAGCTTGTTGTAGTCGAAGCAACGGGTTTCGTACAACTGCGCTAGCTCCTTGCACAGAGGTATGCCTTTCTCCCAACATTTCCCCTTATCGAAATATTTGAGTATCTGCATAGGAGGATTATCAGGTTGAACCATGAAAAGTATAAGTCCTGTAACTCCTATTTACCTCATGATAAAGACGCTCTTTACGTAGCCACTCTGGTTGGCCACTATTATCGAATGGCGCAAAGCTTTGCGTTTCTCGGTCCCAGCTCAGCATGCTAGCATAGAGCTTAAGCGTGTACCCGGCCTCTGTGAAGTTCTCCGCTTGCAAGTGCAAGTTGTGGAGTTTATAGATGTATCTGCAATATAAATGGAGCATTACAAAATGATTCGCTGAACTTATTTGAGTATGTATACCTTAGGTACATCTCCTTTCGATTTATTTCGTTCTTGTAGAAGTTTAACAAATTCACTGTGCATGTCATCCGCTTGTCTCTGTTCTCCTCACCCTGCATAACGCTGCGGTAATCTAGAAGACGTTCCAGCAATCGGGTCACGGAGGCTATGAAGGCCGTTCCTGCGTCCTTCCAACTGGGATTCTCGGACTTCACTTTTTCGAGAAGGCTGTCGTTTATCATAGAAAAGGTGGGATTAGTTATGGTATTGGGCTTTAAATATGAATGGGTGTATATTCTAATACGAGTATGTACTGTTAAAAGCTACAGAAAGGAACAGAGGGATGTGAGAGTGGAAATCGACTACTACAACAGAAGATCTGAGGCAAATCACAAATTGAACTTACACCAAGCTGAGATGTTCCCTTTATGAAGGCATTGTGTGTTTTGAATAAGCAATGAGTTTGAAGTGAGACATTCATATTTACACAGATTTATGTACAGATCTTTAAAAAATATGTACATGCTATACATATGTGAACTTACATGGTGCTAAACAGTTCCCGATACTCATCGTCTCCCTTATTCTCGCTTATCAGCAAATCTAATTTATCGATGAGCTCGCTCTCCACAAGGCGGAAGGAGCCGCGTGCGCCCTTCAAACGGCAAATGGGGAGAATCAAAATAATTTGAAAGGAATGTGTGTGTTTAGGAAATAATGAACTCACCTGCTCGCATTGCATCATATCGTAGAACACCGAGAGTGTTGCCTTTCGCAATGCGGGCTCCGGAACCAACGTTACCTCCAGGAAGGGGCCAACCATTGAGGGTATGAAGTGCAGCTTCTGATCGCCCAGCTGCGACCACATACTGAGTATCTGGAAGCCCATTAGCACTCGCATATCGCCGTGCGAGTGCAATATTTTTCGGCGTTTTAGCTCACGATACTGCTCTAGTTGCAGCGATGGTTGTGTGAGGAAAGCAACAGCTAGGCTGAAGTAGGACCACCACAGCTGTGAATCAAAGGCTTGCGGGCCAAGAAACCTATATACAAGCGGCTTAGCAAACTCCTCCAGCGATTTACGTAGGACATCGTTGGAGGCCAATTTCATAACCAGCCAATCGGTGGGGAAAACCACCCAATCATCTTTAAGTAGCTGTTCATAAACAAGCAGCGACATACTAAGGAACTCCTTCAGATCACGAGGATCTTTGTTGGGCGTTAGCTCGTCCCAGTAGCGCTTATATTGCGTTTCGTCCAGTAGCTGTAGCAGGCCCAACAGACAAGCAACAAGTTGAGGCAGCACTGCGTTTGAGCCCTCTTTGATGCTGCTTATGGTCCGTATTAGAATGCCGAGAATGTTTTTGCACAGCGAGTCCAGATCATGCTGTAGAGTATTGGTGACTTTTTCTCGTTGTTCGCGTTGCAGTTCATGCAGGTGTGATAATATTTCCGAGAGAATTTCAGCACACAGGCGAAGCTCATCGCGGCGGCCAAGGTGCATGCGCAGATGCTTGCACGCCACTGATAGAACCACCGTTCGCGAGTCTAAAATGAAATGACACTGTTTTAAGCATTGTGTTGAAAGAAGAAGTGTGTGTTCCCATCCCGATAAAGTTGATTGCATTTGTCTGTACATAGTATCTTTATGTAGTTATAGATCGGGCCTCTCAATAGAAGTTTGTCTTCTTGCCCTCAATTGAAAACACCACACTCACCATCCTCATGAAACAGTTCGCCCGATACCAGATCCTTGACAGCATTCAGTTTGGCTTGAATGAGGCGTGCGGGTGCTCCACGTGGAATGGCATCCAGCATGTTTCGCGCCAGCATTCCCAACTCCGGCGCTGGCAGGGTGTCCTTAAGCTGCTCGAGCACAACGCCCGTTGAATTGAGCAGCGCCTCTTGAGTGGGTATGATAACATCATCCGAAGGTACTGCTAGCATGCCATTCAAAGCTGTGAACAAGGAGTGCAGATCACGTCGGAATGAATCCTCGTACTGGCCTCCTGTGGCACGCGCAAAAAGCTTGCGCGACTGAATAAGTAGCTTGAAGATGTACTCCAGGGAACCGAAACACTTTTGAAACGGATCAGGATGCTCAGCCTTGGTCATGAATACAGCCATATGCTCCACCGACGTTATGAGGCCTTTGTAAACGAGTGCCGCTGCAAAGTGGTTTTCAATGTATTCGTTCATGACCGGACGAAAGTGCTGGAACTTGTTGCTCTGCAATAGACTAAAGATGCTTACTAGCACATGGAACACCAGGCCCGAGTGCTGCGTGCTGTTTCCCTCCTCGTTGGAGAACATAGCGAAGAGTGCATCCAATACGTCCTGCAAAAACTTTACCAGCTCCTCATCGTCTAGACGCAGTACACCCGTTAACGAGTCCTGTATGGTCTCGGGGTGAGCCCGCCATTGCAGCAGGGAAAGTAAATCTGCGTTCTGTGTCAACTTGGTAGAGCACAAAAGCGAGCGCACGACAAACACTTCCTTGGAGCTGCGATGAAAGCTCGAATTGCCATCCGGCTTCACATGTGCATCTCTGGCCTTACATGGAAGCCTCATATAGTTAGCTGCCTGCAGCTTAGCCACATCTTCGCATTTGTAAACGTATAGTTCATGCTGGCCATCGGTCAATGTGGCGCCGCTGGGATCCATTAGGCGTGCGAAACTGAAAGCAAACAGCTTCGGCTCCGACTTTTCACGTGTGGAGCAATGCCGGAACTCAAATCGCACATGCGCCGTGGCGAACTTGTCGATGGGAACGCTTAAGCGCAGCATTTCATTCCAGCTGGGCGCATTCTGGTGATACAATATCATGGATTTGTAGTGATGTTGTGCATCCATGCCGGAGGCACCCCATAAACAATCGCCTAGCACATTGCCGGAAACATCGAGCACTAGGACTTTGACGAGGATGTTCTTGCCCGTGTTCTTTCCGCCTCGTTCGAATTCGCCGCGCTCCAATGTCAGGAAGAGATCGTTGCGTACATCTCCAGGCATAATGACATCCGGGAAGCCCATCTTGCGTGTAATGGTCGTACCTTGAAATAGCAGCGGTTGCTCTAGACGAGCCTGGCCTAAGCCCCCGTGCAGAAGCTTTAGCGAGACCGAAATGCCCTGCGTGTTTTGATTGCCTGTTTGAATCGGTGAGTATTTGCCGGTCGACTTTTTGATAATAAGTTCGTGCAGCAGATGAAAGTCCTTTTCCTCGCTCTGATAGATCTTGAAGTTGTACTCGCGTTCTTCAGAGTCCATACTGCTATCAAAATGAGAAATATCACTTAGATGCAGTACGCCCACGCCAAAGGGACGTCGATATGTTGCTCCCGATGCTGAGGCATTATTCTTTTCGATCTTCTTTATCGAATCAGACTGTATTATCTTGCCTACACGCATTACAACGGCGACCAGATGCAGCTCTTCATTGAGATCGGCGGCACCTATTTGGGAGTAACAAATAGGTTTGGGATTAAAAAACTTATTTAAATCCCCCCTTAGGGTTACTAACCCAAATCTGTGAATACAGTGCAGTTACTATGTAGCTTCTCTATATAGTTGGAAAAGCCATCTTTGGAGATTTTCACCAAAAACCGTTCCGAAAGCGCACGCATACGCGCCCCATCGTATAGGAAGAAATACACCTCTGCATCATCACCCCCAATGCGATGTCCAAAATCACGCATGCAGAAGTACAGATGGTGTGTGAGGATCTTGCGTTGTGTTTTGCGGCGCAGCGTGCCTCGACTCTGTGGAACCTCAGGATTATTTATAACTAATTGTCATTGACCGATCAACTACTCACCGAAGATGCTTTGGCATTATCTGCACTGGTCACGTGCACATTATAGAGCTTAACGATGCCAATGCCGTGCGGATCGACGGCGAGGGGACCCACACGTGGTACCAGATCGAGTCCAAGTTTACTGAAAGAATAAACAGATTGCTGTTATTAGATGTGAGATCTATAAAATGTCAACAAGCTTTGGTAAGTCACGTTCCTAAAACAATGGACTCACTCACGGTCTGCTGATCATATATTCATAGAACGCGCTTTGTAAATACAGATACATACTGTATATTTAAATAAAGCTGACTCTCATGGCTTTCTTTTCAGGACCATCACATCGTAAATAAAATTGACAAATTTGTAATTAATTGTCGCTGTGAGTGGATCGCTAGGTTAAAATCTAATTTGGTTAGTCAGCTTCCCGACAAACTGAACGTGATGATCATTAATCACAGGTTGACGCATATGGTACACAAACGAGAAACACACAAAAATTTAAGCCCCTAGGTAAGCACTTCTATACATGCATACATATACATACATACGAGTATATGTCTATAGCTGGCGCTTTAAGTATTGTGTCTCATTAATTCATTGAATTGATAAAATATATATCAACTTTATGTAGCTTCGTTCTATCATTCCCGTTTGTGGGTGAAATAATATCTTTTTATATTTTTGAGGTCATTATAGTTTCGTTTCCATTGCGCATTAATTAAATGGCTCTAATTAGTGCTTCGGATTACAAACCGTTTGGTTCATTCAAAATTATTTCGATTTTATAATCCATGTAGGGAAAAAGAAGTTCCCCTGACAGGTTTCAGTCCCTGAGTTCAAAAAATGTTTTCCAAGTATTTGTTATACATAGCTTCTGCATCATCTTTTAAATAGCTTAAGGGCAGTTAGAGTTTGATTCTGTTTTAATAGATTTTCACTTCTAGATATACGAAATAAGATTCACAACTTTCCTGTATATTATATTCAACAATTTCCTATTAGTTGGTTTATGAATTCCTCATCGAGCAGAGTCGGACTCGAGTTTTCGATGCGTTCTGGAGTTACACTAGCCACCATCCGAACTGCAGGGAAATATTTCTAGTATTCAATACGGGTATGTATGTACGAGTATATGCAACAGCTGAAGCGTTAAGCAGATCATGAAAACAGAGATTATGGGCATCATAATGAGTAAACACTCAATAAATGTAATTTCAAAATTCTGTTCGACTTCGAGCTTATGAGAATATGCCTGATAAGCTTAGCGAGACTAGCCCTTAAGCTTTCTGAGATCCAAGAGTTCATAAAGGGAGATGGAGCCACACGACTCGACCTGATTATTCAAAAACTCAACAGCTACTTTTTAGGGAAGGGACTCCAGATCACGCTTTTATTTTGTGAGTCTAGGGTACGGGAGGAGTAGATGTACACATCAATATATTATGAGCATGCAACTGGATATTTGACCATAATGATTCAACAAATAGAACAGTTGTGTAAACATCGGAAAAACCAAAGCCCACTCGCACACAGCATTTTAGGAGCTTAATAGAGGACGGCATTATTCACATCGTTCCCGTATCACCCGCATGACGCATAAATTTGGCTTACAAAAATGCTGCCAAACGGCCGGCCACTTGTCCAGCCAGCCAACGAGGCACAAGCACACAGCTAATGGGTTCACGGTATTCCAGTGGCGCATACAAAAACTTAACTTGGCAGCCACAGACAGAGAAACCAGCACCGAACAATCCAACGTCATCAGCAATATGTTGCCGACGTCGGCGAAGTCGTCGTCTCGGTTGCTGTTTCGATGTTGCTACCTCGGCTACGCTTGGGTTCTACCTGGCTTACGCAGCGAGCGAGATGGCGAGAGGGCTAGCTAGTTAGATGCCGCGCTCGCATGCGCCAGAGCAGACGAAGAAGCCGTTTTGTTGTTAACGAGGCCTAAACGCCTTTGCTGTTGCTGTTGTGTCTGTTGCTGTAGCTGTGTCGTGTAATTGTGGTTGTACCTGAGTGGTAGGCGAGTGTGAGAGTGCGATCATCTGAGTTCTTATGTGGGCTTGGAACCGGAACCAGCTGCGATGCTCTCTCCATCTCTGCTCTCTTCCACTCTCCCAGCTCTCCCTTTGTATGGGTGTGTATGTGTGTGTGTGTGAGTGTTAGTGTGACGAAGAGACGAGGTGATCAAAGAAATGTATCTCATAAGTAGGTAGATAGAAATATGAGTGACGCTCGCGCACGGTAGCCGTTGTGGTAATGAATATTTTAAGTCGATTTTAATTAAGTGCCGGCTGTCTACTCAACGCCTAACCCAAAAAACAGTAGATGAAAGATGAGTGAGAAAAGCTGCCATAATCATGGTTACAACAACAGTAACAACAACAACAACGTGTTATTTGTTAGCAATTAATTATGGTTTTATCTTTGCTAGCAACTAAGCTTCTTAATAAGGCCCCATTAAGGCATACTGCTTAGATACCTCATCTTTAATATAATGTGTTGAAAATCTATTTCGATATTAAATGACAGGCAACGGAGAGATGGAATGCAAGGTGAGCCAACCGATACAGAAGAAAAGAAATTGAATTATCTACACTTCGATAAGCAGCAGCGTTGTCAACCACAAGAGCAACAACAATAATCACGACGAAGAGTTCGAGAGCAACAGCATCTCAGTAATCGTATTGCATCTATAGCCGACACATCCATACATACGTATACAAACGATACATTTGTATCTCACATGCCATACATTTCGTATTTTATGTCTTTATAAAAGGCGTACCTGTGAGATGCATTTAATGCGACGACTGCACGCGCATCCCCACTTCAGGTGCCCCAAACACGAGAGGGCACGCAGAACTCAGAACTCAACGGCAACCCGCAGCCACTTCAAAATGCCATTTCATTATGCCAAAACCTAAAAGACGATGGGACCGGCAGCACGACCAACCATCCAACCAACCAACTGCCCGCTGACTCATATGACCAACAAGTCGCTGGATGCCGGCCTGACGACCATGCCGTGGCGGCAAAGGTACGAAGAGCCATCCATGTCTAGCAACAAGTTGGCATTTGTTGTCTAGTCTGCCTGGATGCCTGTTTGCAAATTGTTGTTGCTATGGGGACTGCCTGTCCCTTTTGCAGTTGCAGCGGTGGCATGCAAATACAAACGTCTAGATGGGTGTATGTACTATATACACACACATACATATGTACAGAATACGTGTATGTGGAGCGTCAGTCTCCTACACACGCATACAAATACCAGAATGGCCGTAGAAGCATAGAATTTGAAGCCATAAAAATATGCCCATCCATTATGCCAAATTATGTTGAGCAACAAAATAAGTCATCCAGCCCGGTACTAAATATATACTCTATTTACATATGTAAATAATGGGTATAACGCATTTATTTTAACTTTAACCAATAACTAAACTTTTAAGAAATATTTTTAAAAACTGAGCAAAACTATTCAGAACTAAACAAATAAATGGTGAATGAATAGTCGCATGGGGTCTGCCACTACCCCTTATGCCTGTTACTTACATTTCACGTTTATACTATACTTTCTAGTAAGCCCTTCACCATTCGGAAACAAGGCTTTCAAGTGCTGGACAAAATCAATTACTATATGGGTTCAATCAAGTCCCATCGGTCTAAAATTATTGCCTGAGTGTACACAAATGCGTATGCATGGAATTCATTTAATCAAAAACGCAATATCAAAGTCCCTAACCTTCGTTACACGATTCACTTGTAGCACCCCAGTACATTTCGAGTGTTACACAACGACTGGCACGAATAGAGGTAGAATTGCAAGTGTTGCTTAAATATTGTTATTAAGCTCAGTATCAATGGGTGTCACGTAATAGTTTAGAAGGCGGGGTAGAGCCCCCAAAGTGCATATGAATATAATTACACGAGTCGGTCTTGACATATCCTTTCTCATTCGTCTTATATAAAATCATGACTCCGTATGAAATCAAGAATTGTGGAAAGGCGTTTGACTTAGGTTCCATTAGAAACGGGGAATAGCAAGTAACTCTTATAGGGTTTTGGTAAGACTCGTACTTCTGTAAATTTGGGACAATTCTTCTAAGTCAATAGGATAAACCGGAAGGATAAACCGAAGCTGTTTTCTTGACACTCCCTCCCCATTAATCCACAAACTAATCTCTGATTGTTGCATATATACTTTTGAAAATCGTTATTCTATGTATATACATATGTAAGTATAACACAGACTTTAAAGCTTTAAAAAACTACATATTATAAATTAAAAGTATATTTAGCTATAAAATTATGATGAAGTGAAATTAATTACTAAAATCTCTTTGAAAACAACCTTTTATTTATAACTGTCTTGCTCAGTGCCTTTGAAATAACAGATAAGACGAAATTCCCATTATTCAACAACGATACACATTGCCTTGTTCTCAATTGTGATTTTAAATTCGTGCTTCGGTTCGAATTTGTTTTTGTGTCGCGATCGTAAATGATCTCGAGTCGACAAGGTGGTGGCGCATTCGTGTTTGCGCCAAGATCGAGGCTATAGCGATAGCTACAGCGACACCAATGGAGTTGTTTGCTGGCAGCAGGTTTCTTTCAGAGCAATAAATTTTCTCCACTGACAATGTGGATCAGCGCTAAACAAAAGATAAATTCTAATCCATAGGCGTTGTCTTTAGACTGTTTTTGTGTGTGTTTGCACAGTGTATGTGCTATAATAGTAATGTGGAAGAGGGGGAACGAGGGCAGTGCCTAAGCTAACATGTTGAGCAATCAGAAAAGTGGCCCAGACCCAGTCCCCAGATCCAGCTACGGTCTGCTGTCAGTTCTCATAAATGGTATTTGCTATACTAAGTACATTAGCATACGAGCATCTAAATCTAAGCCACAAGCTCTGCGTTGCGATAGTGACGATAAAGGCGGCAGGCGGTCCGTTCGGATTTTCCTACATCTGCATATGAGCAGCTCTACGAACGGTCATGCACATGCTTGACTGTTGGTGGCAAGGTTAAAGTGTTGCTGCGACCAGGTAACGCGCTCAGAGAGTGCTTAGGGGCTGGAACTGAGGCCACGGTCAAATGAAGATACGAGGTATGGCATAGCACATACCTCTTCTTAATGTTCCCTTCGTATGACGTCATAATAAGCTCTGTATTGTGATTTTTTAAAGATCTAAAAAACTATATACTTCTTTATTATAAATGCAAACTTATTAATTATAACTGTCTTTGCTCAGTGATTTGCTAGTGTACCTATGTATATGGTGTTAGGAGAGGGTGCTATTAGGACTTGATAGCAGTTGATATAAAGCAGCCGAAATCAAAGCCACTATTTCATTTACCGCGCCATTTAGCAATCCCGGTGGATGTGCGATATTTTGAACAAGAGAGCACAGAAAGCAGCTTGAAATGCCATAATTTCCCACTTCTGTTTACTATGCACTGAGAATAGAGCGCGCGGGCCGATTTAAAACGCGAATCGGAACCAGCGCCGATCGACATAAGAGGTTCCAGCTTGTCTGGTTCCGCGAGAGACTCTCCTTTGTTTGTATGTATATCTATGCTTATATATGTGTATTTACTTATGGCGCTCTTTGAAAGTACGTTCACCAGCTTGAACGCGGTCAACTGTGCTCGTCAGTAGGATTTTGGACGCCGCTGAGAGCAGCTGCACATTTTGAAAAGGCAAATTACGGTACGCATACGATAGTGGCGGTTGTTGGGTTTCTGAGGCTGTAAGTGCAGTCCCAACAACCACTGCACGGTGAACAGATAAATGCAGTTTCTGTTGTTTAAATGAAATGAAACACACATACTCACAGACACAAGCGCGCATACACACAGAAAAACAAACAAATCAGATTAAAGCTGAGACGAAAGATGAGGCGATTTTTCAAAATTGAGGTTTGACAAAGTTGCGGCGCAAGCGTGCATTTTATGCATTCTCTGTGCACATATACACACACACACATTCATGTGTGTGTGTGTGTGCGTGTCTGTATCTGTGTGCATAATAGAAATCTTTGGCAATTAAAAGTAGAATGCGAAAACTTCGAAAACAAATGAGTGTACAAAATAAATGATAACTTCAAACAGTGAATGGCAAAGCAAGCACAAACAAAAAAGCTACATAGTATATTAATGAGCCGCAACAGGCAGCGCTAAAAACAAGTTTCTAAAGTGTCAAAGTGGCAGCAACGAGAAAATGCTATAAATTAAATTTAAAATGCCAAAGTCAAAGCGGCAGTAGGAGCAAAAGAATCACTTTAAAAAGTAGCGGCGCATTGGACACAGCCAGAAGAGCCAACAGTCAGTCAAACAGTCCATCAGTCCATCGGTCCATTGGCCCATAAGCTAACCAAGCAACCGACCAACGAGCCAACCAGCCCAAGAGAACCAAGTCCAGTCGCTAATGTTGGTAGCAAAAACGGCAGCAACGCGCAACAGTGGCAACAGCAACAGCGATCGTCTGCACAGGCCAAAAAAGAAAATACCTTAAAACCAGTTTTTTGAAAAATTTATTGAAAAAAAAGAAATACAAAAACAACAACATTCGAATGAAAAAAGCAGTGGCGGCGACCCAAGAATCGAAGTTGAAATGAAGTGCTGTGCATGTGTTTGTGTGTGAGTGTGTGCGTGTATGGGTGTATCTGTAACTTGAAGTATGAGCCTATGTGCGGCATAAAACATAATACGTAACTTTCAGTGCAGAAGCTGACTGCACTTAGTGGAGAAGAAGTTGTTGCTACTTTTTAGCTTTAATTGCTGTGCGCATGCGTGCGAAAGAGATGACTCTATGTGCTGCGCATGCGCTGTGCGTTATTGTGTGTGTGCGTGTGTGAGTGCGCATCTTTGAGTTTTACGATCTGACGGGTTGGTGTAGTTGTTGTTGTTGTTGTTATTATTATTATTGTTGTTGCTATAGTCGTCGTCTTGCCGAAATGAAATATACAGCAACAAAAGAAATTTGCATATAAACAATGCGAGCGCGTCAAGTAGAAAGAAAGCTGCCTCTAGAAGCCTGAGAACCCGTTAGCTGACACTTGTACATACATACATACGTACATGCTATGTTTATATACATATTCGTACATATATATCTATGTATGTATGTATTTAGCTCAGAGGACGTGGTCGCATTGTTTTTTTATTTTTGAAAATAGTTTTGACATTCGAGTGTTGCGGTGACGGTGACGGCGACGGCGACAGAAAGGCAAAATGAAATTAATGCGTGGGTTGACAAATCTCTGAGCTGGTCTTGTTACGAGTACCGGTTCTGAAACTTGTGTACAATCGCCCATCGAATGGAGGGAACGGAACCATTCAATCATTCGACTCGCGCTAAGCTCGGATTAGATTAGATTAGATCGTGTACTAGGCTAGGCCCTGACATATTGCGTTGACGACAACGATCTTTGACGGAACGCTGAGAACGCGCACTCACTTAATTGTAAGTGCGGCTCGTCTTATCGCCACAGCGGGCGCGTCAACTCGAAACGGAAATGTGTAGTAATTTCTAATATCTTATGTATGCGTGTACATGCCTGCGAGATAACACTCTAAGTATGCACAGTGCAGATGATAAAAAACTGTTGAAATACCTTACATGGAACTGGGACTGGTACGCGAACTCTGTCGCGCGAAGCAGCCTTATTATAGTGCCTTACTTATTTGTTTATGTACATATGTATATGTTTGTTTGCACAGTGGTTCTCCGCCTATTTGAATGAAATACATATATGCTGACACAGTATGTCTGCATCTCTCGTTACAGATAGTGTAGTTCAACCCCATCAGAGTCTGCGCTTAAGGGAGAAATAAACAGGCCAACAATATGGCGGTCTTTGGCATGGTCTCGGCTGTGTCCAGCTTCGTCAAGATACGGTATCTGCTGGACAAGGCGGTCATCGATAATATGGTGTTTCGATGCCACTACAGAATCACGACAGCCATTCTATTTGTCTGCTGCATTATTGTGACAGCTAACAATCTAATTGGTAAGTTAAGCAACCATCTTTAACACCACAAATTAACAGTCTTTAGTTAACAACTGCACGACTTTCGGACGCACGTTTGTATCGTTTAACGCTGACCTGCAAATTTCCCCATTACCACTACCCCATTCACACCCGCCCATCGTATTTGCGCATACAATTACAAGATTGCGACAGTGCGGCTCAAATAACCAAAATGTGCAGTGTCGCTTTTTTTCTACTGTCAGCAGTTAAGTGGATCGACCGCCCGCTTGCCATAAATCAGTTCGAAAATTGGTTGACACACGTTCATCAGATTTCATTTTGTGACTCACTCTCCACTCTCTGCCTCACCGCAGGTGGTGTGTGTCTTGGCTTAAGCTTAAGCCCGACAGTGGCGTCAAAACAGTGGTAGTCATTCGGCTCCACATACGCAAATACAGTCACTCACGCAGCTGTGAACAGGGCTTCAAACGGCGCTTTAATTTGAAAACACTTAACGGACTGGCTCCGAAAAGAACCGAACTCTTGGGCTTTATTTGTGTACCCTGCACAATGAGGCATGCCAGTTTGTTGTGCGCAGCTGGAAACATTTCTGATCCTAAGAAAGGCAGAGGTTTTAATCCAAAAAATTTTGGTTTATTATATGATAGGAATAAGCACAATAGTCAGCTGTTTTGTGCAATGTTTTCGCCTTCATTAGAAGATATGTATGTAGCTGATAAACAGCTGCGAGCTGGAATACAAAGTTTATTATAAAACATTTGTGAACATGAAATGAAACACAAATTCATAGATATATTTTCTCCCATCTGAGTGATGGTCAAAAAATGATAACTCTTTCGACATAAAATTGAATTTGTCTAACTTTGGACATTCGGTTTCTCACCTATACATATTTTTTAAGCTTATTGCTGTCAGAAAAATGCGAAGGGTATTCGAAAGTTTCGGCTTACACTTTGCTTTCCTTCTTCACTATTTCTAACTGAGGGACTAATGTGTGGTGTGCAGACTAGACAATTGGTTTTATTTTACCAATGTAAGTGTGCCGAACCGGGCACAAATATTTGTACACTAAAAAGTGCTCTGAAAGGTACATAATATGTGCTATCTAGTGTGCTGGTGTGGTAGAAAAAGTGCCTCGCTTCCACGAATTCTCTTTGTTTATCTACGCAGACGTCTTGGACGCCCATGTGGCACACCCAGAAATTTGTCAGTTCATTGCCGTTGACGAGGGCAAGTGCAATTGGAAGCTTGATTTGGCTTGGGCACGTCCATAGTCCGAGTCACTCTCACGTATTGTGCACACAAACATGCTTACACGCCCACAATGCCAGACAATTTTTCCGTGTGCTGGGCTGAGGGGTCAGGGAGCTCTGCATTAGACGCAGCACAGAGCTGACCGGACTGGCCGCGATTATATTGCCTTAAATGCCACTTGACTGAATTTAGAGAATGCGCGTGCATTTGATTCGAGCCGAGGGTCAAGCTGCTTTATTTGCATACAATGGGAATTTAGTGCATATTTCCGATAAATTACAGGTGATCCCATAAGCTGCATCAACGACGGCTCCATTCCCATGCATGTGATCAACACATTCTGTTGGATCACCTACACCTTTACGATACCTGGCCAGCAGCACAGACAGATCGGCACCGATGTGGCCAGCTACGGCCTGGGCAATGAGTATGGGCAGGAGAAGCGCTATCACAGCTACTATCAGTGGGTGCCGTTTGTGCTGTTCTTTCAGGTGAGACCAAACATAAAACCGATTCGCATCGGAACTGGCATTAACTAGGCGTGCAATTGCAGGGTCTGATGTTCTATGTGCCGCACTGGATATGGAAAAATATGGAGGATGGCAAGATCCGTATGATCACCGATGGTCTGCGCGGCATGATCACTGTGCCCGAGGACTATCGCAAGGATCGGCAGGATCGCATAATCAAATATTTCATGGACAGCCTGAACTCGCACAATGGCTATTCGTTTGCGTATTTCTTTTGCGAACTCCTGAACTTCGTGAACGTTATTGTGAATATTTTCATGGTGGATAAATTTTTGGGCGGTGCTTTTATGTCCTATGGTACTGATGTGCTCAAGTTCTCGAACATGGACCAGGAGAAGCGTTTCGATCCAATGATAGAGATCTTTCCCCGACTCACGAAATGCACGTTCCGTAAATTTGGACCCAGCGGTTCTATACAGAAGCACGATACGCTTTGTGTGCTCGCTTTGAATATACTGAACGAGAAGATCTATATCTTCCTATGGTGAGTGTCGCGATGAAACTTTAGCACTGGAATGGGATCACCAGATACGTTTTAACTCATTGCAGGTTCTGGTTCATCATACTGGCCATCATCTCAGGCGTTGCTGTGCTCTATTCATTGGTGGTGGTTATGATGCCCACCACGCGGGAGACAATCATTAAGCGATCGTATCGCTCGGGACAGCGAAAGGAAATAGCGGGCTTGGTCAGGCGCCTAGAAGTATGTTCTCCTAAATTGTTGAATACTCCCTTAGATGCTTTCTAACACGCCTCTTTTGCGTAGGTTGGAGACTTTTTGATTCTACACTTCCTCAGTCAGAACCTCACCACGAAATCCTACAGTGATTTGCTGCAACAACTCTGCGGATTGCTGGGCGCCTCGCGTACGCCCTCTGCTCCGTCAACGCTTGAAATGAATCCCATCAACCATCCGATCTATCCACCGGTAGACAGTTTCGGCGGAAAGGAGACCGAAACATAGGCATCCGGAGTGCGATGTGCAACAACAAACAATTTCAATGATTTCTCAATAATTTTTGTAGGCAGATGAGTTATAGGGAATAACACTTGGAGGTTCGAAGTTGGAGAAAGTAAATTGATGTTCAAGGCAGGTTAGCAACGTTCTAGGCTCTAGATTTTTTTTAAATTTAAGACTGTCGTAAGCGAATGGGAAATGAATTTGAAATCAAGAATAATTCTTTAGCAAAATTTTTTTTCTTTCTAAAACAAATTTTTATCGAAACTCCTAGGCCAAGACCCATATATAGATGGAGAAGCGTTCAAGAAGCGAGACAGAGCAGGGAAGTAGGGGATGAAGTAGAAGTGAAGAAACACACAGGCAGACCGTGCAATTAGTAGGTTGGATTGTGGTTGTGGTTGCTGTGGCTCTGTTTTTGGCAGCCAACACATTTGAAAGGTACATAATCTATGCTTATAGTAACGTAAACATGATGCGCCATCTAAAATATAGAATTTAAGTTTAATAATTAGCTCTGTAGTTTGCTCTTTAATGTGCCGCGTTGATCGGTCGTCTGCATTGTTATGGAGTTAGAGAGAACATAAATACTATTCCCATATACCGATCACGTGCGCAGAAACAGACACGAAACACGAAACGTTGATCTAAATATCTGTAGTAATCGAATTATACAAAAATACAATATTCATACTGATATACATACATTACGAGTATATGAATGAGATGCTCTCGCTATTTTGTCTTAACGTTTAGTCTATATAATTTAAGGCGATTTTGTTTATAACAAAATTATTGTGATTATTGCTAGAAAAGAACACATTTTACATAAAAACGATCTAAGTTTAAAGTTGTAATAAATATTTACACTATATGCTATATACAAACTCAATCGACATTCTTTTCCTTTAACTTTGAAGATTGTAACTATTTGCTTGGATTCATGAGCTCCGAAGGTCGGCGTCTTTAAATGAGCCTCCTTCTTGATATTAAGCAGAAGAAGAGCTCCAATTTAAATCGAACACCGCAAGTATCTTAAAGTATTCTTAAAACCTACAAGAAGCATGGATCTAGATTCATTGTGTGCTACAAAGGGTGAAAGTATATTGGAAAATATTTTGCTTTTGCTCTTTCAGTCTTTCAATACCTTGTTGTCTTAAAATCAGTGAATATTTAAAGTTTGATTTACGAATTTCCCCTGAATATTCGAGAAACAAGGTTAGATATGCAAATAATTTGCACACAAATTTATTATTAATATTTATTTATTTATTAATATTATACATTTTTTTTAATTTGATAAATTTGTGTGTAAAAGTTTTGTCCGCCTGACAATTTCTTATTATAGTAAGTTGCCAGCAAACAGTTGGGAAATGTATTAAATTTAATAGGTTCTACTTACCGATTACCCCAGTCTATTTTAGAGACGACTACCATTTGTAGTGCGAGTGTCTGATCTTGGGTCATGGTAGCGCTTAGCAGCTCACGTCTACTATCCAATATGGAGTACATGACCTTGCGCAACGTTTCAAATTTGTATGCCTCGCGATCCTGCCAAGAAGTGGGAAGTGGACCAATGTATTTGAAGACTTCATAATAAGCGCCCCAGGCTATACTCACCACATAGAGGCGTTTCCAAATCTCCGACCATTCCCGTAGCACCTGCGTACATTCCGCGACCACTGGATCTATCTTTGACAGATCCTTGATGTGTATGTAGGTCTTGGGGAAGATGCCGACGGCTCGAGACTGGCGCGGGCAGGAGCCGCGATACCAATGCGTACACTCTTCTACAATGTCCACGGAATCGCCCACATCCAGGGGCAGACCGAAGCGGACATCGCCATGCCAGTTGTGTATGGCTGAGGGGAAGAAGAAGGGATATCTGAGAAAAACTTTTGAGGATGGAAGATACCAACGAACAGTTGGCAGTTCTCTTGGCCCTGACAATGTCGGAAGCAAACGAAAAAAAAACAAAACAAAAATAAAAACGGTTACGACGATAAAGACGAAGACGTAGATTGAACTCCGCCGCTGCCTGTTTGGCAAACAATCAAAGTGCCCCATGAGTAGCCACTTGAGCATGCCACGAGTGCCACAACAACAATAAATACTTCAACTATAAATAGTCAAATGGCTTTGTAAAACAAAATATGGGGGGTGTGCGTGCAGCAGCAACAGCAACAAGCAACAGCTACAGCAACCAGCAATAGCAACAAGCAGCAGCAACAACATGCAACAAACACTTGGGCACGCCAGCAATTGAACACTTTGCTTTCAACCATTGAACAATAAAACGCTCGATGCGGCAGCAGCTTCCCAGACGCCGTTGATGAAACCAAAGAATAGCATTGCAGGCACACTCAGATCAGGCGTGGCCAATTAGAAATGCAAGGCACACACACAGATAAACGTACAGCCATACAGGGTGACTTTCATGAGGTAGAAGCTACCTAAAAATATTTTGGTTGAACATCATCTTTTCTACAGAAATGTTTCATCATTTAAAACGAAAAGAAAATTAAATGTAAATCCGATTGCTCCGATTTTCATTACTACATTTTAACGGATATTTTTGCAGTTGGGAAAAACAATAACTAGATTCGCAACGATTGAGTGTCATACAGGGCCATCTGATTTATATTTGTTTATTTCCTGGACACTCTTTTTAGGAGAATACTTAGTGCCATAACTGATTTGTAAAATTAAAGATAAAATTTGCGAGGTTGAATGGCATCTATATCGGGAGTTGATCAGAATAGGCCATAGGCCTTGTCACATCGCTGACGTGAAAATCGTTGGAAAGGTGCAGGACACGATTCGTATGGAACAGGTTTTAATATTTTAGACCATTTATCCCCGAACTGTATTTAATCAATTGGTTGAAGCTATGAGTTTCTTAGATGAGTTTGAGACTCGTTAGACTCAATATTTGGGGCACCTTTATGATCTTGAGCTCTAGGACTTTATGGGAAAAGTATAGCTACACATATGATCAGAACGACGCGACGAATTGCAACAGCGTTGTCCATCTATCTGTCCCACAGTTTTGGAGCTATCGCTTCTTTTTAGGTAAATTCCATTGTAAATGCACTGTTCATATCAACCACCCTCTATATGCGTGTAACCGGAGACCGGAGTGAGTTGTGGCTTCTGCCTCGACTGGAGTACTATATACGTGTATGCTCTATGTCTGTGTGTGGATGGCGGAATAGAGTGTGCGCGCGCTGAAAGACAAACGACCGAGCACGGCATGAGCATATCAACTAAAGGAGCTAATAAAACACACACACCAACAGACAGATAGTATGCGTCTGTGTTGTCTGTATATATAGACATGCCGGCACAGATACAGATACAGAGGCACAAACCGTCAGGCAAATGGATGAGCGGCTGCTCGGTGTTTGTCGCTGGTACGAGTATGAGAAATGAAATGCTACTTGGTGATGAAAATGGGCAAACTGCTTCCTGTTTTCGTGTGCTTTATGGCTGTATGTCGTTGTTGTTGTTGTTGTCGTTATATTCTTCGCCTTTGTTGTTCTCAACAACTTCATCATGATCGTCAACATCATTATTATTTTGATTATCACTGCAGTTACTTCGCTGTAACTGCCCAGTGCCGGCTTCAATTTAAGCAAAGCCGCTGTCTCTAATTTAAATTCATTTGCCACTGCAAAGTAGCAAAATTTAATAATTTAAATGACTTTAATTGCTGGAACGAAGTGTGGGAGCGGGTGCGGGTGCGGGTGGAGGGGGTGCCAACACTTCAACTTTGCCAAACACTCAAGCAAATGAGCGCGCACATACATAATGCTTGTATATATGTTTAAGACTTAGGCAGGCAACAAATACCAACACCAGCGCACTATTTAGGTCAGTCACATTAGGAAGGCGTTAGGCTGGCAAGCAACCAACGAGCACCGCCACCTCCACCGCCACCTATCCCTCCATTCCATCCATTCTTAACAACGGCGGCAGTGGTGATGACGACGCACGCTTTATGCATAATTCTAATGAGCATTTAGCTTAGACGTCAACGCGCATACGCCTTGTGGGCCGCCTATCGCCTACCACCTACCACCTACCGCATGCCGACTGCCCCATGCCCCATGCCGCATCAAGTGCACAACGAAATGGGAAGGTCGGTGGGGAAGGCAACAATTTAATATTAAATTCTTAGTACATATACGCATAGTAAGTACAATGTGTGGTCCCCGATGTTATATAGTTTAAGCACAGTTGGTGTCAGCAGTGTGGCGCCCTCGACTGAAGTCCACACAGTGAACACCGCGTATGAGCAAGAGGGGAAAGTCACAAGCGGATTTTAAATGGATACCAAACAGTGACAAGACCAAAACATTGTTTTAAGTACATTTTTTAAACTGTACCTGAATATGACGAAAAACAAGCCTGGGGCTAGTCCCCGGAACTACTAACTATTTAACTGCGGAGCTACAAAGCAGACGAGCTAGCAGCAAATTCAGAATAATCGTGACTTCTGCAGAAGCTGTAGGCATAAGGAGAAGAAACATAGATAAAAGCACTTTCTTTAGAATGGTACACAACATCCTGGGATATCTTTCTTGCAAAATCCTTCTGACTGTTAAAACTCTTAAAACTGTTAAGATGTACTGCGTAGTACTATCGAGTAATTACTGTACATACACGTAAATAAGTACAATAAAAATGCTGATGGTGACGACGTTGTTATTGATAAATTCTCATGCAACTACTTGTAGTAAGGATTACGATACGACGAAATCCAAATGGGTTCCGTTAGAGATTGTGATTAAAGCAAAGAGACAAGAACAATGTGTGCTAAAGAGTAAATCGACTTTTACGGTGACTTCAGCAAAAAGGCTGCAATACGTACTCATATCCCCTACCCGTACCCTACCGTACGTGCAAACAAGTTGGCAATGTCAACAAACGTATTTAAATAAAAAAGTCGTTAAGGCAAGTGACTGCAGAGAGGAGAATGAGCGAAGCGACAAGCACCAGAGTGGGGGAAAGTGGGGGCGAGAACGAATGCGGCTGTGAGTAAATAATTTTAAATTAAATGAAAGAGTTGTTACTGCATCGGGCAGGGCGCGAGTATAAAAAGGTCGCACTAAAACACAGCCCAAGCCCAGCAACAAAGCCAGTTAAGGCATTGCACTTGTCAGGCTGGGCGGCCTGGCGTGGCGTTGCGTGGCGTTGCCGGAGGCCTCTGTCGGTCGTTGCAGCGTTGCCAAATAAATGAAATGAGTGGCGGATGTGCATGAAGAAAAGAGCAATTGGGTTGGGGGTGGCTGGGGATCGAGTCGAGGTGGCTGGCTGGCGGTTGGATGGTGGTTGGCATATCGCCACGACCGGCAAACCACAAAGGAGCCTTTCACATTGGGGCCAACAGTCGGGCTGCGCTAAAAACTTAATTAATTAATTGTGTTTCATACTATGACGTAAAATCCACATTTTACCCCACGGTCGTCGCTATTTGAGCTCAGCAGTTCAGACCAACTAGGGGCGCCCTAGCTAGCTTGTCTAAGCATCAGGCCGACAATTATATGGGTAATAGATCAGGGAATGGGATCATTAATTGGAACGAAGCTGTAAAATGTTGTTGAAGCTAAAAGGAACAGTTTGATGATGTATAGGAATTTGGATCTTGCCATTTAGAGAATATCATTTAAGGAAGCAAAGAAGGCAATCTGTCAAAATCAGATCATATGGAAAAATTGGGAAGTGCCCTCTTTAGACAACTTATTTTTGGGCGCAAATAATGTTGAGGATGCCCAAGGGTTTGAAAACAGCTAAATGGTTCAATAGATGAAAATACAAAAACATTGATTTAGTTTAAATAATTGTCCCTTTGCTTAAATTAAGAATAATATATTTCTTAAACAATTCAAGTTATTGAACATTTACGAGTATATAGTTTTGAAGTAGAGAAGCTCACGTAATTGCAAAAAATCTTTTTTAATACAAATTATACTTATACATACATACTTGTACTTGTATGTACATATGAATACATACAAAATGGGATATGTGCTTATTGTGTGCATTTTTATGCGAACCTCAACAGCGCACAGAATCGGTTATAGGAATGGCTGCTGTTGTTATTATTGTAATTAAATGCCGCATGCACATGTCACTCAATTGAAAGCTTGCAAATTTTACGCTTTGTTTATTTAAATGTGCAGATATGTACATACATACATTATACATACTTACGTATGTACATATGTGCGGGTTTAAGTGCATCTGTGAACACACACAGTCGATTTGAAAATATGAGCGAAATGCGAGCAGAAGCCACATGGCAAACATTGGCCGATTTGTTGTTTGCCCGACGCCTTATTTCCCATTTGCCAGTCGCTTTTTGCCAATATTGGAACAGGGTGCCGGAGCGGCACCAATTGGGACCATAAATTTGTACTGTTGCCAACTTAAAGCATCACTTGAGCTTTAAGCGGCGAATGACGGACAAACAATTGCATGATTGTACATGAATATGTATGTATGTGCATAAGGCGTTATACTAGATACATGTGTTTGCAATCAATAAACTGAAACCGTTGGTCTGTGTATTAGACGGAAGCAGAAGTAATGTCAAGAAATTTAAAGGGATATATGTACGTACAGATATGCTATTAACCTGTCTTGTTCCGTTTAAAATATATCGAGATGAACTGATGAACAGGTTTTTGTTGCTCTCTTACTGAGATAGAAGTATGTAAGTCAACAAATGGCCGTGTTTGGTTTCCCCAGGAGACATTTAAAGAGAACCACCAAGAGTTCCGTTGACAGTGAGTGAGAAACACATCTCGACCAGTAATGGAATTGGAATGCAAACAAGGAACAGAAATATTCAGTTTGTGAAGATTACTAATGCTGGAGGACTTCAAAGTCTATCTCATCTCATCTCAATCCACGAAGAGCGAAATATAGAAATGTTTCTGGACCGTGGCAAAAAAAGTGGTTCGAGCTTATAAATTACTTAAAATGTTAAAATATCAAATTGCAAGTTGTTTGTATTGTATGGTTCTCGATCGTCCAATAAATTCGTTCCTGGCAATAAACTAAACATTTTCTAGGCTACAATTCTGAAGAATTGATTGTTTTTACGAAACCAATACATGAGTTGAAGTGTGAATGTAAGGGAACATCCGATTTGGGAATAGTAATTGTTTTTGATAAGCAAACACTTCAAGTAGTTGTTTAAAGAGGTAAGTAGTAAGCAAACCCTGCCTCACATACTATCTGTAGTTTTTTATCAGCTACGAACTGCATAGACTGTGGGGCGGATTTAGAATGTCCCTCAGGCAGGTTCGGGCGCACCCCACGGCCCGATGAGCAATAGCAATGGCTTTCAATGTCTCTGCCTTGTTTGAATTAACATACAAAATATGACAAAGAACAAGCGACAACAACTGTGAAGTGGTGAACGAGGAGAGTGAGGGTGGTGCGAGGTGGTTGGGGTGGGGGGGGGGGGGGAGGGAAAGAGGAACTTCATCCGGTGAACGACACACTACTGGCTATTGATAATGGAAAGTCTCAGACATGGGCCATGGCGATAAATGTGCGTGTGTGTGCGTAGTTAATCATGCGCATTGTTGGTGTAGACCAAATAGCGTTTTGTCAGTAAATATGTATAAATACGTATGTATTTATGCACGATTGTATTTATGTATGTAGCTATGGGTGTATGGGTGCAGAAGAAGTGAAAAGAGAATTTATGGAAGTACCGAAATGGACGCGTGTTTCAAACGGCGGACAAGAAACAAACACAAAGTTGTCGCCGAGCATATTAAACAATGAATATGAATCAATCTTTATGCACACACGCATACACACGCACATTCACCCACTCGAACATGACAAAGGAAGCACTGCACAAATTTGTACATCGAAGTGGAAACGCCACGCCACGCCATGCCACGCGACGGACAGACATTCAGTCAGTCAGAGTACTAAGGGCCGGGCCGGGCTGGACTGGAGGCAGGCAAGCAGGCAGCAAAATGCATAAAATGAATATTAAATTAAAGTTGAAAACGAAATTGCCTCACATGCTGTATGAACGAGTATGTACATCCGGTGTATCCCAAAAAAAAAAGAACCCGAGAAAATTGAAAAAATTTGGCAAAGTTCTTTTATTTTCAGTCTAAGCAAAAATCTGCCCGCATCCTCGCTACATTAGGGTTGTTGGCAACTGCATAGGATAGCAACCACCAGATTGTTCCGTAATTGGAAACCGCACATGAAGCGGTACAGCAGCTTTGTACTATAATTACTTTAAAGAGAGAGCCATCTACACTCGGAAAAAATGTGTGAATGACATCACGAGTCCCTATACACAACTCGTAAATACTTGTACAAGATATACTGAACATAACAAGCCGTTATCCGTCCTATGGCAGCTATATGAAGGATAAGTATACATACCGAGATGGGTACCTGTAGTTCTGGGCACTCATATGGACGAGTAGGCGGACATCTCCATATATCGATTTGGGCATTTTTTTTATCAGTGTAGAACAGACAAAAAGTGCTCGTTAATGGAGTCAATGTCAATGGCCAAGCGCTAAGAATCAAAGCAGCAGCTTCGACTTCAACATCAGAGCAGCACGTGCCGGTATTTGGCCAAGTGAGAGGCGGTGGCTCGGACTCAGGCTCATGCCCCTTGCGCACGGCTGGGGCGTTGCATGGTTGTGTCGCTAATAAGGTTTTCATAGACTCGCTTATAGTTCGCTTGATTGATTTTGTCGAACTCTGACCCGAGAGCAGCAATGCGGCAGATATGCACATCGAACCGTAAGTCCATAGTGGAGACTACAACCATAAATGCTGTTGCTTAGCGTTCATCGCCCAACAGTTGCAATTCCTGAGACAGCTGTGCCCCAACAACAACAACAAAAACATGAATGGCACAAATCATAACAATGAACGATATAATAATAACGGCAACTGGCGCTAAGTTATCCGACACTATAAACAGGGTGACTAAAATGTATAAATGGCAGTTCAAACGCCGACAATTATTTTATTACCTTTCGAACTAGAATTGAACACTTCTTATCATTTATCTTTTGTATAATTGAATAAACGTTCTTGGTGGTGTGTTTTTTTTAGGGTCTCAACGTGCATCTAAATAAAGATGCCATTTCTTGGCACCCTGTACGCACTGGCAGAAAGAAGTCCGCTCAATCCATAAAACTGGAGCAGTTGACCGAGTCTTGGACGGGGCCGGGCATCAAGTTATTTGCTAAGCTGCTTCCATTGAAGCGAAAAGTGTGACGAATACCCATAAAATGGGAAAACAAAACAAAAAACAGATGGCGGTGAAAACGCCTAGTAGCCTAGTCGTGGAGATCTTCGCAGAAGTGGAAAGAAAAGCGCAACAGTCGTATATATGTAATTACATCCATTCCTGTGGTCTTATCAAAGCAACTTAGCTTTGCAGCACGAACGATTTCATACTGGTATGAATACAGTGGCGCTCAAAATAACGTGGTCAGTGTCTCTATTAATTATATCTATCTAGCAGGGTCGTAGCGATAGGGTGGAGAAAAGACAGGCAGTTGCTTCATTATTAGACGGCGTGGTTACTTATCGTTTGAAGAGTTATACGTTCCAATAATTTTAAAATAATGCAGTCCTTTAATGCAACTTGTATTTTAAGTTATTTTAAACAAAATTTCCACTTCTCTTTCGATGTAGATATTACTTGTATATCGATGCAGTATCTCTATATAATTTATATGCACTTAAGTAACGATAACAAGGAATTCTTCATTAGTTCTTTAGTTCTTATGGCAGCTAATCGTATATAAAATATTAACGCATTTTACATACACTTGGCGTTTTTATAGAGTACCCTGTATAGTACATTATAAAATACAACAAAAGCCAATTTTTCAATTCGAAAAAGAGATGTTGTGGTACTCAAGGTAGGAAAGAAGGGTACGTTATCCAATTGGTCCCCCCTATATGGTATCCTGGCTACGCCCACACGAGCTAGCATTTGTTAAATTGGCAACACCTGGCTCGGCACTGAGCCAAACAAACAGTCAGTCAGTGGCATCAAACAGCGGCGCAGCGGGTTCGGGTGGAAATGAAAATAAACACATCAAATCATAGCGGCAGACTCGCCAAAAACAACAATAACAACAACATACGTATGAAACATATAGTAAATGTATATGTTTCTATATACATACATATACTCGTATGAATGTATATATATGTATACGCTCATAGAATCTTTTTGAAGAGCGCAAAGCAAATGCTACAAACGTCGCTATAAAAGCCAAAAGTCTGAATGAACGACAGCCTCGGTGTATACAAATAGATGAGAGTAGAAACATCATTTTTCCGCTTTTCCGCGCGGGCGTTTCTTTTCGTGGCCCGTGGGGTGGTGCGGGCTGGAGAGCTGTCTGTCTGTGTGTCTGTCTGAGTAGTCGACTGGTTGGATGCTGCCTGGGTTTCGCGGAAAAAACTGTGAATCAACAAAACAAAACGGTGTAGCGTTCACGTTACGCATCGTCCGCCCCCTGCCCACCACCCAGCTGGGGGTGTAGCGCCCAAAAGCAGGGGCTGCACGGAAACACACACAGACAGAGAGGCTGGCCAACAGACCGACATGAAGGCAGAGGAAACACGCGTAAGCGCCTTCCTGGCTATGGTTTTTACTCACCGACGCCGTATTTGTTGTTTGACGGTTTCCACATTTTCTGTCCTCTTGCAGCAAAAGCAAAAAAAAATCCAATTGCAATGTAATATCAAATTGTGCCGGTTGCCCGGGCAGGATCTGGATCTGGGCCACTCCCAAAGAGCTGGGCGTCAGGCAAAGACTCTGGCGCGTTAAATTCCTCGTATGCTTCCCGTAAACTTTTCAACGGCGATTGGCGGCATCACATATTCGCACAACTAAGCAGATTTGGGGCCACATATTTCACATTTCCTCTGCTTTGTTTGTTAATCGTTTGCCTTTTATTTTTGCATCTTACTACACGCGCACACGTACGAGTACACACACGCGCACACGCACACACATTCACTTATACACGTTAACTTTCGCTTTTTGTTGTTGTACTGTGGTACTGGAGAGCGCTCTCTCGCTCAAAGATGCTGGCTTAATTAATCACTAACAACTCCAGCCTTATTGCATATTCTCTACATTCTTGTTGTAGTTGCTATTTCTGTTAACGCTGTACCGTTAAGAAATTGACGATTTGACGCCAAGTGGCTTTGTAAAATTGTTTTTTGTTGGTAAAGAATAAGTGGTTGATTTTTGTTGCGTTTTTCGTACGCCGCACGCCGAGAAAATCAATACGCAGTAAATTCCTCTTGTTTTTTTTTTTGCTAACTTCTCATTTCTGCTCTTGCAAGAAGCCGACGTATACAGATGATGTTGTTGGCTGGTAAATAGAAATATTTGCCGTTTTGTTGCTGTTTCTTGCGTTTTGTTTTACATTTGCGTCGCTTTAAAATTCAATGCATATTAGTTGTAGTAGCTAACGCAAATATTTTAAACAAACATGCCGCAGGGCAACCGTGCGAGCCCAGCTGTCCAATCAGACTAATGGCTTGTGCATTTTCAAGTTGTTTTCATGTGAGCTCGCGATAGCTGCGAGAGAGCGTTGAGAGAGACAATGCCGCTGCGCTCTTTGCGCGTGTGCTCTCACAGCCACAGCAGTGGTGGTACTATTAACAGTTTGATTCACTATTAAGGCATGTTAATGAATCGTTAAATGGATGGGCGAATGAATGTTTGAATGCAATTCATTAACAGAAAGACGGCCCTGAATGGTATTATTTGCGTTAAAAGATGGTATCTAAAGTGGTTATAACATAAGCTGAGTAAAAGGTTCATTAATATAGCAAATGTATTTGCATATAAGAAAGAAATTAATTTAAATTTTCTTTAAGACTCTAGTTACTCATATTTTGTGCACCCCAAACATGGTTTTATACTATTTACTAACTCATTTCTTACCCTTTGAAAAATGATTTATTTCTTCTCAAGCAAAAAAGTGATATGTGATTGGTTTGTGTATTGGCTACGCGTATACGAGCTTTGTAAAGCTTAATAGTGTTTGAATAATTGGCGATCGACTAAACTTAGAAAGCTTTCGTTTTTGAGAATCGCTTTTTTATGTTGTGCACGATTTAGACGTTACTTCAATCTTTTTGAGTCGTTAAGATCACCTCCGACTTTTGAAATACTACATTTTTAATTAATTGACTTGTTACATTGAAAAGGTTGAAAGTGATCTTTCAATTACTTTTTTGAAGGAATTGTTTTGGGAAGAGTCTACCCTTTGGTGACAGAACACTTTTATTAGAGTGGCTGGCATTCTTTGTAGAACAAAAAATAATTAGTATTCTGTTCATTCTATTCTATTTATTTACTTTACATGTGAAATGTTACAGGTCATACTTTGAAAAGCTCTGATAATGCAGGACACATTTTCCAATCAAGCAAGAATGATTGAAAGAATTTTTGTTTCGTTGCGAAAGTTAAGCTGATTTCTTACTATTTGAATATCTTTTGAAGTTTTGATTCGTCACAAAAATTGTCGGCAGATGTTGACAGAAATAAATGTCTGTTCTTTCGATTTGGTTTTTGAAGTCGTTCTTGAAACATTTGCATTCGCTTGAAGTTTCCATAGGTAGGAATGAAAAATAGACAGAAAGCTTAATTAGGTTTATCGCCTTTATTTGTCTTATAGTTAACCATTCTTCTTGTTGGTCGTACGCACTTTGTAACTAAGACTAGTCGGCTTAGACTAAGCTTAGTGGCTAGAGATATTTAACATTTAACGTTTAACAAATACAAAATCTACATATTTACAAAACATCTATACACATTACAATTAGCACTTAAACGAAATCGAACTAAGTAAACAATTTAATTCGGGTGCGCGTCGAGGTTCTTAAGCTAAGTGACTTACATCTAGGCAGATCGTAAAAATTGACCCAGTTCTACATACATTTACATACTCGTATGCAAGCATAGAGAGTTTTGTTAACATTTGGCAACATTTGTTGCACATTGTCTGCCAGCAATTAAGCAAAATTTCGACCGCAAGCTTGGGGGAGGAGGAAATATTGCCACTTGCCGGGAGATGGCAGAAATCTAATGTGCAATCAATGTGGTTGGTTGGTTGGTGGTCGACTTGGCTTATAGACTTTAAGGTCTAATTCCGAGTGCGTTCCTTTCATTGTGTGCAGCTCTTGCTAAACATTTATGGCGCCTATGCGTAACTTATTTAAATCTAATTATTACCATTCTACCAAACTACTTCCAATTTTTTTCGTTGCCTGCTAGAACCAAAACCAATTCCTACGTTTAATAATTTCGCACTTGCAGCCGGACTGGAAGTATTTTTGCTTTCTTTCTGCTGACTTTGGTGCATCATAGTGCCATGCATCATCCATCATCCATCCGATCCATCCGATCTCTCCCGTCTAGTTGACTTTCAGCTTTTGCGTCACCGCATCCGCCAACAATTCGGCGCTGGTGCAATTGTTGTTGCTGTCCGCCTTCGTCTTCGCATCGCCGGCTGCCGGCAACTGTTGCTGCTGCTGTTGCTGCAGCTGTTGGGCCTTTGACTTCTTGTAGCTCTGCATATAGAAGTTCATGAAGAGGCAGAAGAAGATCGAGGCATTGAGCAGCAACAGCGCCGAGATGAACTTGGAGAACTGGCATTGGTTGCTGAAGAGGGCGCGGGTCGTGTGCACAATGCAGAGCACAAACTGGGCCTGCAAATGGTAAGGATATTCCGTATATGGGCGTGTTAATGTCGGAAAATATACATGAATAATATATAATTGCTTTAATCACAGTCCCATGACACCTCTTGAATAGCCTGTACCCATTCTTTCCCAAATTCTTTCAATTAAAATAAAGCAATAATTCCGACCGATTAAATAGAGCAGAATTTCATCGCAGGGGTCAATAGTAAGTAGTTCTGATTAAACAGTTTTTGAAACATTTTCTTGTGAAATAATATTTATTTCGTAGTTTTAAAGAAAATGCATTTATTATTTCTTGATGAAGGAAAGCGCTGAAAACCTTTTGTTTATTGTATTGTACACATAAATGATCATAAACATAATTATGTTTTTATTACTTATTTGGGACTCTTAATGGACGATTTAAGATTTTGTATTTATTTTTGTTTGAAAAATGGAAGAAGTTTGGTTTCTAAGTCTTTTGTTTTTGCATTGCTTTCTGTTATTTTACACCTTGGGGCAAGTAAAGTTGAATATAACCCCAATAGATGTAATTGAAATATCATGAAAACGATAATTGCTAGGGGTTGTCTGCTGTATGACAATGTTTAGAAAAGGCGTTTTTCTGTCCAGATCCTCCTACCCTGCAGTTTGTTGTGTGAATTTATAGAATTGCCGAGCTATGTAATTTGTAGTGAATGATGGGAAATTTTGGGTTCCCTAGAATTAAGTGAATGCGAGCGATGGCTTGAGACCTACAAAGGCGCACACGTGAAGGTCACACTTTGGGGGTTTTCTCCAAGCAGAATAGTCGAAGGACGTGAAACGAAGCGTTCCGCAGCTCCAATGTAAGCGAGAAGGCGGCCGTTGCGGAAGTCAAGCTGCAAAGTTATGTGTGGCCATTACATTTTCATTACTTGGCATATAATGTGAGGGAAACGGACAGACGTGTAACGAGCGCAACAGCAACAACAACAGTAACAACAGCAGCACCCTTGAGCAACAGAAAAGCAATCAAAAAGTGCTCAGATATGCGATTATACGAACGTGTATATCGCATATGAGCATTGTGTTAAGCAGTGTCGTAAAAATTGCCGTTTAGTTACAACTAATTTCAGTCTTTAAATGAATGCATGTTGGCAGTAGCTAACAAGTTCGTTGTCTAAGTCTTTCGTTACAGCATTGCAAAGCTGCTTTCATTGACCTTTTTCTCCGCCCCCGGGCAAACGAGCACGCCTTCCAACTAATATTTAAAAATGACATAACTACATTTTAGTGATATTGATTCGAATGCAGTAACCGATGTTTACGAGTATCTTCAGTCAGTGGCGCTGCGACATTTTCCACACACATGTATGCTTGAATGTGCATATTCGTAAATACGAGTAAGTAGCAGTTTTGTTTACTGCAAGCACACACACACGCACACACACTCATACATACATACACTCTCACACACACAAGTGTGGCACACACACAGGCGGCTATGTTTGCTGTTTTTGTGACCTACAAAATATTACGTTGGTCAACCAAGCGCTGCAAGTTTCCATTAACACTGCCGTGCAAATCGTGGCAAAGTCACTGAGGCGGGCCGGCGGGCGGGCGATCAGGCGCATAAGACGACAAGATACAATGATACAAGTATGCAGTTAGTGAGCAGTGAATAGCGAATTGGCTAAGAAGCCTGCTTCTGCTTCTGCTTTTGCTTTTGCTGCCGTTTTGGCTCAGTCGTTGCTCTTTTTGATCGTTGAAAGCCAACGTCAACGCTCAAAGCTCAAACGCTTCACTGCTCCCATGCACGTGTGTGTGTCTGTGTGTGTGTGTGTGTGTGTGTGTGTGTGTCTGTGTGAGGAACAAGTGCAACGTAAAAGCGCCACAGTGGTGCAGTGATAGGGACATTTCGAAAGCAATGACCGCAGCAGAAAACATTGAAAATGTCGCAAAAGTTGAAAAGCGGGCAGCTGGCAAGCGTGGAGCAAGACATCAGCATTAAAAGGCCATCCGATAACAAATTCAGACTTCTTTTGCCGTTTATTTTGTAGCTTCTCTGAAAGCATAAGTTATGTGCGACTTTATTTGCTTTTATTTCTGAACATTTGTGTTTTTATCAATTAAAGTTTTCGCTTTCGAAGCAATGCTTTCCAGATAGAGTAAATTGGAAGCATTTATTCATAGCACAGCTAATTTTCGTTCAGTTAGAGGTTTAAGGTCAGGTTTATGAATTCTTGAAACTTTGCAAATATAGCGTAGTAACATGTACCCATTAATTTGTAGGGGAAAACCTACAAACCTTTTCTATTGACGGCCTCTTTAAATTGTGACATTCCTGTCAATTGTATAGCCAATTGAAAGGTAGAAACGTTAAGAAAGGACCAGGTAGTAGCTTGTATAATATTTGGAAAACTTTAAGTCTGCTTGTGACGCCATTTTGTTGGCCTAGTGTTCATAAGTTTGAGAAGAAGCTGGTCCTATTTGCATCTTTCGTCCCACTGTGCCGGCGCCAACTATGTCAATGCATTGCGCAATTGGCGCTTCTGTAGGCCAGTTTGTAGTTGTGGCAGCTTTGGCATGTGCCGGATTGTGGACATAGAAAAATGCTGTGCTACTTGGCAAGATGAGCGCCTGAGGTGGAGCGAGGGAGTGAGATGAAAAACGAAAGCGGTGGCTCCCTCTTCTTTCTTTTGCTGCCGCTTGGTAGGTCTTGTAGCAATCGAACAGGCGCTGCCGTCGACATAGACTTTGGTGAGTCTATGCCTGTTTCTGTATCTGTGTGTGTGTGGCAAGTTCGGGCTAGTCGCGTAACTTAAAAGTGAACGCTGAACGAGCAACATTCATTGCCGTTTGCAACAAAGCGCCCGCAAAACGGAACAGCGATAGCGTCAGCAACGAAGTCGAAGCCGAAAAGGTGTAATCGAAACTGGTCGGCGAGGCGCACGCCTGCGCGCTTGCCACATGATTTGCCGCACAACGAACGAAATGTGGAAACGCTGGCGGAATTGGCGCGCCAGCCATTCGCGAGCTGGGCTGCCTGTGTTTTTAGACCCCACCACACTTACGGGATGGCGTAACCCCATACCGGGCAGCCGGTGGCAGCAATCGATGGCTAATCGGCTCCACTCAACTTTAGTTAGCTGGTCAGCGGGGAAAAATGGAGCGTGCGATCTTAAGCCGAGCTTGTTCAATGCTGCGGCACCTTCGTCATTCTGATGTACATTTATTTGAATATATTTTGATTGACAAAAACAACTATGGGCGGAGAATGGGCAGAGACTAGGCAGAGGGGTTTCGAAGAAAAACCACAAACTTGCCTTTTCTCAGACCTCAAGCCATTTATTATTCTACTTCCCGGGATCTTGTGTATCCGAATACTGGCCATATCGGTCTAACACGCCTTCTTCTGTGTGTTACACACACTCGAACTAAACTAGTTTATCTTTTACCTTTTGGTACCAAAAGAATTACTCAGAATTAGAACAATAGAAGAGTTGGAATAATCTTTGCAGGAACTATTTGATATCAATATTTGTGACAGAATATCTGAAAAATCTTTATGAGCAAATACTAAAACAAACCTGTCCCAAATATTGTGTGCCTATATATTCTGCACAACTACAATACAAGTAGTTTTGTCAGTGTAGTTCTGAAATATATTTTATAGACGGATTGTAAGCAAACCTATTAAGCAACTTTTTTGTTGGGTAATTTCAATTTTGCAATTTTTGTTATATGTTAATCTATTTGTTGTAACAACTTCCTTTTTTTATAGTTCGCAAGTCCATTTCTAGATAAGTGTAATGAAAGACTAACGAGCAAGTTTTGAAACTATAAGCGAGATAAGTTCAACTAGAATGCCTAAGTCTTTCTTTACTTTTAAGCTGATCGCATTAGCCTGTCTCGGAAATATCATACAGCTAGTTAGTTGTAAACAGCTTCGGCGACAACAATAACAACATATCAATTATCTAGTATGTGTGATGCGCTATCTAAGCCCGTCATTTGATTACCGCTAGCATTAAAACTGTCAGCGCAATGCGCAGTCTACAGAACAGTCTACAAGGCAGCTATTCGAAAATCAAGAAACTGCAAAAACATGGCAACAAAATGAGCAGGCAGCTCAAGCCGAGATAGGCATACATACATACTGTACGAGTACGAGTGTATCTAATTGTAAGCATGTATCTGAACGTTTGACAACTCAACTGTGGCGCAGTGTGGTGGCTTCAAGGCAACATCCACTAGCATGCATAGTGGAAGCGGGCCAGCAGCAGCGGCAGAAACAACAACAACAATAACAACATCAACGAAAATGGCAGAACAAACTTGCCGTGTTTTATGCGTTTGAAGAATTTCGAAATGCTGAAAATTGCAATGAAACTTATTTACCGACGACTAGTCCACACACACATACACACACGCATTCAAATATATATATAATTAAATGTGTTCAGTAGAGCTGGGCGTGAGTGCATGCGAAATCCCGAAAGGTTAAAAATAACACCGCAAATTTCGAGAAACGGCGATACAAAAAATCATAACAGATCCGCTAATTCTAGCTGTTTTATAACGTATGCAAATCATATAGGAGTGCAATTCTTCTACCAGAATAATAATACAATTAAACATGTTAATTCGCAAACCCATTTCCAATTGTATTTTTTTCTGTGTTTCAATAATTCGGATCTATTGATATTTCGCATATTGTCTGAACACTTGTTATACTGTAATAATAAAAATGTAATGCGAAAGGCAACCATTTATGCATTTATTTTGTACTTTCAGAATTCAAAACTTACAAAAATTAAATTTTTCAAAAAGCTACAACAAATAGAAATTGATTCGTGATCGTGACAGCTTTTCTGCTTATCACGCGCACATCTCTAATCTGTGTGTGTTGTACACTACCTAGAAGAGCTGGAAACGCTACTGGAAAACCGTTCGAGTGGCGCTGCCGCTAATAAAACGGAAAGACAACCAATACTTCTTGGCAAAGAAACTAAAATAAAACAGACGGCAACATGGAAATACGAAAGGAAAACAACTATACACACACACACACACATACACAGGTACATACATACAAACACACACAGATATAGCGAATCAGCAATAATTTTAGTCAGTTAGTTGCATTAAACATGAAACAACAAGAGACCTGACTGACTGGCCAAATGGGCGGCTGTCTGAGCGTCTAAGCGTCTGGTCAGTGCGTAGATATTGCCGTTGTACCGATTGTTGTTGCAGTTGTTGTTGCTGTATTAGCTAGGTATAAAACCGGGTCAAATTAGCTGTAATTTTTAGCACAGTAGAATTTGGAGTTTTTGGGAATGTGCTTTGGCAATGGATTGGCCAATGGCCAATGGCCAACGGACAATCTCGGAGCGTTCCTAATTGCGGCTAATGAAAGTGTCGGCGTGTCGATGAACCCGACAGATTGCCAGTTGGGCAATATTAACACTTAATAAATGGACTGCGAAGTCAGCTCCTCGAAAGCCTGATTGACTGAAGATTTGGCCTTTGGCAGGCTCTGCCGAATAGACAATGAGCGGATTGGCATTTGGCTTCGCCAGCTGCACGGTGCTCTTAGAAGCATTGGCATACTCTGAGTGTGTGTGCGAATAATACCATTTTATGTGGCAGGCAACGACACTGCGCCGGTCTAACAGGTTTGCACTCGAGACTAACTTTAAGTTATGTCCGAAATACTAACATAGAAGCACAGAAACATTTTTTAGGCAAGCCTTCAAGCAGACTTCTGAACAAGTTTCGTTTGTCTATTTGGTTTTTTGGCATCAACAGTGGTTTTGTTTTTGTTGTTGTTTTTTTTTTTTTGGTTAAATGCTGTCGCATGGAATGTATGCTGGAACAGTTTAAATGGACATTAATTTGCTAATATTTTGCACTTACGATCTGCAGCTCCGTCATGTATTTCTTCCACCACAGGAACTTGGCGTATTCTGGACCCATGGCGGCCATCATGTAGTAGAAATACATGCAGACATGCACAAAGTTGTTCAACAGATTGGGGAACGTCGCATTACCGCCTGAAAGGAAGGAGAATTGGAATGCGGGACAAGAAGGAGCTGAATGGCGAAACCCACCTGCCAGGAACTTAACCAGCACCCAGGTCTCCAGAGGCGTCAAGGAGTGGTGGTAGACATGCAGCCAAGTGATTTGTGAGGACTTCTTGCGCAGCACAAAGAACACGGTGTCCGCGAACTCGGTCAGCTTCGACAGGTAGTAGATGTAGCATAGGTTCAGCATCTGCAAGAGCCCCAATATCAGAACGAGAAATCATTTTTGAACTAGTCGGTACAAGTACGACTACGATGAAGCAAGGTCGTCCGCATCAGCATTTGGCTGTTGCGTAACTGCCCAACGTTCTGGCTTGCCGTGCGAGGCTGATTTTAGCCACAATGGCCGTGCTACTTGACCAACAAACCGCAAGCAACGTATGTGCCAGGCCATAGCATTAATGGCCACATCAATGCCAATACACTATAGGGCCTAATTCTTTCCGATTATCATCAATTATGCTTTAAACAATTATACGATCGAGCTCAGTGGAATTCAAGGAACTCCACATAAATAACTATTCCTCTATTTATAAATAATAATTCATTTGATTTGTGCGCAGAATTTTTTTAAAATGTTAAAAGTAAAAGTGTTTTAAATAATATTAAAAACTAGCTGCTTCCATACAGGTTATGTTTATTAGATTGCGATTATAAATAGTATATGGAATAGGTATTTGTTGTGATTAGAGATTGTTATGATGCGAATAGAGCGAGAACTGCGACTTCAGACGGAAAGTGGAACAATAATTGTTACCGTTCTGATTATACTTTTATTTTATTATAAATAACAATTATATACATTTTAGAGAATTCCAAACATTCGTTTTCAATATCTTGAAAAATTGGTTGTCCAACTTATCTGTGCAAACAAGATTTGGAAAAGTACATAAGGCATCTCAAATGATATACATATCTATTATTAAATATTACTTGGAAAACGAGCTATTGCTTATGGCCAAAATATTAGTGTGTAGTTGGGTTGATTTCTGCACCTAATGTTCCTATAGCAGCTATGTAATATTATGAAGCACTCTTAATCCTTATAAATGTGGTTAAGATGCCTTCATAAACTAAAAGCTATCGGATTGGGGCTATGACAGTTTTCAACTCGAAATATAAAGAAAAATATTTTGTTTTTAATAAACTTGCATTGCTTGTGAAGACACCAAAGCAGCTGTTTCGACGGCAACGATGCATTCAGTGTTGGCAAACGACCGGGCTTACACTTTTCGCAACTTTTATGGCTTACAGGACATTGAAAAAATACAATAGAATGCAAATTAGAAGTGTTAATTCAATTCGACATTTTGAAAACGAGCTTTCTGCTATAATTGTTCGCAATTATGAGTGCAAGAGCTGCCTTTGAAAAAACGGCGTTCGCAAGCAAATATAAAATGCTTTATGAGGTTGAAAATAAAAGCCTCACATACTATTTGGCAATGCCGAGATCTGTGTTTGTGACAATTATATGTAACAGATACGTAAATATCGGAGATCTCTAATGCTGTGCCCTTCTTATAGGTGTGCCTTTTATGCTTCGGCTTCGTGTTAGGCGATGTTTACTTGGGCCGGTTGCGGATGTGAAATTGCTCATCAATGAAGTTCGGGCGTCTCGCGATGTTTGCTGTGTAAATGACAGCATTGGGGCTCTTCGAGATTAACATAAATTTTATGAGCTTTTCGGCCTATTGGCTTGCAGCTTAAGCAAATGCTAGAGCCTAATAGCGACAGCAAATAAGCACGCATGGGCGGGAAAATCGGCACCGCCGTCAAGTGGCTGTGAAGTGAAAATTTGATGGCTGGCTGTTGTCGAAGTTGCTAATACGCTTGTCAAACAATAAACGACGACCTTGAAAGCGACAACGACCCATTGGGTGTTTGTCAACACCGTTTTGTTGACTGTTGCACTCTTTACAACACTTTTGGTGTCATAGCCATGTTATTGGTCAAATTCTGAGGAGACCAGACCGCTGGCCGTAGCTCATTTACGCGCTTTACAAAGCGCGACAAATTGACATGGAGCTATGCATTTAACTTAAAGCCTGCTTATTATTTTGCATAATTTGTATTTAATTGCTGTCTAAGCGTTTTATTTCGCTTTGCTTCGCTTTGTCGCCGTGACGCAGACAAATTGAATTGTTCGAATTTCGAGTGGTTCGCTAATGATCAGATCTTGATCTCTCAGACGGACATGCTTTCAACCGGCAGACAAATTCTGCTGGCGTAACGAAATGGACAGTCAGCTGGTCGTCAGTCAGTTGGTCAGTCAGTTGGGACTAAAAGCAAGAGTGCTCTGAAATAGGCAGACATTCAATTTATGTATTTCTATTTTGGCTTCCACACTTAAGTAATAATGAAAGCAATTTTCTTGTTTTTTTCCGTTTTGCTTTGCTCGCTCATAAATAATTACAGCCGAGTGGCAAGTCTAAGAAACCCCCCAACACTCCAGTCCACTGAGAAAAAGTGAATCATGCCGATGTCGATGCCAACAAACTGGCTGGCCCAGAGCGGAAGCGAACATCGCTTTTGGCCAGTTACGCAACAATCGTCGAAATTCTAAACGTACACTCATAAATAGTCGCAGAACCGGGAGGTATTAGCTTGCGAAACTGATAAAATGATAAAATGGCAATTAGAAGACAAATAAATTAAGGCATTGGTGTTGAAAAGCTTTTGCCTTTCCCTGCCAAGACTAGAAAATCAATTAGATTGGCATATACGCGTGCCCGGTGTTGTCTAAAAATAAGCACGACTAGGACGGCAGCCTTGAAGTTGGATTGCCAGTTGTGGACCGGTCTTATCACTTACCCGCTTAGACATCGGACCATCCGAGTAGTCAACCGGTTGGCACTTCAGATTATAGTAGTTCAGCCAGCCGGCCATTAGATGCTGCATGAATCGAGAAGGGGAGTACAGAGATTAGAATCGTTGTTGGGCCTCGATTGAAGAGCTCACTAACCTCATAGAACATATAGCCGCTAAGAGCCACCTGGAAGGCGTTGTAGATGACAAGCGTGCGGCGCAGCTGGAAGGGCTTCCGATCGCGCATAAACATCGGACCCACCACCAAGACCCACGAAAGATATATAAGGACCAGGCCGAATGTGTACATCGGGTGATCCATTAGTGGAAAGCGCTGGGCCCGCGGATCTGTCGAGTCACAAATGGAATTGTTATTGTACACGTGTAATCGTAATGGCATTCATATCTTCAAATGCAAATCCATGCATTCGACCTGACTCAACTACTTGTATGTAAACACAGTAGCCGCCGACAGTTGGCAATTAATTTATAACATGTTGAAATGTATCAAACCATATGTATCGACTCATCTGTCCATCACTAACAAAGTTAGTCTCTCTAAGAATGTAGATCGAAGCAGACGCATTCGCTGCAGCTATATTGTATCACACACAACACATCATATATTCATACATATCAATAAACATCAAACTTATTACATTAAAAACAACAACAGGTTATGGGCCCAGCAAGCTTCCACTGCACTCATATACCTTAGTGAAACCTAATAAATAAAAGTTTTGGTGATGCCGAATTCATTGTGAAATAATCAATGCAATAGACGCATAATTGTATGTAAATGTGTGTATGTGGTAGACGTACATACGTACATGTGTATGTGCAAAAATCTTGTGTGTATTGGTGACTGACGCCAACAAAGTGGTCGTTTAAATTTGAAATCCACAAATCAGTGTTAAGCACATAAAGCGTGTGAAAAATCAAAGTGTTGAAAAAGTACACGGTGAAACTATCGAATAATCGATCAACGAAAACACGAAACGTAAACAAACGCAAAAAAAAAAAAAAAGTAAGAAGAAGTGTGTTAGAAAAACAAAAGTACAGTATTAATCGCTGAAAAAGTGCGACAATATGAGTTATGCAAATATTAAAATTGATCCCCTCGGAAGGGACAATTATGATACCTGGAAAATACAGATACAAGCGTTATTAATAAAAAACGATGTTTGGAAATATGTAAGTGGCCAGAACGTGCTGCCAACTAATAGTTCTGCTGAAAAAGTTGCAGAATGGGAATTGAATGATTCTAAAGCAAAATCCGACTTAATTTTGTCAATCTCTACGACAGAATTGAGACAAGTGAAAAACTGTGAGACATCCAAGGAATTATGGGACAAATTAAAAAGTGTATACCAATCAAAAGGTCCCGCGCGCAAAGCTCATTTGCTGAAATCGCTTATTTTGTTGAAAATGCAAAATGGTGGGGACATGCATACCCATTTGCAAAATTTCTTTGACACGGTAGACAAAATTCGCGAAATGGACATGGAAATCATGGATGATCTTGTAACAATATTACTATTGTATAGTGTGCCAGACGAATACGAACAGTTTAGAGTCGCGATCGAAACGCAAGACAAACTACCCGATCCGGAATCGTTAAAAACGAAAATGCTCGAAGAATACGAAGCGCGAAAACGCAACAATGTCGAGTCCAGTGACGCATTGTTTGCACGAAAAAGTTATATTAAAGTGAAAAGTAGCAAACCTACTGAAAAGTTTAAATTAGCTTGCTACAATTGTGGAAAAATAGGCCATAAAGCCAGAGAATGCCGATCGAGGCCGAAAAATCAATTCGAAAACAATAACAAAAACAAAGAAAAGCGTGAAAGACCTGAAAACGCAAGTAATACCGCTATTGCTTTTCAAATATGTGGTGAAAAAGGAATGTGGTGTCTAGACTCTGGAGCCACATCGCACATGTGTTCTCAAAAGGACAAATTTCAAAATATTGTCAGAAATAGTGAAAACCAAAAACTGAAGCTCGCAAATAACATGTCTGCTAAAATAGCAGGGTGCGGAGAAGTTTTATTAGAGACCTCAAAAAGAACTGCAAGTTTGGGGGAAACGTTATATGTACCAGACTTAAGATCAAATTTAATGTCTGTTTCTAAGATTACAGATAAAGGCTTCGAGGTCATCTTTCGTCGTAACGGAGCAGTAGTACTAAATCCCAAAACAGGCGAGAAAATAGTCACAGCATTGCGAAAATCAAATCTGTACTACATAAATGAGCCGCCATCGCGCAGCAACGTCGCTCAAGCAACTGAGCAAAAGAAGGATCTTCAAGAATGGCACGAAATACTCGGGCATCTCAACGAGGCCGATTTGAAAGGTATGATCAAAACTGAAAAAGTGGTAGGCATCCAGGCCGATGTCAAACAGAATTTGCAGCAGTGTGAGGTCTGCATTCAGGGGAAGCAAACACAAAATCGCTTTCCGAACTCCGAATCAAAGTCAAATGAACTCCTTGAACTAGTACATTCCGACGTCTGTGGACCAATGCGCACCCAGTCCAATGGTCACTCGAAGTATTTTGTCACATTCATTGACGACAAATCAAAGTGGTGTGAAGTATACTTTGTCAAACAAAAGAACGAAGTATTAAGTAAGTTCACACAATACAAAAGCATGGTCGAGAATAGTACAGGAAAGAAAATCAAAACGTTGCGTACTGATAATGGTAAAGAGTATGTAAACTCTGAATTTTCTCGGCTGCTGAAAGAAGCTGGTATAAAGCATGAATTAACTGTTGAATATACTCCACAGCAAAATGGAGTAGCCGAGCGGAAAAACAGAACTCTAATCGATATGGCGCGCTGCATGTTACTTCAAAGTGGACTTGCAGCAAGTTTCTGGGCTGAAGCGATCATCACGGCGAATCACATCAGAAACCGGTGTCCATCACGAAGTCTAAATGGTGAAATACCCTACACTCTATGGACCGGCAAAAAGGCAAACGTTAACTATTTGCGGAAATTTGGCACAATCGCCTACATGCTAGAAAAGAAACCTGGAAAAGGAAAATTCGAGCCAAAATCAAAACGATGTATTTTTATTGGATACGAAAACCAGTCTAAAGCGTATAGACTATGGAGTCCAGATGAGAGAAAAATCTTCAAGAGCCGAGATGTAAAATTTACAGATCATTTTGAAGGAAATTCCGAATATGACGAATTCATCGACGACCTTAAGAAGGAACTTGCAAAAACCTTCGACATGAAAGATATGGGACCCCTAAGATACTGTTTAGGCATCGAATTCGAGCAGAACGCAGAAACAAACCAGATAAAGATTCACCAACGAAAGTACACAAATGAAGTCGTCAATCGATTCCACATGCAAGATGCGAAAGCCATATCCACCCCAATGTTACCAGGTGAAAAATTATCAAAAACAATGTCACCAAGTACACCGGCAGAAGAAGCGAATATGAAGAACGTCCCATATCAAAGTCTTATAGGCTCGCTAATGTATCTAGCAGTTTGCACTCGTCCAGACATAGCCCACGCAGTAAGCGTATTAAGTCAGTATAACTCATGCTTTGGCCGAAAGCACTGGGAAGCAGCGAAAAGAGTCCTCAGATATCTCAAAGGCACCGCAGAAGAAGGACTCATTTTCAAAAGAACAGGCAAGGACCTATTCGGCTACACCGACGCCGATTGGGGTTCAAACGTCGACGACCGAAAATCGTACACAGGTTACGCTTTCATGTATGCTAACGCAGCCGTCAGTTGGGAATCCCGTAAACAACGCACAGTTTCATTATCCACAACCGAAGCTGAGTACATGGCGATTTCCGACGCAGCAAAAGAAGCAATTCATCTGAAATTGTTCATAGAAGAAGTTTTGGGCAAGAAAGGCGCTATCGTTATCTTCAACGACAACCAGGGTGCCGGCGAACTTACTAGAAATCCTGTATTTCACAGCCGAACGAAGCACATTGATATCCGTCACCATTTTATTCGAGAGCTAGTGGAGAAAGACGAAATCATCATCGAATACATCCCCACAGAAGAGATGCGAGCCGACGCCTTAACTAAAAACCTAACGAGAAAGAAGCACATCGAATGCATGATGGGTTTGGGTATACGTTAAGTATATAAAATTTTGAATTACTAACAAAATGTTAAATGAAATTCTTGAACATATGATTTGAGGGGAAGTGTTGAAATGTATCAAACCATATGTATCGACTCATCTGTCCATCACTAACAAAGTTAGTCTCTCTAAGAATGTAGATCGAAGCAGACGCATTCGCTGCAGCTATATTGTATCACACACAACACATCATATATTCATACATATCAATAAACATCAAACTTATTACATTAAAAACAACAACATAACATTTTACGTTGGCTTTTTCCACAAATGTACAATCTACAAACGTAACCGTATCTACGTCTCAGCACACACTCACACACACATTCAATGTGTATCGTAATTGTTTACTATTGCTAAAGAGTTGAATGAAATCGTGGCTAGAAAAAAATAATCAACAACAACCAAACGAATGCGAAAAATGCACAAGTTCGGCTTAGAAGGCTTATTGAATCACTAGAAAATTGCAGGCAATTGTTGATTCTCTACACCGAACTTCCCCAGGCGGATGTGCCATAAATCGTATTTATATCCTCCAATCACACATATTCGTGGTAAACTGTCTAAATAGCTATTTAGTCAAGTCATTCACTGAGATAGTAGTATGGGCACCTTTGAAAGGGTGTTTCGTTTAATAATATGCCGGAATATTTTGCATTAAACTGCATTATAAATTCATCGCGACTTTATTTCCATAAACACTGTATATTTTCTCAATAAATCAATAATAAACGAATAAACGAAACGGTCAACAACTAAAATTGCTTGTGTATCGATAATAACTAAGGACTGTATCATATTTTGCCTTAAATCATAAATTAATATTCAATTTTACTTTGATAAAGCTTATACATATATGACAACAATACTTGTATGTTGACAAAAAGATAATTAAAGCATAAAGAAATAAATGGTTGACTATCGCTTGATTTTTGTATCTCATTATAATCAATTGGTTTGTTGCTGCACCATTTCTAGTATTGTTGTTGATTACTTGTCATGTTTAATTCAGTAAATACCAATTAATAAGACAGACTAAGTAACTAACGACTATAAATGCAATTTCATGTTTATGTATTCTAAACACCATCTGCATTCGCGTCCTGAGTTTTTGTTTTGTTCGCACTTCTGGCGCTCTTCGCGTTTAACTTTCATTTTCGCTGTTCGTCTATGAGTAAGTATAGTTTATACATATGTACATGTGTACATATGTGCACTATGTGTACTATATATAGTATAATAGCTGCTACCTTCATTGACCTTTTCACCACCAGCTCTAGCTTGAGATTTAGATTCGGCGTCTCAGCGCCATTCGTAAGCATTGTTGAGAATTTCGAATACATTTGTATACATTTGTATATATTTGAGACGAAATGGTTTAAAATGAACAAAAAATAAATAAATAAATAAATATAAAGTACATGCTCATGCCTATTCATCATCTGCGGGCAGGCATTGGCAGCTCATATCGTACATGCTTAGCTGCACACGGCGGTCTCACAACAACCTCTAAGATAAACTGCCTGCCTATGTATCTACATACATATATATGTACCTTTATATTATGTGTGTGTATGTAAATACATTTTAATTACGCTAATAATTGTCAAAAAACACAATTGGCATTGCCAAGGTCGGCGCTGTGAGTCGTCGCATTTCGGCTGCCTGGCTATATAACATAAAAGACCTTTTTTAATTGTCCTAGAAGATTTTCATTGGCGTGTTTGTTGTTATTTTTCGCAAATTTATTTTACTCATTCCGCTTTGCTACGATTTGGTTGCCGTACAAAAATGTCAATTCATCAGTTTATGTATTTTTAATGTGACGTTGTTTGTTCGTCGATTTGCAGGCGACGCGATGCCAGAGCAAGCTGGCAAATGCATATGCATTGCGATTATGGCTAACAAGAATAACAAGAATGCGCATAAGCGGCTAATTGCAACTTTCAACTGAATGGCATAACTTTTAACTCTCTCTCACACACACACACACACACACACAAAGGCACACACACACACACACACACGTGAACTTGGTTGTAGGAAAATGTTCAGACGTCGGAACGTTGCGTTTGCATTCGTAATGGAGGTTTCGTGCATGGCAATGGCACTTTACTCGCATTCGCCACAATTTATTTGACGTGACATTTGACACAAGAGTGCGGGGCACCACCTACCGCCGTAATCCTCCTCCACCAGCTGATAGTAGCGCTGCAGCAGGCCCGTGTAGTTGCGGGAGATGTGATGCGTCTTGAACTCGTCCAACGCAATGTTGGCGATTTCGACGACCATGTCGAAACGCGAGCTTGAATTGTGGTAATTCATGTTTAATGCTTAGGGTGTGCTTGTTAGTTAACCGATTGCCTAAAACTCTTTGGTTTTTCAGCTGAGGTCAGGCTTTCGATCGGCTCGATACGATACGATTTGCTAGGGGCTCGCCGCAGGATTCCGCTTGCGGCACTCTAGCCAACACGTATAAGCTTGGCTCGCACTTTGTTTCTACTACACGTATATGTTTTTGATTTGGTTTGATCGTTTTTGGTTTGGGGCTGTGGCGCAAATTAAAAGCACAATTTGTTAACACTCCCGAAATCACTGGCTTTTGGCCAATCGATATTGATTAGCATCGATCAGTTCGTTAGAGTTGCGCGCGTTTGCGTTGCTGGTTCTGTCTGCTGCCAAGAAAACCACCGCACCGTAGGAAGTTAATGCTCAACTGAATCTAAAACTTCTCAGCAATCACAAGATAAACTAACTTTTTGTGAACAACGCGACGTCGCCGTCGACTTCGATCGCTGCGTCGGCATAAGCTTCAGAGGCAGCGACTATAACTGCGACTACGACTTCGACTTCGATTTAGACGACGCGACGGCTACAGCGCAAGTTGAACGGCGCTTGTGGCAGCGACGCCACCGATTCTTTGCAAAATAGCAATAACAACACTCACACACATGAACACATAAGCACACACACACACAAGCACACACACACATACACCAACGCCAGTTATAGCCGCGCCGGCGCTTCAGGCTTTGTGCCATAACGCACGCTCAGCTCTCGAAGCTTGACGACGTTTTTACAGAACAGCGGAAGTTTCGTTAAGTTCGGTCGCATTCGGCTGCACTTGCATTGGTATGGGTGCCGTCGTGGCTTACATTAACATGCATCTGTGTGTGTGTATGTGTTGCTCTGATGCTCTGAGTGGCATTGCTAAGACGGATCTTCAATGTAGCCGTCTGTTTATTTTTATGGGTCAACGCACTGAGGGTTGCTTGAAAACATTTGATCGTAAATTGTATAAAAACTTTGACAAATGGCTTTGAAGCTGAATCTGGGATATTTGCTCGCATAGCAACTCATATACTCGTATATATAGAAATGTAAAAAGTAGGCAGACAGGTGGATGGAAAGATAGATGCAGGAATGTAGTTTGTAGAATATGCATTTTCTACTATTTTGAAATGATAATGTTCGATTTTGAAATGCTAAAGCTTATGACTTCTCTTAAATTGGTTTATTTTGTGAGATTTTAAAATAAAAGAGAACCACTATTGTAGAAAGGAAATGCAATTGCATTAAGAAGTATTCTGCGATTAATATATAATTGTTTCAATGGAAAGTTTCTAGTCAAAAGCGGATTGAAACAGAAGTATTAGTCGCAACTAATTATCGCAATTAAAATTTTAAATTCTCTAATGAATTGCTAATTCCTGAAGTGTTTTTACTTTAACCGAGGCGTTTTTCATGACATGCGCAGTTTTTTTTTGTCATTGTGCCTTCAACAAGAACGAAAGAAATGCCTCTCTGCATCGACAAAGGGAATTTTAAGTGAGTTAACCCATTCGAAAGGTAGATCTGCGATAGTTCTTACACAAGTTTTAACAATAGCCGACAAGTGTTCAATTGATTTAAATTACCCGCAGAGGAATATTATGTTGTTGTATTTATTGCATTTGGCTGTGCATTTGTGTAACAGCTTTTGAAACAAAAACAAAGCAGTGAGAATCTGAAATACAGCTTATAACTAAATTAAGAACTTTATGCTCTGTCATAGCATGATTGCAAAACAATTCAGGTTTTGAGTTGGGTCCGCCATTCAAGCGAAAGACAATTTTATTATACTACTTATCTAGATTCTGAGCCCTCGCTTTGAATAAATATGTACTATATACATAGAACCTGTGTGTGTTTCCAATTCAGCAATAGTCAGCCCAATAGGTGGTTTAACTATTTAATATGCAAATGGCCGCACAGAGCGTGTGTTATGCAGATTGCGAGGCTGAACAACTTTAGAACGAAGACAACTACAAGTAGTGATGACTTGGGCTTTGAGAAGTGTGTGGTGTTTAAGATGTCAAGGTTGGGCTTAAGTTTTTCCCAGAGTTCAAATCGACAAATCTATTTTTAAATCAAGCTTGCCTCCACATGTTCGCAGCTAGACAGACAGGCGGACTGACTAAGTGACGGTTGGAATCGTTTTGGCCCTAAACATTATAAAGACAGGGCGGGCGGCGGCCGTAGCCGCGTGCCATAAAAGCTCCAATAAAGTTCTGCGTGAGCGAAACAACGTGACCGGACAAAGTACAGTGAAAACCTTGTCGAGGTCTGCAGATGTGTCAATAAAAATGTTAATTATGGCAACAAAATGTATGGCGAGCAATTAAATTGTGACATTACAGAACGATTTGGAGCGCTTGACAAATTAACGCGACGCGATGCCGCGATTGTCAGACGCGTCACATCGTTCTTTGAAGTTCAAGACGGCCAGGCCGTGATGCAGCACTTGGCCTTTTGTCTGTGCTTGATTATTTTGGCCATGCCACGACGCTGTGTTCTCAATGGCGCTTTTGTGCGAATGTGTGGAGTGTGCCTGTGTGTGTGTCTGCCCCTGTGTGTGTGTGCAGGATGACATTGCAATCGACTAGCCTAAGCCAAGCCAAGCTAAGCCAGGCCAAGCCAAGCCAAGCTCGACCAGCGGTTAACTAACGGTGTGGTGATGATGACATTAAAACGAAAATGAAATCGACAGTCATTGAGTTGTTGTCATAAATTCGCTTTGCTTGACTAAGCCAGCGCTGGCACTTTTTGTTTTCACCTCCCAGCGATGCACAGTGGGCCATTTAAGCTCTTTTCAATGTCCAAATATTATTCCAAAGACCCACGTAAATGAAATAAGTCACTTAAGTCAATGACCCTAACTGGCATTTCCTTGTCATATTTCTTTATCTTTATAGAACTAACTTAAAACTTTTTGAAACAGAAATTCGGTTTCAGGTTTTATTCTCCTACTTTTAGCGAGCGCTTCAAAGTACCGCCCAAAGGAAAAAGTCTGGAATGCTTTTATTTCCTTATCCAAAATGCAAGATGTAACAAGAACCTTGCCGCCGAACTTTGAGAGTATTTCTTTAGAAGACATTACATCTATTATCTATTGTCTCCACGCCACTAATATGATTAATTTTTATTTTAATATGATCCTTCGAAATAGTTCCTTAATTGTATTCATTTGCGGTGCATGATAAGCGATTCCTAACTAATTTCTGTTAGCAATATGTACTTGATCTCTCAAATATTCTGAACACAGTTTGGTCTTTCTTTAAGAATGATTCCATTCTGCTACTATTTCTTGGTTAGATAGTGCAACAAACATTAAACCATCCATACTATCAATAGTGCCATTAAAAATGAATTAGCTCTAATTCAAAAATGATTCCATCAGTCTGTTTTTGGGGGGATTGCTTAATTCATAGCAATAACTAAAGAATAAAAACAAAGTTTGTTGAAATTATAAAAAAATTAATAAGTGCTCATGTCATGACATTTTATGAATGCTATAAGTATTATTTCTTTTATATGATTGATAAGTACTGACTGACAGTTACTTTTTTGGAGCTAAAAACTGAAATGCTTGGGTTTTTTAAATGAGTCTTACAATGAATTTTTGACCAGAGAGTGCGGGAAACGTGCCACTGTACAACATGGCAGAGAAGACGCGGAGAAACAGCGACGAGACGGACACACAACCCGGCGGTATTTCACGGTCTAGGTCTAGGTTAGTCGGAAGTCGAAGTCGCTGGCAACGTGGCTCACCAAGTCCAAGTTCGATAATAAATGGCCGATGAAAATGAAACTGCTGCTGGCTGAGCATCTTGATAGCTCTAGTTTTTTTTGATTCCCCTCTTGTTTGCACATCTTCGCCATTGGCAAATTGCTTTGACTCATAATTAATATACTACTGAGCATGTTTTTTTTTCGGTATACATTTATTTATGCACACATTTAGTCAGGCGATGCGCTTTGTTCGGGGCTCGTTCACAGGTTTCAGGGTAGGAAGCAGTTTTGCATATTCAGGTATTCTATGGAGAAATTGAATATATTCTACTCTAATTCTTCCTAGTGCATACGATTCGCTAGCTTCACTGAAATACATAGATACTAATGAGCAGGTTGAGGTAGACAAACAAATACAAAAACATACTATAACACATACTATACTATATACTATATGTATTTCAAATATCAAGAGTCACTCAACAGTTTTTAAAAGTTCAGCCAAGCAAAAAAATTAAAAGTGAAATCCAAAGTTTCATAAAACGAATACAATATTTGCGCCATAATTTTAATTAGCACATGCCAAAATTCTGGAAATTAAGCTAATGAGCACCTACTCATTACACTATTGCCCCAGGGTGTGTCTGCGTGATGGGCGCGTTTTGCGCGCGACTTTAAACGCTCGCGCCTTTCCCATGCAGTTGCCCTCTGAACCAACGCGTGCGTTCGCAATTGTTTTTGTTTTGATTGATAACGGAAACTTTTGAATTAAACATGTTTTTCTCCAGCAACAGGTGAAGGTGTACGCGCAAGATCAGCCCACATTAATAAGCGGCTATAAAGGAATGTCAGTACCGATTGAATTGTGGCCTATAATTTGCAATTAGTGTACTGTAATTGTTAACTGTCGCTTACCTGCGCCATTGAATAACAATTACTAATTGTTATTGTTACTCGTATCGTTGTTGTGCTATAATTGCTGCCAAGTATGATATAAAAGTTATGCCGCTCCGATTAATGTGTTGGCCCAAATAGCGTGCCTTATCGGAGCATCGGCATCATTTGGTCTTAATTGTGGTGCAGTTTGCAGCAATTATGTGCAGTCAGACGGCCTCGAAAAACTTTTACGCACCGCCAACAACACCAAAAACATGATCTGGCCACAAGAAAACAAACAAGTTATGAGTTGCTATTTAGCTACCAAGAAAAAACTACAATGCCTGCGATTGCGATTGCTTCGTAACTTATCCAATGCTTCGGAATTTCAAGCACTATTTACACACACACACACACACACACACATATATACACATGTGTGTGTGTGTGTATATATTTTGGTCAAGCAAATAGAATGATTTGGCCACAATTGAAAGCCAACTCGCCGAGAGTACGAGATGGAAGCACGCGCCAAGTCAGCCAGCCACAGAGGTCTACGGAGCACCCCGAGGTGCAAGGGCGAGGGGCACAGCATACGCCACTGAGGGCCAACTTTCAGTATTTTGGCTTTAACTAAACGGATGTCAAGTGCGTTCGCCGCACACACTTGCTAATCAGTTGGCCAAATACGAAAATGAGTGGCCATATCAGAAAGCTAATGACCATCAACATACTCTGAATAATGGAAGCCCTGCTTTG